TTCAGAATCACAATGATTTGAGCCACCCGTGATGACCAAGGTGTCATTTTTGCTGATAGCCTCTAGAAAGGTCATCCGAGGTCATTTTAGGCTACAAACAGATTTTTGCCAATAACTCGCGATTGGAAAGAGATAGAACGCTGGGGATGGCTTCATTGTGTTTGTCTCGTTGAGACGCATCGAATGATATTCAACATGACCTTTTCTGGTCAGGTCATGACCTTGACCTGAGGTCAAATTTTCAAGTTGACCTTTCAAGGTCAAATTATAGATCATTCGACGCGTCTCGTCGAGAGGAACACGATTCTGGCAATAGAAATGTCGTGGCTTTTTCTAGTCAAAAGTTATTGTCGAAAAACTCTTTGCGAAAAAACAGCTATTTTTGGAGTTTTTGCCCTCTGCAGGCTAAACCGTTGACCTGAGGTCAATTTTGATAATAATCGTATCGAAAGAAGAGTTCAAAAGCTATCGGTTGCTTTTCCAAGCGTTTTTCTAGCTATCATAGCTCCTGAGATAAAAGCATGTTTTCCGAAAAATATAATGACATTTGGCAAATATTGACCTTTGATGACCTCCAGTGACCCCAATGTAGAATATCCAAGACAGTTAGGATAAATGATAACAATAACACGTCAAATTAAAATATACATTTGACGTGTTATTGTTATCATTTAAGTGACCCCAATATAGCTCCAAGATGAAAAATGACTGAAATACTTTCAAACGTACGCATTGAGAGCTATCGACTGCTTTTTACCGCGTCTTTCTAGCCCTCTTAGTTTTTGAGTTAGAGGTGGATGGCAACATATGCCCCCCCCCCCCACTAGGGCGAAGTTGGCTGAGACCGCCACTGGGGCGCGGGTTAACGGCCATTTGATGACGTCATTTGCATTTTGAACGCATGTCACGCATGTGAAGTTTCACTTGATTTACGAATAAGCTAATCAGAGACACTTGTTATTGTATGAGCCGCGTCATATTTGAGAGCAAATACCTATATTTGCTGCCAAATTTCCCCCACATTGACATGAAGTAAATCCTTCATTACGTCACAGATCCGATCTAAATGACGTCACGATGAAATATAAAAGTCGCAATATCTAAAAAAAAATACAATGAAAACGCGTAAAAACTTGCAGAATTCGTCACAATATCATGAGTAACATTTCCGAATCCTAAATGGTACTTTTTTTAAGGTGGGATAGTCCCTTTAAGGCCTAAAAAGGTGTCTATCTGATGCAGTTTTTCATGGCGAATCGAACGGTGCTGTTTTGCTTCCGTACGAGGTCTAGAACTTCAAAATAAAAATTGGATATTATAATTATTTTCCCAAAAAAGTCGACTTTTTCTAAATTGGGCCAAAATCCAAAATTGTCAAAAAACCGAGATAGCCATTTGATAAACAAAGTAGAATCACGTATAATCTTTTTTTGTTACGTCTTGATTCCTTTAAAAATGAAGATGTTAGCGGCATTGAAATTTTGCCGTTTTTTGAGGCAAAAATGGCGAACATGACGTCACCAAAACGTTATTTTCTCAAACATTTTCCGATGAATTTCGCTCAAATTTTCAGGAAAGGTCTTAAATTGATGTATGATGAGGCACTGAAAGCTTGACGTCGCTGGCGTAACGCGTTTAGAAGTTATTGGCACAAAACGGGAGGGGGCAGATTCTCCCCCCCCCCCCCACCAGCGGGGCGCGGGATAAGAAATAAGGATTCCAAAAATCAATTATCGCCAAGCCAATTTCGGCACATTTTCATAGAACTGTCTAGAGATGCTTGGCATCTCACCATCTCGTCCCTAAGAAAGTTATAGCTCTGCAGTCTGCGGAAAAGGGGCTTGCCAGCAAAAGTATTTTATCACCCGTGCGATGTCTAGGTTAAAGTGACCGATAAAAGTGATAAAATAAAAGTGACCTGACCTGAACTTGATACGAGATAGAAGACAACATATTTAGCTTAACCAGGATGTACAGGTTCGGTTTTTGGCGAAGAACTTCGCAAACAACGATCACAGAGCCGTAATCTTGACAGCATCGTGTTCGCCTTGCTCCGGCGCGTCGAATGTTATACTTTTTGTTTGGGCGAGGTCAACTTTAGGCGTTGACCTCGGGTCACGGTCAGGTCAGAGCCCCCGAAGTCACGAGCTTGGTCGAAGGAGGTCCTGTCGCATACCATTTGATTTGGCAGGTCTTCCTGAGTCCATTCATTGGTGGCTTTCCCGGCTTTCTAGCTCAATTTGATCCGGAATTGTTGACGAAAAAGTATGAATTTAGTGACATCATAAATGACGTCACGCAAGGTCAACAATGCAAAAGTGAAGCATCAAAACTTACAAGGATTGCATACAATCATGATTTCTTGTGGTTGCGATAGGTTGAGATCGTTCCCGGCGCCAAAATAGCAGTTTTGATTTTCCCCATTGACTTATAATGGTGAGGTCACGAAAATGACCTGGCCTCATATGACCATTTGGAAGAATTCGAGATATACAAGTTGTGAGGCTTATAATGGATCTTAGATACTGAAAGTTTCATCTTTCTGTGCAAGCCCCTCTGGCAGTGAGGGCGTTGCGAAGTTGCGACATCTGAAGACCGTGCAGAGGTTCACATATGACGTCATAGGTCAGTGACCTGACCTGATCCGAGAATGCGGTTGGTGTCAGAAGATTTGGCTTGAATCAAGGGTCAGGTATGCCAAGTTTCAGCTCTCCATCTCGAGAGTGTTCGGATATATCGTGAAAAACCTATAAGGGGCAGCCACACCCCCCCCCCCCCCGATCCCTCGGCCGCCAAGGATTAAACTTATGTCGCTTCATTTTCTAAAGCGTTCACATATAGGATATATTGACAAAACTTCACACGTATGCATGTTGGCCACTTTGCTAAAGAACACGGTCGTCGGGTCGGAAACCCCGGTGTGGCTCACTCGAATGACCGAAAAGAGAACTACAAATAATTGGCAAGTGGCAACCAATAGTTGGAGTTGACACCAATTGTGGAGGGCTAAAATAAGGGGTGGACACTTTCCCCGGGAAGCGTTTTGCCCCAGTCTCCCCTAAACACTTCCTCTTCTTTTTGTTCAGCTGCAATAGCCATCAATCATCAAAAATTCCTGGCAAATTTTACCGATATCGATAACTTTTGACATATCGGTGCATAGCTCGTGAACCAAAATAGCCACAAAGTCACCGTATATGGATTCGATGACTTTTTTAACCCTCACCGGTATAGTGGGGGGGGGGGCGAACGGACCCTCCCCCTCGGTTTTTCGCGAATAACTCGCGTAAAAAGCGGCCGATCACGACAAAGGTTTTAGTACCCTCGAGTTGATCGATTTTACACCTATCTTGAAAATTTGATGACCCTGACGCAAATGACCTTTAACCTGTGACCTACTTTTTGAGACCATGTTTGGCCGGAATCGCGATTCGGCGTATGTCGGCTCGCATTAGCCGCGCGTTTGCAGTTTTTCGTGATTTCAAGCGTTCAAACATGTGAAATGATGTTGGTCCCATGCATAAGGGTGGATTTCAAGGTCACCTGAATGTCAGGTCAGGTCATTGACCTTTGATGACCTCGGTTCACTTTTTCAAGTTTTACATGTTCCTAGGCCAGTTTTTGGAGCTGAATTCGAATTAAGCAACCATATGAACATTTACAAAGTGGTTTTGTTGCCTTCGTAACATGTTACGAAGCTATCAGAGGCGGTTGCCACCCACTACGAATACCCGGCAGGACCCCTACTGGTTGACCTGACCTGACCTGACCCGACCTGGCCTAAATGCATGAAGACATCATTTGTGATCAATACTTACATGATATACGTGATCAGCACCCCCATAAAAACCATAGCAGCCAAACTTTACGACGTTCTAACGTTCACAGGATTTTGCCAGGAATGCATAATTCACGATTCCGTATGCTTGATATAGTTTGAGATCGTTTCCGGCGCCAAAATAGCAATTCCCATTTCCCCGTTGACTTATAATGGTGACGTCACGTGACCGACCTGGCCTCATGTGACCTTGAGGAAAAATCCGAGATTTACAAGTTGTGAGACCTCTGATGGCTACTAGGTTCTGTAAGTTTCTGTTCCTTGTGAAAGCTGATAGGGCACTGAAGGCGTTGCGAAGCTGCAACATACATATGAGGACCTACAAAGGTTCGCTAATGACGTCATAGGTCAGTGACCTGACCTGAAAAGCGGGTGGAATCACAAAATCCAGCTTGAATCAAAGATCAGGTGTGTCAAGAGCTTCAGCTCCCTCTATCGTCGGCGTGTTCGGTGCTATCGCGAAAAAAACTATGGGGGCGGCAGCTGCCCCCCCCCCCTTCGGCCGGCGTGGACCCCTGGACAAATGTAGAAAACTGATGGGCCTGGCGAGGGCTAACATTAAGTACAATATCAGCAAGTTATGTCATGTCGCCTACTGACTGCCACTGCGTCTACCCCACGAATTATCTTTGTGAGTGAGTGGTGACTAAACGTCTCCATCATGACTCGGCTGTCTCTGAGCTCCGACAGTCAGTCACGCCGTTTGACTTCCACGCCACGTCTCGCCACGGCCTGGTTGTTGTGTTTATTCAACAATCACAAAGACACGGAAACTAAGGCAATAAACCAACAAGTGAACAGAATGAAAAGTATGCACTGGATAGTCAGTGCCAAATAGATACATATTTTCATTTGCTCTGTTTTGAAATTGATCTCTAATCTATATGTTATCGAGCACAGGCAAGAGATACCCATTAGATTAGCTATCAAAAATGGTCGATTGCGCAAGCTTCCCGCTCACTATGTAGCGCTGAAATATCACAGTGACCACGCTGTTCGATCTCCGGCCACTCCCGAGCGCAATTTGCGCTGCTCCCACTCTCACCCCCCCCCCCCACTCTCCCCTGTCCCGCCCGGCGACACCACGCCCTTGGCCTCGACGGAGCGCCCCAGGCGGCGGCGGCCGTATAAAACTAGCCGGCACCGTGGCGGCTCCAACAGAGCATCAACACCTCAGTCAGACAACATGAAGGTAAGCGTGACACCAACTGCCGCAGCCGTATATGCTATAGGGGAAGTTGGGGGAACGCCGAATACTTTTTTCTGACGCCCGTAGCACGCAAGGTAGACAACATAAGCTATTCTTGTTGGCGTCATTCGAGAGGCCAGTCTTCTGTCTTTCAAACATACCAGGCGCATTTGATGAATTCGCATACCGTTAAGCGCACAAACTAAAAATATCAAAGAAGTGACTTTTTCGGCGTTGCCCCGGACTGCGGGGAAAGCCGAAGATGGGAGACATGATCTACGGGAATGCCGAAATTGATGTTTTGCTATTTTATCTCAAATTTTATCCGGAATTTGTCAAAGCTGACACGCGTTTTAAGAGCTTGAGGACGCTTGGTGCACACTGGAAGTTATAATTGTGTAATATAATAAGAAAAGGCCAGGTAAATCATTCCTTATGGTAACAGGCCGTTGTGTCGGTTAAAAGTGTAATTTGTGTGACTAAAAATACGCGTTGCTATTCTACAGAGGTAAAGTTCACGTAGCGTGCTTTAACGCGCGTAATTGCACGTTTTCGGCATTACCCCAGCCAGCCATACTTTCATTTGCAGGCCCATAACTTTTCAACGTGCTGTATAAATTTCAAATAGGCAGCACACTTATGCAAAGACGTGCTGAAGATTACTTGACCGAATTGGCCAGACAAACGGTAGCATAATGAGTAGGAAATGCAGCTTCGAAGACGCATGTAGTACAAAGGAAACGTACCTTGAAAACGCTCTTGGCGCCCTCACAGCCGAAGTATTCCGAATGACGACTGGTAACAAACATGCGATAATTGGTAGTCACTTAAGCTTCAGAGCATCACTGACAGGTGGCATCCATGTCGTACAGTTTTCGAAATATCTCGAATTTCGGCTTTGCCCCAACTCCGGCATTGCCCCAACTTCCCCTACTCAACTAATGGTATAAGATAGGTGAGATTGAAAGACATAAATGCGACGTTCTAGTTTGTGGTTTGTGAGGAGGGAACAGGAGATGTGATTAACGATTTAAACACAATTTTAACAAAACACTTGCCAGAAATTTCTCTTTTTTGGCGACGTTGCAGTGCATACAAAAGAGGAAATTTTCATAACTTTTCACAGAACTAACAGCACTAACACAGAAAATGCTTAGTGCTTGATGCTTACGGCTGTTCACTACACATTCAAAGTGAAAGGAATGTGTTGTGAACATTCCTGCGACTGCGCTTTCAAGCCGCCGCACCACAAACTAGCCGCGTGTCTGACGTGTCTCGCGTCTCTGTTTCAGCTGTTCGTGATTGCCGCGCTGGCCGCGGTGGCTGCGGCCGCCCCGCAGTACGGAGCCTCCTACGGACATCAGGAAGGATACAAACGCCCGTAAGTGGAGATATTCCGGTGCTATTTTTATGTTTGTCACCTATATTTAATGTGACAGTCGGTCCACCCGCCGTTATTGTGTTACTCAATCATGCAAAATCATGCAATAAATCAATTTTAGATTTATTGAATTCATCAGATATGTTTTCTGCATAGTTCGCGGGGCATTCCAGTAAGGCTCATTTACCGTTGTCACGTAAGGGTAAAGTTAATATCAATTGCCTGAGGTTTGCAAGACTTCCAAGTTCATGGTGAAGTAATCTATTTAGTGAAAAACATATATTTGATATATTTAATCGTATACCTAACCTATTGTCCAAAGTTCTGAAAAGTTTCCCAAAAGTTGAAAAGAAAATACTTGAATATGCTTCGGAGACGTCCCTTCATGATGAAGGAATGATAAGGATGAAGGAACGGCTCAGAAATGTGCTCAAGTATTTTGTGTAACTTTTAATAATTTTCGACCTTAAACCCTCGCCCTGGCAGGGGGGTTGATGCAACACCCCCTAAGGTTTTTCAAAGATAGCGTAAAAACGGCGGCGCGCAGCGCCGCCAAATTTGGCACAGCCTATGGGGCAACCTTTTTACATATGACCTGAAAATTTCAGGTCCAGGTGACTTTGGGTCAGGTCACCAGGTCAGAAACACCGGTACAAGGTCATGGTCAAATTTCAATTTTCTTTTTGCACCTGTAAAACTCACAGTTTTGGACTGATTTCCTTTAAACTTTCAAGATGTGCTAAGTTCACCGAGTTGTATAACATATAGTTCGGGTTTTTTGAGGTCACTGACCTGAGGTCAGTTAGAGGTCATTACGCCTATGGGAAAATACTAAATTCGAAAAATACTGGAGATATCCCCTTTGTTCCATCACTTTTGTGCTTTGAAACCATAGTAATTAACAACAGGTCACTTTGTGCTTCTTTGTTTGGTGTACTTATTCATGGGTCAGGTCAAATGTGGTCAACTGAGGTCAAATGACGTTTTTGCCAATAACTTGGCACATAATGACGCTAGAGCTTAAAAAAATGGTGTCAATGTGTTCCTGGTGATCAGCCGAATCGAGTGATGTGCAATATGATGCAATTTGGTTAACTTGAACTTAATTAATTAATTTAAGTTCATTTAAAAATTAAGAAAAACTTTAAGTACACTTTAACAAGCAAAAAAGTATATCATTCGACGCGCCTTGACGTGCTGAGGTCACTGGTGCTTTCTTTCTCTATCTTAATTAGATCAAAAGTTATAAGCGAAAACCTTTTGACCTGTCTTTAGCGAAATTTTTACATTTATATCCCCCAAACCCCCCCCCCCTAAATATTGACCTAGAGCAACCAAATTTGCACAGGGGTGAGAACTCCAGGGGGCCCACCTACCTACCAAATTTGGTGTTTCTAGGTGCCATAGGAGCCAATCGCGAGGGGGGTCGCATCACCCCCCCCCCCCCCCTGCCAGGCCGTGTTATGAAAAATGCCCTGCGGCGAGGGTTAAGCACACGGTTACACCATCAAATATAGGTAGACTCCCATCAGTTGTTAAACTGAGACATAGAAATGCTCTTTACCTTTCTAGATGAACCATACAAATTTGCTTTGAGCGTGAAATAGAATAGGGATTCATTATAACTACAACTTGTCACACAAATCCCATACTCTATATTTCACGGAACCAAAAGAGACGATAAATACTTCCTTGCCTTGGTGACTACCACCTGAATCACAACATGGAAATTGTTTTCCCAAGGTCATTCCCCACTCGGCACGCACACAGCACAAGGTTAATTGCCATGTTCAGTGGACTGCACCTGTCGAGCCCATTCTTTTCCTGTCGACCCCAACGGTCTTCAGCCTCGCAGAGCACTGGCCTTGGCACAGGTGCTGGGGCCTGACGACCGTGGCTGGGGCGTGGTGAGAACGGGGTCCTGCAGCCGCACTCATTCCTCCCAGTCATGACAGACCCCACCCTGAAACCACACTGCGCACGCTATGCGACTGACCCAGATGTCTCTGACTGCTCTGTCACGACAGGTACTCGTACGACTTTGCCGTGGAGGATCACTACGGCGGTCAGTTCAGCAAGTCGGAGCACAGCGACGGCCACAACGTGCAGGGACAGTACGGCGTGGAGACCAAGGAGGGAAGCACCCACGTCACCTACTACGGCGGACACGGCTCCGGATACAAGGGCACGCCTTCTTACCACGAGCCCGCCTACAAGCCCACGCCGTCTTACCATAAGCCCGCTTACAAGCCGACTCCGTCTTATCACGAGCCTGCCTACAAGCCCAAGACATCTTACCACGAGCCTGCCTACAAGCCGACCCCATCTTACCACGAGCCCGCCTACAAGCCCAAGACGTCTTACCACGAGCCTGCCTACAAGCCGACTCCGTCTTACCACGAGCCCGCATACAAGCCGACTCCTTCTTACCACGAGCCCGCGTACAAGCCGACTCCTTCTTACCACGAGCCTGCTTACAAACCGACTCCGTCTTACCACGAGCCTGCCTACAAGCCGACTCCGTCTTACCACGAGCCTGCCTACAAGCCCAAGACGTCTTACCATGAACCTGCCTATAAGCCTACTCCGTCTTACCACGAGCCTGCCTACAAGCCGACCCCGTCTTACCACGAGCCCGCCTACAAGCCCACTCCTTCTTACCATGAGCCTGCCTACAAGCCCACTCCTTCTTACCACGAGCCTGCCTACAAGCACACTCCGTCTTACCACGAACCCGCCTACAAGCCCACTCCTTCTTACCACGAACCTGCCTACAAGCCCAAGACGTCTTACCACGAGCCAGCCTACAAACCCACTCCATCTTACCACGAGCCCGCTTATAAGCCCACTCCATCTTACCATGAGCCTGCCTACAAGCCCAAGACGTCTTACCACGAGCCTGCCTACAAGCCCTCGACGTCTTACGATGAGCCCGCCTACGACAAGCATAGCTCATCCCATGAATAAATAAGCACACAATTCGGACCTCTTGCTACCATCAGCCAACGCCTAAAGCGCTTCACAGACATAAATGTTCAGATTCAATAAACCGTTTGCCAGTCATTTATTATACGATTGCTGCATAAAACTCGAGCTACTGGTATCCTAAGCGAGGTTCCATATGCATGTAAATGTTCAATGGACTTACTCAGACCTCGTCTTTCTTTCTTGTATCGATGTCAGTATGGAGAGCTGATGCACGCCACAACGAATGTGAACGCATTTCGAGATAGCATCTGTTTTACAAGCACTCATGTCATCTTTTTGTAAAAGGATACGTTATCAGCTGTTTTACATGTTTCCTTTAGCGTTGTGTGTGTGATGTCTGTTGTCCATGGTATTTATGTTGTATTTATTCAGTAATATACTCGTTTGAAGGCACCTGAGTATTTTATGTCAAAATTGAGTGAATTTATGAAACGTTTATACATACATAGATAACATAGAAACATAGATAACAGTAGAACCATGAGCACAAGGTCATTTTTCATCATATGAATAAAATTTATCAAAAGTGTTAGACGAGAATCTAAGCGTGTGGATGCTTACTGGCGGGTGAGAACTGAGAACAGCTCCTGTATCTCACACATTCAGATCACATTCAAATTCCTGCAAATCGAGTCTCAGTGCAAGCTCCAGGCATCCAAACATTTTACTCACAATCTAAAGCTACTAGCCTCCAAATCTAAGTCGGTGGGGTAGTGGAAAGGTGAACTAGCTGAATCGTTGCATCTCATTTCTTGCCGCTTATTGCCAACTTCATGCGCTCGGTATTGCTTCATCGGGGACAATCTACCTAACTGAACGACATCCGTTAATCGGTGTCTGTCTCAGAGTTCCCTCAGTGCTGGAGGACGGTTATAAACCTTCTCAGCACCACCCCCTAACAAGCTCGAAGTGTTTGTGTGTGATGGCTACAGGCTACCAGCAACAGGCCACCACTCAGCGCAACATATCTATTTGGCCACTTGTACCGCCTTCTTTCGTTGGCCTCCGTCTGACTGGGGTTGGATGACAGCGGATCGGGCGTATATCATTGGACACGAAAAACACCAGATATTTGCATTGATCTAATAGGATGACTAAATATTAAAAGACTCTATATGCTAATGGATAGTTAGTATACCGAGCTGCGCATCATATTTCGCCAGCACCATTAGGACAGCAGTATATGACGTTAGCAGTCCATTGAGTCACAGCGCTCAGCTGTAGGCACTGCCGGAACGGTCTCTGCTCGTCAGGCTTTCAGTGGTGTGACGGGTGACGCATGACACGAATGGATATGTGTGCCGCAGATGCGGATTGGAAGGAAGCCTCTATGCGAATCCATTTAGAGACGCATATTCTGGCTCGCAGTTGAGCTTGCGTCCACACAGCTCCACTAGACTGTCATAGCAGGAGGTCCAAGAACTGATAGGATTAAATATGCCGCTTTTGCCGCCGACATTGTGCCTCAACAGTCAACAGTGTCACTTTGGTATATTTTATACGTATTTTATCCCAATAAAATGTGCTGTTGGAGGAACACTGAAGCCAAAAGAAGCTGGTTAAGACACGCTTATTTTAAAGTAGGTAGGTACTGGAATTTATCAATATACCTACCTACAGTCTACATATGTGCAAGTACATACATGGGTAGTTAGAAATTTGTAAATGCTTCGTTGTTTGTAAAAAGTACATGACAATGCGTTCCATAACGTTTAAAATTAATGCTCTCCAAGCGACGTTTCTGACTGGACCCTGATCCTGACCAAGCTCAAATTCTTACTTTCACACGAGCACTGGTGATTATAAGTAGTGAATGATTGATAGTGAGCATTACAATACATAAGCAAATCGTGTGACAATGGATCAAACGCAAGACAAAAGCTTTTTGTATGAAAATATGGATAAAAATATAGCTGATACGTCGTCAGACCTCACTTTAATCTGTCTTTCTTTCCTTTCTTTTCATCCAAATTAACCCGTTACATGTTGAAAATGCATTCTTTTAATTTCTCCAACCATTAGTACGAAAGTTAATAAAGGAATATTAAAATTTTTCAACATTAAATTTAAAAAAAACAACAACATTCAATTAAAAATTTCTGCTGGGGGGGTTTGAACACCCCCCCCCCCTTCGAACTCGGCTCCTGGGCCACGTAGCGACACGCGGAAGGCGGCGTTCGAAAGAGCGTCAAAAATAATGACGAAATCACTTTTGTCAATTTTTTGGTCAGGTCAAAGGTCAGGTCACCAGAGGTCAATGAAGGCAAAATTTCGCCGATTTCCAGGTCGAATGTCGTCAATTTCCAATAAGCCAACGCATAACTCGGGAACCAATAGAGCTACAGCGCCGCGGAAAAGCGCATTCGATAGCCCTATTAACGCCCTTTCTGACTAAAGGCCGCCGTCCACTGTGCGGAACGCGTGCGGTCCGTACGGAATTTGACACAGAACCCTATGGGCGCATCCGGTCCGTACGGAAATCGTGTGCGCTCCGTCCGGACCGCATCCCGGCATCCGAACGGCAATCAGCTGTTGATTTTCCGTCAGCTCTCCGCATGCGTTTCGGATGCGGTTGCTACGGAGACGGAAGAGTGATGTCCGACGCGTTGAACTTTTCTGCGGAAAACGCATCCGGAACGTCCGGAACAGACGTGGTTTGGGGCCGTATCGGAGGTAAACATTGTGAATTGTACGAAGAATTGGAACTCGATCATCATGAAGTAAGTAAAAATTATTTCCTTAGAATGGCAAGAGTATTCGCTGCTGGTTACTTGCAATATTTTATTTGGTAATAAGTGATAGGAAACATTTATTAGCTCTCCGCATCCGGACCGCATCCGGACCGGATGCGGCCAGCGTGCGGCGACATTCCGGACGGACTCCGGACGGAATTCCGTCGCAGTGGACGGCGGCCTTAATTCTCTCAGATTTGACCTAACGTCAACGGTTTTGCCTGCAGAGTGCAGGGGGCAAAAACTGCAAAAATAGCCGATTTTTTCGGAAACAGTTTTTCTGCAATAACTTTTGACCCAAGCCTTGTACGAGCTTCCTTTTACCGGCACCGTGTTCCTCTCGTCAAGACGCATCGAATGAACTATAACTTGACCTTGAAAAGTCAATTTCAAAATTTGACCTCAGGTCAAGGTCATGACCTGACCGGAAAGGGTCATGTTGCATATCAGTCGATCCGTATCGTCGAGCTGAACACATCTAAGGCGTTTTCATCGCTCTAGCATGCCTCTATCAAAAGTTATTTGCGAAAAACTGTTAGATACCATTCGTGACTTAAGATGACCTCAGGGCATAAACAGGGGTCACGGACACCATTTTCATGTTCAGTGTGTGTAAACCACTTGTAATTCAGTGTTTGGGAGTGTTTATAATGTCTTTCGTCCAAAAGAGGCGCATTTCAATTTTTTCCCATTGACTTAAAATGGGGAGGTCGCAAAATTGACCTGACCTTAGGTCATCGATATCAAAATTCTGATATATACATTTTGTACATGCTATTGCTCTTAGCAATCGCTGAAGGTTTCAAAGCGATCGGTAACTCGGTGTAGCTATGACAGACATTGAAACTTTTTATGAGGTGAGGTCACTTCAAGTGACCTGGTGACCTGACCTTGAACGACCTTGGTCTGAAATTTTCACAACATGTGTAGAATAGATGTATGATAAGGTGTACCAAAAACGGCGGCGCTCCGCGCCGCCGTCTTTGAGATATTCCCGAAAAACCACAAGGGGGGTGTTCAAACACCCCCCAGCAGGGCGCGGGTTAACCTTGCAGGCTGAACATACATATATGAGCACTGAGGTCAACAGCAAAGACTGCACTGGTTTGATTGAGCCAGGCTGACGTCGATGGCACATAGATAGGTGCGTGATGTATTTTATAATCAAAGAAACGCATTTTGTTGACATGCTTGTCTTGTTTAGGAGAATTATCGTATTGCATAGGTACTTGAAGTTGATTGTAAACAATGACAGCATACAGGTGCATGAGGATGAACTGAAATACATTCGACATATAGTATGTCATTTTATCATTTTTCTCAATATCTTTACTAAACAATGCCGTTCAAGCTGTTTAAAGTGTAATAAAATTGAGCCTTTGCTTATTGTAGAAGCCCACCTTTCCACCACCGACGCGATGCGTCATTGTCGAGCTGCGTCACTGTCGACGATGACCGACGTCGTCGAGCTGCGACCGACAGACGGCTCGACGGAGCCCCTGGCGACGCACGTGCAGCCGAGAGCGCACGCCGGTCAGGGACTGGCGCGAGACGTGTGCCCTGGGTCACTCAGGGAAGTCCAGCCAACTGATCGCGCACTGAGGGCGGGACAGCAGGTCAAGGTAGGCCAATAACAGTGTTCTGTTTGGGAGCTGAGCTAGAATTCATTATTATGTACCGAGGTTTCAAGAGATGAAGATTTCTTACGCCAGGAAGTCAGTACAGTGAAGAAGGACAATATCCAGACCACTTTCTAAGTTGTTGTGTATCGTATCAGTTCCTAGACCAAAAATGAATGCACAACACGGCCTGTGCTTTTTGTTGATCCTTTTTACTAGCAGTGCACTGAATGCAGCAGAGCCTTTTACCACAGAAGAGAGTATTCCCATTTTGAAGAATGTTGACGAAGAATCAGCAGAAAAGATCGACGTGTCTCAGAGTGCAACCAATACTGAGAACGCAGGTTCCACAACTGGAGATGAAAACCAAGAAAAACACAATGACAGGTCTCCTTTAGACAATCTATTAACACAAAGGTCAACAAATGCTAGAAATGACACTACCTTGGAAGCAAAAGTAATTCAGGCGCACAGTGAAGAGAGGTTTCCAAATGAACTTGAAAAAGGAGACGAAAAGGCGGGACAACCAAGGAGGAAAGACAATGCAAATCCATCGAACGAATCCACTACAGACACGCCAGTTACGGCATCCAATGGTCTTCCGTCATCTGAGACCGAACCAATCCCAGACCCAGCCGTGCCGGGAGGATCGGAGTCCTATTCCGGAGCCGCCTCTGCGACTGGCGATGTGCCCGCCGGCGGTGTCCGGGCCCCTGCAAGCTCTGGCTCGCCCGGTTTCACGGCGTCTGGTGGCTATTCGGTGGAGGGCGCCGCTTCATCCAGAAGCGTTGAAGTCGATGTTATTTCCCTTACTCCCATCTCCGTTGATCCCACTTCATCACAATCATCCGAGCATTCGGTGAACAATTTGAGCGTTCCACAACAAACAACATCGCTTCCCGCTGAGGCGGTTTCAACGGCACTTTCAAATACTTCCGATTATCAGCAGGCCGTTTCTCTGCTCCCTGCCACTAAGCATCTCCTGACCTCTTCCACGGGCAGCTCTCTGATCCCCGCCCACCCTCTCGACCAGCTGCCGGCTCCCGGCTCCCCCGGCGCGCCGCCGTCGGCCGCGCCGGCCGCGCGCCTCCGCAGCCCCGTCTTCGAAGCCCACCTCGTCTCCATCATCGTCTCCAAGGCCAGGACGCCGTTCGACTACGAGATCAGCGGGCCGGCCATCGAGCTGGCCGTGGAGACGGTGTCGCAGCTGTACCCGCACATCCGCTTCACCCACGTCTACCGCAACGGCTCCAACCGGTGCACGCCCGACGAGGCCGGCTACCTGGCGGCCGAGGAGCACTGCCGGCGTCCGGTGACGGCCTTCATCGGGCCCGGCTGCAGCGAAGCGCTCACCAGCCTCGGTGGGTGGCTAGATTAGTGCAGCTGGTGAGGTGTGGGCTTAAAGACATTTAGTGGGTCCTAACTGGCACAATCATAGATGAAAGGTGCATGTCTGCAGATGAATAGGATAATTGGCAAATTTAGTGATGCGACTACCGAGAAGCCCAGTAGCTGTTCGATATGTAGTTATACAGGTATATGTATGCGACCCACCTTTCCGCAAAGAAGAGGTCAATAGAGCCACGGATTGCATGCATTGATACAAATAATTGTGTCATTCGTTATCAATAACAAAACAAGGAAGGCAGATGATCCAGGATATAGGTATGCGGTATCATTATTCTGGCCCTGTTCATAAGCAAGCGTATTAACTACCCACCAATTGAGCCCTTGATTAATGCATTCATTTGCTAAATCAATTAATCATTGAATTAATAACGTCCCATTTTCCAGCGGGCAGCGCAAGGTGATGCTAGTTAGGAGCTCCATTTTTTATCATTAGCGTCGTTCTTCAGGCCTAAAATCTTATTAAATTTAAATCTAGAAGGACCAAACTTTCGGACCGAAACGAAGGGGCCTTGCAACTCTTCCATTCAAAAGATTTGAACTACATTTATTGAAAAAAAAAACGTTCTAAGATTGATTATATAAGGCTATGGGGAAGGGGGAAATAATGTTGAATAATATGCACATTAAATACCTACCTGTGATCCCTGCCCTCAACCAGTAGCGGCGGAACACCTCATTCTTTCCATGCAACGCCCATAGGGCTAATGTTAAAATGCCTAAATCAAAGGGGGCACGGTGCCCCGGTGCCCTCCCCGCTCCGCCGCCTATGCCCTCAACCTTTTTAGCAAATTGGTTAATAGCTCGCATAAACTTATAAAACCGCAACATCGCAGAGAGCACCACCGACAGCTCCATGTGCCGGCCCGGCAGGACAGGTATCACTGAGAGTTCCTCTGCCCGGCAGGACAGGTATCACTGAGCCTGCCTCTGCCCGGCAGGACAGGTATCACTGAGCCTGCCTCTGTTCGGCAGGGCAGGTATCACTGAGAATGCCTCTGCTCGGCAGGGCAGGTATCACTCAAGTATCACTGAGAGTTCCTCTGTTCGGCAGGGCATGTATCACTCAGCCTGCCTCTGTTCGGCAGGGCAGGTATCACTGAGCCTGCCTCTGTTCGGCAGGACAGGTGTATCACTGAGCCTGTCTCTGTTCGGCAGGCCAGGTGTATCACTGAGCCTGCCTCTGCTCGGCAGGACAGGTATCACTGAGAGTTCCTCTGTTCGGCAGGACAGGTATCACTGAGCCTGTCTCTGTTCGGCGGGGCAGGTATCACTGAGAATGCCTCTGTTCGGCAGGGCAGGTATCACTGAGAGTTCCTCTGTTCGGCAGGACAGGTATCACTGAGAATGCCTCTGTTCGGCAGGCCAGGTATCACTGAGCCTGCCTCTGTTCGGCAGGGCAGGTATCACTGAGAATGCCTCTGCTCGGCAGGGCAGGTATCACTCAAGTATCACTGAGAGTTCCTCTGTTCGGCAGGGCATGTATCACTCAGCCTGCCTCTGTTCGGCAGGGCAGGTATCACTGAGCCTGCCTCTGTTCGGCAGGCCAGGTGTATCACTGAGCCTGCCTCTGTTCGGCAGGCCGGTTGGCGGCCAAGTGGAACGTGCCAGTGCTCACGTCCGGAGGCAGCAGCCAGCTTCTCGGCGACAAGAAGGTTTTCTCGACACTCACCAGGCTCTCGCACACCATGGATGACCTGAAGCAACTCATTCGGAGAGTGTTCAGAAAGTACCAGGTGAGAACAACAAACAAGTGAGTAAGTGAGTAACTTGGTCGGAATACCGTTGGGCAAGAGGGAGACAAGCTCCAGAAAAAAACTGACCTTCCTCAATTAATGGGGTCGGGTAAGTTCAGAAATATGGGGATTTCTTGCCCTGTTGCTTTTGATTTGCATTGAAACGTTGGAGAAATCCCACACTCAACTATCTTGAGAATAAATATTTTCGAGACGCTTTCAGTTTGCTAAAACATTTCACTTCAAGGTCAGATCCAAACTGGGGAAGCTTGGTCCACGTCCAGAATCTCGAGTAGGATCGGATCAACATTGCTGACGGGACATAAGCTGCTGCAGATTTCAGACTTTCAGTTCTTGCAAAGCATGCTATACCAAGTCTCCTCGAGATTTTAGGCGCCGTTTGTCTGGCTGCGCAGTGGAGGAACATAGCGGTGATATACAACGAGGAATGGTCCTACTCTCGCCTGCTGGGAACGGCCCTGAGGCGCCGGTTCGACGGGCCCGACCGGCTGCACATCGAGCACTACCCATTCAGAGCTGACGCGTCACCAAACAAGATCAGACAGCTGCTGACGAGCGCTGCCGAACAGGCCAGAGGTGAGACGGCTGGTGCCGAACGGTGGGAGGACTGGGAGGCTGGGAGCTAAACTGTGGGGCCGTGAGATGAACGGTGGGAGGACTGGAAGACTGGGAGATAAACAGTGGGGCCGTGAGATGAACGGTGGGAGGACTGGGAGACGAATGGTGGGAGCGGGAGACAAACTATTGGAGTGGGAGACGAATGGTGGGAGGACTGGGAGATGAACGGTGCGACTGGCCGACTAAGAGACGAAGGTTGGGACTGGGAGATGAAAGATGGGATGACTGGGGGATGACGGTGGGATGCCTGGGAGACAAAGGTCATGGGACTGGGAAACGAATGGTGATACGATTTTTTTTTAGTAGCGCCATCACATAACACCGATCTAAATCATATGAGGCCTGACCTGGGCCGTGAGTCGATCTCACCGCCCCTGCCGTCTGCCCTCAGTGTTTCTACTGGCGGCTCAGGGTGACAGCATCCGCTCACTACTACTCGAAGCACACAGCCTGGGCTTCAACAACGGCGAGTTCGCCTTCCTGACCGTGGAGCCGTTCCGCAGTAAAGCTCTGGGTAACTTCGGATGGCACCGCGAGGGCGACTCAGAAGAGCGGAACGAGGTGGGTCACGGCCATGGGGTAGCAGATAATATTGACACGGGAACGCTAAGATATCTCACAACCAGAACTGTAATAGCATGATAAGGCTTGTTTTGGGTTAGTAGCCGTTGTAGCAGCTTAATTTTTTGTCATCATATGATGTTATACAAAAGATAATAAATATCACGTCAGCGGTATCATTTCCACGATGCGATTTTTTTACCACACTGTTGATATTGATATCACTATCGTGTTTAAATGTTCTGAAACTTTCTTTCTCAGGCGGCAAGAGAAATGTTCGAATCCCTTCTGAAAATATCACTCTCTACGCCAAAGACACAAGACTTTCCAAAATTCATAAAGGAGACTCAACGTCGAAGCAAGGAACAGTACGGCCTTTCTCTGACCTACGAGGAGGTATATGTACTTACGTGCACATATGTACTTACCTAGTACCTACCCTGGATATGCCCAAGCATGGGCTGAAAAGGGGGTGGTGGTAGCCTCCGAAGATGATATCGGAACGAATAATTCCTTTCCGTATTCATTCATCATGTTAAAATTTGGGTTATTGGTACTGGGATTAAGGACAGATGGGTCTCAAGAGCGCCATGGCTTGCGGTTGCCACTGTGGATGGTTGGTAGCGTCGTTATATAACCACCTATCACAGGTGGTCTCTCAATTAGGCTCAGGTATTTTTAGTGCTAATGGTATAATCCGTGTGCCGGCTAACCCAGCGCGCTGCGCGCACACTGGGCAGGATCCGTCCGGCAACCGTTTGACGTCTGGCCCGCGATTGGTATCAGAAAAGAACACCTTAGTCCGGCTTGACCTGGCCTCGGAAATTGAAAATAACTTCTACAAAAGCTGATGCTTCTTCGTTTTCTCGCAGTATTCTTTCTTAATTATGCATTTTTCACAAGTTTTGACCCTAATGGTGCAGAAGACATAATACAATCCATACGGGGTTTTGCGTGTAAGCCCTGAAATCCCACATCGACATCGTATTCGAGAAAAAAAAAACTTGCTAATTTTTGGTGCAAATTGCTTGCGAAAGTCTTCATTTTAAGCCATTTCACCGATCGCTTAAGTCATATGCAATATCGTATTTGGCCAAAATATTTGAAGACTTGATGGTCGTGCATCGTATTCACAGGTAACGACACCCGTGGTGACGGGTCTGTACGACTCGGTGATCATCTACGCCTGGGCCGTGGACCAGGTGCTGAGGTCGGGCGGTGACCCTTCCAATGGGGTGCAGGTCACGCGGGCTATCTGGAACAACACCATCTCGGGCGGTGAGCACTCGGTGGACTGGAGAACGGGGTCTGTAGATGCTGGAGTGTGGGCAATGTGCAGGTATTCGTCGATGACATAATCGTAATGAAAGGTGGTAATCGCAATCGAAGAAAACAGTCGATAATCGAAGATAATAATCGTTTCATCTTGGCACCATGGCAGCATGTAGAGTGGTCGTATCGTGCTGATGGAAAGCACCCTTCAAGTGAGCGATTTTAAAACATTGTGAGCGAACAAAAAATATTGTAATTTGCCATCTAATTTGTCAGTCTAAATAATTTAAATAGTTACTCATCGGTTTCAACGTCATTACAACCAGCGTGCGCAGGCACAGAAAATTGAGCTTCGGGTCGGCGACTGTCGCCCGATCGCACTGGGATCGCCCAGCCGCCTACGCTTTCAACCACCATTGTTAGAGGCCATTGAGTAGGTCCGGCACTTACCTGGCTTGTGTGTGGATTCCAGTCAGCATCGCTTCTGAAAGTTTAATCCTGTCGAGTGCCGTCAAAGAGCAGCACAGTCACCACGCGCCCCAACACGCATACACAATTTGCACTATAGCAAGCAGTCCCTGCAGAAGTCTGCACCAAACTGCTTGGACACCAGTCGTCTGCTGAGTGATAAACACCACAAACACCGTACTTCCTTCCTCCCCGGTTCAACTCGCCCGGTCTCGGCGACACCGCACCACGCACTGTTCGCCTCTCATCAGCCCCAACCCGCGGTATCAGGTGATAGCAGAGTCAAATGCCACGGTTCCGTCTCATGTGACCGGTCGTGGAGAAGCACCGACGAACGCGTCAGAGGCGCACCCAGCGGCCAGTAACAGGTCGGCATAGCACCGACGAACGCGTCAGAGGCACACACAGCAGCCAGTATAACGACTCGGCACAGCGCTTCCGAACAGACACTCTCAGTGACGCTTAGAGGGGTCACGCTTCTAGGTGTACCTAAACTTTTTAAGGGTTGAGAGGAGACTTGGGATGAGCATTGGTCACACTATTTTTGCAGGAGTTTTGCTATAATAATGACAACGGTGCAATTCTTTTTTCCGAGATTAACCCGCGCCCCACTGGGGGGGGGGCTATTTATAGCCCCCCCTCCCGTTTTTCTGCAATAACTTCCAAACCGCTTGACGTATCGACGCCAAACTTTCAGTACCTTCGGCTGCATCAATTTGACACCTTGTGTCAAAATTTGAACTTCGTAGCTACCATAGGTCGGCCGAAAATGACGTCAGAGTTACGTCATGTTCGTCCGATTTCGACGCAAAACATTGAACCACGGCAATCACTCCAAAGAGCTCAGTTTTTAAGCTAGATCCAATTTCTTTGCATGAAAGGACTCAGAATTGACCGCGCTATCAAACTGCTATCTCGGATTTTCAAAATTTTGAAAATTTCGAAATTTTTATATAATAATATTCAAAATTTTTATTTTTATATTTTTTTCAAAAAGTTTTTGACTTTTCGAAAAAACCGGAATATATGTGACAGAACGCATGATTATGACTAACTCTAGCAAGTTTTAGCTAAATATCTTCAAAAATGGCCAAGTTATACGCATTATTGCAAAAAATTCACAATTATTAATTTTTCAAATCACTTTTTCAGTACGTATTTGACATCGTACACCAATATAAATGGCACCATCGTGTTCCTGAGCTCAAACTGCATCCAATAGACACCTTTTTTGTTGAAAAATTTTAACTTCAAAATTTGACCTTTTTTGACCTGAAAGTGACCTGACCTAAGCTAAATTCGACTCAAAATGACCTCGAATGACACAGACGACATCAAATTCGAAATCTATGGCCTAAATGGACCATAAAACATGTGTCACGTGACCGACGCATGATATAATATTTTCGTGACCTGTGATGACCTGACCCTGACCTGAAAATCAAAGTACAACTTTGGTACCCTCAAGGTATCTAGAGCATCTGTTCACGAGTGTGGAAACCAAAAATGAGCCTGATCTGACTTGTAAGACGGCGGCCAGAGCCCAAAATGTGAACAAGCCAAAGTGCTAATAATTTTTACTTTGACCTGACCTGTGACGTCATCGGTGACCTCGAGGTCAATGAAATTAGGTTTCGCTCGACAGTTTTTCCGGGGCTATCAGACGCCGTTTGAATTTTGGCGATCGGCCCAGTAGTTTCGGAGTTAGGAGGGGGGGCTATGAATAGCCCCCCCCCCCCCAGTAGGGCGTGTTATACACAGACCCCAGTGGGGCGCGGGTTAATGTTCACGGGAAACGGTCTTTGAACATTGTTGTGCGGTACGCAATAATTTAATCTGCTCATTAATTAATGCAATAAAATAATACCATTAACGCTACTTCCTGCTGTATTTTCAGGCATCAGCGGTATCATCAAAATAAACAGCTACGGCGACCGGGAATCTGACTACACCGTCACTGATATCAACCCATCGACAGGCGACTGGGAGGTGCGTAATCCACATTCACACTTCGCTATCATTTATTCTGACACGCCAATCTTGCTAATGAAGGAATTATGATGCATAAATCAACCGCACATCATCAAGCTGCGACCAGACTCTCCTCTGGCAGGAGGTGGCCCACTGGAGCGGCGCTGAGGGTGTTCTGACCAGTGACCGGACTGTGACCCTCTGGCAGGAGGTGGCCCACTGGAGCGGCGCTGAGGGTGTTCTGATCGAGGTGCACGACGTCTGGTGGCCCGGCGGCGGCGCGGCGCCGGCCAACCAGCCCCTGTGCGGCTACGCCGGCGACCGGAGACCGTGCCGGCCGCTGGAGGTCACCGATCCACTGGTCCTCAGCAGCCTGATCGTCCTGCTCGGACTGGTGGCGCTCAGCGTGGCGTGAGTGAGCCACTCAGGGACACACAATACACATCCCGTGACATGGAACAGGATCTCAGGGATCCAGATTCATTGGCTCCTGGTTGTGTCATTATACCTATCAAGTCTCGCTTGCTATCTGTAAGATGTAAATCATGAAGGAAACTTGAAAACGCGCAAACTGTCAAAGCATATGCAATAGCTATTTTCGTGTGCCACCTGACATTGACCTCGTGTAGCTGCTGACGATTTTAATAGTCCATGATTCTATTCCAGATTGATCATTATGTCCAGATTACGGAGCAAGCAGCTAGAGCTAAAAAGCAAATGGCAAATTCACCTGTCGCAGCTAACTCCTTGTCCTGAAGACAACGAATCAACGGTAAAAAAAGCACTTCATCGTCATCTCATCACTGCTTTCAAAAGTTTCATGAGTGGATTTCGGACACGATTTCATTGATTGGGTAGTTATTTCGATGCAAGTGACAAAATATTATTGCTGTGTTATTTTATCGTCAGGTGTAACATAAAATACTGCCGCAAAAATTACGAAAATATTAACATAGCTTTTACTAATCAAATAAGACACTGCGTTAAAAGTCCTGTCCATAAAAATGTTTTCCTACCGCTAAAAAGCTGTTTCTCCTACCAAACAGTACGACATTGGCGACGATCACCGTCCACCGCTGTGGGAGAGCTCCACCTCGCTGCCGTCCCGCGTCTCCTTCCGCGGCAGCAACGTGTTCCTCAAGCCCATCGGCGTCAGCAGGCTGGTCGTCTCCAAGGAGATGCTGCTCGAGTTCAAACAGGTAAACGGACACTTTTGCCAGAAATTAATAAAAAAAAAGAAGTAAGGACAATGGAAGAATAAGAATAAGGGACAAGAACGGACGACTTAGCTTGAACGCTTTTTAGCACTGTCTCTGCTTTCTCTACGACTTTATTTATAATTGGAGCAAACATGTCCGTTGATGATAAACTAAACGACCAAACGTAACAACCAAACAATGTGTTTCACTTTCAGATGCGGGAGACCAGTCACGACAACCTGCTGTATCTCCATGGCGCGCTCCAGTTCGCCGGTCGCGTGTACTTTGTCACCGACTACTGCTCAAAGGGCAGTCTGGGTCACTTCCTTCGCAACAGTCCGCTCAAGCTGGACTGGTCACTGCGTCGCGCCATCGTGTTTGACATCGTCAGTGGACTCGACTACCTGCATCACTCCGAGGTGAGTGGAAGGAGGTGGACTCTTCACACAATCCGGTGGTCGTTACATGATGCTACTTCTTGCTCTATTTTTTTCATTTTTAGATGACCGTCTCAGTGTGAAATTTGATTGACCTCACCGAGTTTCCTCTTCCGGCTTATGTCTACCGTAAAAGGGTTTTGCAAATAAAAATTATACTTTCCATGACAAAGCTTTGTTTGGTGGTCACAGCCGATATCATTTTCATGTTTCGGTCATAAAGCGAAGTACTCCTTTTATATTTTTATACGATATCATTGCCACTTCTCATTTGCCACTGCTCATAAGCAAGTAGGCCCTCATAACTGTGCGGCTGGTTGGTGTCTTTGTCAGATTGGAAGTCACGGGTCGCTCACGTCCAGTGACTGCCTCCTGAACGGACGATTCACTGTCAAACTGACCGGGTTCGGAATGGGCAGCGTGCGAGCGCAGATGCCCCCCAACGTCCGACCAGGTAAGCGGCCACGAGTATGTACCGGCGTCCGGCGCTGCCATTTTTGGAGTTACACGCAATTAACTCTAATTAGAAGCTGCTTCAATGGGAGTCCTCAATATGAGGTAGGACTATACATAAAATCAAATGTAATTTATTCGCTTACATTGTCAGCGTTACGGTGAAATTACGGCGAGTTTTACCTCATATACGAAAAGATCGATTCACCGATCGTCGTAACTTTTACGCGCTTTACAGCTATCCTTTTTTGTCGGCATAACATATCATATTGCTGCTTATGTTGCGCTCTTTTTGATATTTTGTCTACCCGCATCACTGTAACAAACTCCCCATTCCTTGAGAGTTTATTGCTCAGTACGTCACCATTTCAGAGCGACTTCTTTGGGTAGCGCCGGAGAACCTGCGCGATCAAGAGAAACCCCGAGTGGCCACGGGAGATATATTTTCCTTCGCGATAATACTGCAGGAGATTACCACCAGGACCATGCCCTACGGTCACATGACCCCGCTGGAGCCACTAGGTGCGTGTGCATTCTAAATCATACCGCCGCAGTATTGACAAAGCTTTGGGAAGGGTACAAGCGATAGTAATGTCCTTTGCCAAAAAAAAAAGTAACACTTTGTTGATGACACACACAATCAATTCTCCAGCACTTCAATTTTTTTATCAATCAATTAAAAATGATTTTTTCAAGACATCAATTTTTCAAAGGTTGCCTGACAGCCGTCGAGTGCCGCTGACGGCTCCCAGTGCGCTGACCGGCCTCTGTGTGTCGGCGCTCGTCCCCAGACGTTCTGGAGATCCTGCAGCGGGTCCGTGCCGGCACCACGCCGCCGTTCCGTCCCGAGGTATCCCGTGACCTGGTCGACGAGGCCCACTTCGAGCTGATGCGCCAGTGCTGGGACGAGCTGCCCCACCAGCGACCCACGGCAGCCGCTCTCAAACGACAGCTCACCAGGACAGTCAAGTCAGTACCGGCCACACATGACACAGCCATGCTAGATTGTTCTTTTCTATGCAACGTGTCTTCAACATGCTTATTTACATCTTGTATGGAGCTTGTATTTGCATCGGTTCGTCAAGCAACTGTTGAGTATTTAAGTGAGCAGCGATGTTGATCCCTGGCTTATGTTTCTGCTCAGAGCGAGCCCGAACCTGTTGGACGCCCTGCTGGAGAGGATGGAACGGTACGTCAGCAATCTGGAGGACCTGGTGGAAGAGAAGTCGGCCGCCTTCCTGGAGGAGAAACGTCGGTCTGAAGAACTTCTCTACCAAGTTCTGCCGAGGTGGGCTGGAGTTTTCATTGGTCGTCCGTACAACCTGTATATGTATAGATGTGTTCCATTCTGACTCGCCACGGTTTTGTTTCACGATTTCACTCGAAGTCGTTTGTCGATATCAATCCATTTTCGCTAAGTGACATTTTAGTTTTTACCATCTCCAATTTCCATCACTCTCAGATACATAGCCGAGCAGCTGAAGCAGGGAAAACAGGTGCGGCCGGAGAACTTTGAGTCGGTCACCGTCTACTTCTCGGACATTGTCGAGTTCACGGCTCTGTCGGCCATCAGCACACCGATACAGGTAGGTGATCAGAGACGGGCGACGTGAGACAACAGACTTCTGATGGCTGATGACTGACGGCTGATGACTGACGACTGACGACTGATGACTGACGACTGACGACTGACGACTGACGACTGACGACTGACTAGTGCGAATGCCGATGTCACGGGTGGGGTAGTTTGAACTTTAGATTAACTATATCAAACATTAGAATGATACACACACGATATGCACAGGGTAGCTGACGCCATGTATTATAATTCAAAAAGTCAGAAAGCTTCCTCGAACTGGAATCATAACGACAAAAGCAGCGTGATGACAGCATCTAATCTTAACGCATCAGTTCATCACCTGCACCTCCTGTGACTGCGGGAGATATAGTCCGACATTTTATTCATACATTCATTTTCAGGTGGTTGACATGCTGAACGGCTTATACACGTTGTTCGACCGGATCATATCCAACTACGACGTCTACAAGGTTGAGACCATCGGAGACGCTTACATGGTGGTCTCTGGTAAGACAGTCCATTAAACTCTGCACTGTAATAGACCCGTCATGTGTATCTCAAGCATAGCCGATAACGGATAAAGGGTGTAATTTTAGCATGCCCTGGAGGCTATGACTTTACCATGTCATTGAACTTACATTGTCAAATCACGCATTAACTTTACGATGATATCGGGTGCCTTCTGCAGGTCTTCCCGTCAGAAACGGCAACTTGCACGCCAAGCACATCTGTCTGATGGCGCTGTCACTGCTGGAAGCCATCAAACAGGTAGGAGCTGGCTGAAAGAGCGCATCACATGTAGATGTTTTGTTCTTAGATGTTTTGCTCGCTAACTAGGTTCTCTCGCGCTATCGGTGGCCTGCCACGCAACACAATTGTCCTGTTTTTAGTTGGTTGGTTGGCTGGTTGGTTGGTTGGCTCAGTTCTCAATTGTATAGCTGATCTATCGCCCGACCCCCACAGTTTCACGTGCCTCACGACCCGGAGAAGACCCTCCAGCTGAGAGCCGGCATCCACACCGGCCCCGTGGCAGCCGGCGTGGTCGGACTCAAAATGCCCAGGTGGGGACGCGCTGCAATGCAGCTTCGGAAGCCTTGTAAATATTAATCTTTAAAAGTGGTTGGTTAGCTTTCCTCGTGAACCATTTATTTTTAGAATCTAGGAACCGTAATGACCTTTTCTCAATATACGGACGAAAACAAATATTGAGATTTTGTGACGGAGGATTACTTGAAAAGCTTCCGTTAAAAGTTTGGATCGGTTGTTGCTTGATAGCACGATCTAATAGCAATCTCCAGCGAACGAAATCCTTAGCAATGTCAGTGATACGAGATCTGCTAAAAACCATGTGAAACTTTGGTCGGCAGTCAAGAGACATTTTCGAATGGACGTTACTTAAAATGTCAAGCTATTGAACAAGTTTCCCAGCAGCAGGCAACCTTTTCCTGGGATACACATGGCCTTAGCTTGTTTAAGTTCGGCAGTTCTTTTCAATTATCCAGGTGACCGCCGCAGATGACCTGTTCTTGCTTGGGTCACGTGGTCTGTCCTCGACAGGTACTGCCTGTTTGGGGACACGGTGAACACGGCGTCACGGATGGAGACCACCGGCCACGCCATGAACATCCACATATCGTCCGGCACCCGCGACCTGCTCAACTCGTTCGGAGGGTTCCAAGCTGTGCCCCGCGGAGGCGTGGTCATGAAGGTCAGTGACCTGCACGGCGCGATACAGAGGGGATCGGAAGCTGGCATCATTCGCGGGGCACGGTGTCGTTAGGCATTTGGAGTCGGATGGATAGGGCGAGGTATAAATCATGAGACGGACTCAAGAGCTAGATATGTGACTGCTGTGATTCTAGGGATTATGAATTTTGTGACATTTCTTACGCTCAGGAGTAACACTTACCTACCGCGTATAATGACGGTGCAGCAATGAACGGGATTTTCCTAAACCTAAAAAAGCACGTTTAACAGCTATCTCTGACAAAATTACAACGGCCTTCTTTTTCCAGGGGAAGGGCGTCATGAAGACGTTCTGGCTGCTGGGCTACAACCAGGACGTCAACACCAGGGACGTGATCGAAGACCTCGGGCCGGTGGAGAGCGAGTGATTCACCTCGGGCCAGTGGAGAGCCAGTCGAGAGCTAACCGCTCCGAATCACACTGAAGGAGGAGAGCCTCGTGGATCTGCTGAGATACAACGGCGATCGAAGGCAGCTCTGTTAGGGCGACCCAGTCCAATCCATTTGCCATCTGAGTGCTGACGTGAGCGCCGGAAACCGTTTTCTGTTTCTGTTTTCAGTCGGTGCGGCAGCCAAGGTGCTTGAACTTGTCGTTAGTTCCGGATATGGACAAGAGCCACGCAATTGTTCTCAATTGTATGATCTCTGTTGTCACGCGACGACACTGGTAAATGTCATAAATGGTGCTGTTATAAGGAGAAGTAATTCCTCGACTGTTTCCATGTTTCTCGGGTAGTCGACGTCATCGATGTGCTTAGATCGTTGTTAGTGTAAGAGCGGACCTGTCGCCGGCTGCTATACGTCTCGGCGAGTGCGCAGTGCGCACACCCACGCGCCCAGGCTTTGTCTCAGATCGACCGAGTCTGTGTTGTTTGTATGCTTTCCGAACCGTAAAGGCAAATTTCGCCAAACTGTGTCCGGAAAATGTCGTGACTTAGGTGTCATTGAGTCTTTTGACGTTTGACTCATTACAAGCTGTGAATTCCTATGTTCCGTTGACAGTGACTAGGCATTCGAGCTTTTCACATGCCCATAACATGTTAGTAGGTATAGGTGTTTGAGAAGAATATAATTGGTAAGAAATGGTGCTCACCGTGGTGTTATCGATCCAGTTTCGACATCAGTAAAGTTGTTACATGCCTCGGTAAACGTCCCCCTTTCCAGATTTTATCCTTCATAGGAAAACGGAGCATCTCTGACCATGAGATCTTTGTTTACCGATAAGAACTTAAAAACAAGGTGGTTGATGGAAAAAAATATATTGATAGAAATGACGAGAAAACAGAACACTAATGCGATAGAAATGTAACAAAAGCAACAAAAGCGTAACAGTGCCCGAGCAGTTTCCATATCAAAGAATCACTATAGGCATTGATTGGTAACGTCATCCGGTTTTATTTCCTCTCTTACTGTGCTGAAAGTGACGATGACTCAAGTTATTACAATGAAACAAAATGCGTGTAACATGTTCATAATTAACTAATAACTATGTAGTTTGCGTAGTAGTACGCACATAAACACCACGAGACAAATAGAACAAAAACAGCCTCTCGAGCCTCTCGTCTCTCGTTGGTCCTTCAAATCCGAGGTAGAAATCGACAGGACAGACTAGACTCTCACCGTGGGCTGCCTCAAGCGGCAGACCTTCCTCAGACGGCAGTTCTGCCTCAGACTGCAGTCCTCCCTCAGGCGGCAGTCCTGTTTCAGACTTCAGTCCTCCCTCAGACGGTGATCCTGCCTCAGACTGCAGTCCTCCCTCAGACGGTGATCCTGCCTCAGACTGCAGTCCTCCTCCAGACGGTGATCCTGCCTCAGACTGCAGTCCTCCCCCAGGCGGTGATCCTGCCTCAGATTGCAGTCCTCCCTCAGACGGCAGTCCTCCCTCAGATTGCAGTCCTGCCTCAGACGGTGGCTGGGGGCTGTCCTTCCTCTTACCACGGACTGCCTCAGACAGCAGTCCTGTCTCCCGCCGCGGTCCGTCCTCACACGGTAGCTGACGGGCCGTCGCCCTCCCCACTGGTCGCCGGGCCGCCGCAGTCCCGTCCTGCCCCAGTCGGCGTCAGTCGCAGCTCAGACATCAGCTGACGCGAGAACAGCTGGCCCTCGGCAGTGACGTAGCGCCGGCTGGTGCGCCACTGTTCGCCGCGTGCCGCGCACTGCGTGCACGGTCCGTGCTGGCGGGTGCGCCGCGTGCAGAACTTGCAGAGCTGCCGACCGAAGGGACAAAACAGGGCGGGTGGGGTGAACTGACTGTCGATGTGAGTCAGGCAAAGCTTAGAGACTAAACAGAGTATTGTGTAGGTCGCTGACGGTACTTAGAGACTATTTAGTGGTACGGGGTCTTTTGGTAACGATATGTATGAAGCTGTTTTGAGGAACCCGGTAAATAACAAAATCGTTAAGGAAGGAAATGCATTGATATTATGTAGAATCGGAAGCGCTGCTAGCACAGGCGAGGTAATGTGTTTCCACTTTCCCAGCGGCTGATTAACGCGCTGCGGTCGGCCGTGCGGCCTCACCAGGCAGTGCTGGAAGTTGACCTCGGAGCAGCCGATGCAGACCAGGCAGTGGTTGCGGCTGTCGCGCAGTTTGCGCTGACACCAGGAGAACACCACCGGTTTGGAGCAGTGCGGGCACGGCCGCTGCATGGGCACCACGCTGCGAATCTCCACCAACAGATGGCAGTGCGGACAGGGCTGCGAGTCCGACAGCAGGCGACGAATCTCCTTCGGCTGGCGACAGGCCGAAAAAAGACAACCGTGAATGAAAAAACAACGAAGAACAAAGTCAGCAAAAAACAATTCGGTGACATTTCGGATCGGCTTATTCAGGAAGTGGGCACGGTTACACTTAAATTCAAAATAGGTACTAGAACTTCGCTTAAAATATATCCAAACGTTGATCGTAAAACGTCAACTGTTGAGTCAGATAGCACGCCAAGCAAGGCTCGTTGCCAATGGTACTATGCAGTAGTGGACCTGACACTGACCGCTCAGTTTTACCCGGTTTCAATTCCAATCGAAGCCTCCTTTTGATCCATCGTTACCATTCCACCGACTCTACCTTGTTGACGGCGAACACGTTCTGCACGAGGCACGTGTCCTCGCGGGCCGTCTCCACGTCGATGCCCTCCTCCAGCACGGCGTTGAAGGTGTTGGAGCAGCCCGGGCCGCAGCGGCACGCGGTGCTGCCATAGCCGCAGGGCAGAGAGGCACGCGAGCACGGACAGTCCAGCGAGCTGCGCCGGCGCACAACGTGACGTCATACTTACAATCGTGACGTCACTCACACATACCGACACACACTGGGGGGATAAAGCAAATAAAATATAGCTAAATGACCTTATAGGTAATTACAGAAAATGTTGGGTGAGAGGCTCATTTCCGCGCAATTGGTTCGCTTCGGAAAGTCATCCAACACCACTTTCGGGTGTAGTACGTTTTATACCCGGTGTTTTTATATCATCGTACACATCCAAAGCGTAGGTAGGTATTATTTTTCTGAGGCTCTACAGTGCACCTGCAGTGCACTGCAGTGACGTCCTGTTTTAATGAGCAGTCAGTGTGACGGTCAGGGGGCTACCAAGGCCACTAACCGGCAGGAGAAGCGGCAGTTACAGCTCTGGGGCTGACCGGACTGCAGCCACGTCTGGCAGCCCTCCTGGCTCACTCCTGCACCGCCGGCCGCGCCCACAGCTGCCAGAGGAGGGTGGGCTGAGGTCAATGACGGTGGGGGTTCGGACCAGTCACGGTGGGGTCGGGTCAGCATTGTCAGCAATAGTGGGGTAAGGTCAGCTATATTGTGGGCGGCTATTTGTAGTGGAATCAGATCAATTAGGTATATACAGTGGGAGCACAGGGCTGGCACACTGGAATTGGATGTCAGGGATAGTCATTTTGGTTAGGGGACAATTTCTTTGGCAGTTTCGGAAAATCTAAATAAATATTAATCGGGATTAACTGCCACCATTGATAATTGTATTACATAGCCTCATTGGCAACTATCGGGTATGTAGGCCCGGTCCCGTGACATCACTGAAAGAAATACCCCGCGTCCTAGCGCCGCCACACGACTAACCTGCACCCGTGACGTCACTGGTGGACGCCGGTCTCCAGCTGGTGACGTCACTGGCGGACACCAGTCTCCAGCGGGGCACGTAGCCGTCGAGTCGCGGCGGACAGCAGAGCATATCGTGGAAGCGGCGGCTGACCCTGCCCAGCGTGCGGCAGGCGGCCTCACACGCTGCCTGACTCAGCTGCAGCTGAACGGCCCACAACCCGTCACAGGGCAGCGGGCAACACATTCAACGTCCTTCTTGAACGTACCGTGAGTGCTAGTGAAAAAATCGCCGTTGGACAGCACCAAACCATGGCTCGCCCACGGAAGATAAGAATAATCAACCGATAACTGTGTGATATCCCCAACTTTCTTTACAGTCTGTGACTGTAGTTCTGTTCACCATTCTGACCACCTAGTCAGCTCCCTCCGCTACGGCCTACAGGACATACCAGATGCAGCGGCGAGTCCCTTATGTCTCCACTGACGAAGGCTCGCAGCCGGGGGTCAGTGTTGGTGATCTCTGGCTCGGTCGGGTCACCGGTGCCGGCCTCGCAGGGTCGACCGCGCTGTGAGACGGGCTCCGACGAGGGCCGACCGACGAGCACGGTCGGTATCTGGCACACCACGATCCTCAGCTGCCCCGAGCGGGGAGGGGGGGGGGGGGCAGCGTCACACTTATGCACAAGTAAATACGATCCCCAGCTGTTCCGTGTGGGGAGGGTCGGTGTCACATACACACAAGCATAGACCACTTGTGTATATAGTGGTCTATGACACAAGCTACCACAGACTGATGGACACACAAATGCACATACGATATCCACGGGGTGGTCATATTCTCGCCTATTATACACTGGGAGGATCGGTAGCAGGTGAAAATATTTTGGAACTATTTCATACCTCTTCTGTGGATGATTGTAACGCAATGACGCTGGAGAACTTGACCTCTATGTGAACCAGCTGTCTTTGCTCGCATTCCTCAGATGCCGGTGGATAGTCGAACTCGTACACAATCTTTCTGTAAAATAGGATAACTATAAATATTTTGTTCCAAGGATAAGTTTTTTGAAAATGTGAGCGATGTCTTATGACGTTAGATTTATGTGTTTGTCCCCAGCCTTTTCCCCGGCAACAGGAGTACGCTAGCGATAGAAAGGAACCGGCTGAGTATTGCGGCACAGCATGTTCCAGGCGTTCGCTTTGAGAGACATCTAGCGGCAGTAACAGAAACTAGTGTGTTTGCATCGTGAGTGCACTCTACGACACGCGCTTTATTCTAGTCTTTACTTTTTCATTTTGCAATCGCCATAATTACACGCACAGGCTTCTCGATTCATTTTGATGTTAGGTTCGGAAATACCTACTGTCAGTAGATGGATAAATGCTATTTTACAGAAAACTCTTAGTCTGTGATGGCGGAATAGTTGACGGAAATGAATTAAAGGGACCCTCCCACCTTCACAAAATTTAATGAATTGGCATGAAAGTGATGTCGCTCGGTTCAGAAAGAGCGAAAACGAATAGGTGTACCAAATTTCACCGAAAAATATCCACCGGTTTTCAAAATATTCCGCTTTTAGATTTGTTTACTTTTTGGGATCTATTCGCTATTCCTAGTCGCTATTCCTAGCGACTTTATTTGGAAGCAATAGTTTGCTAGCTGAAAGAGCGGCACTTGTTGCGCGAAAAGCAGCATATACCACCGCGTGTTACCAAACGTTTTAGTAAAAGATTTAAAATCGTTAGATCTGCGCTGACGTCACACATCCAGAGGGGGCATTCTAATGCATTAGCCCCTCTGAATCAAAGTGCTACAACTTTGAAATGAGATATTTTCGATTTGAGGGATTTCTCGATGTTGTGAGTGCTCAAACCGGTAAGTGCAAGTCAGGGACCCCATTTTGGCTATCTTAACTCAAAACTAATGTTAAGGTGGGATGGTCACTTTAAGCGGACAGTGGTAGACAATAAAATGAAAATTTTACTTACATGATGAGGTGGTAGCGTACCTAATAACCCGCGCCCCACTGGGGGGGCTATTTATAGCCGACCTCCCGTTTTTCTGCAATAACTTCCAAACCGCTTGACATATCAACGCCAAACTTTCAGTACCTTAGGCTGCATCAATTTGACACCTTGTGTCAAAATTTGAACTTCGTACCTACTATAGGTCGGCCGAAAATGACGTCAGAGTGGCGTCATGTTCGGCCGATTTCGACGCAAAACATTGAACCACGGCAATCGCTCCCAAGAGCTCAGTTTTTAAGCTAGATCCAATTTCTTTGCATGAGAGGACTCAGAATAGACTGTGCTATCAAACTGCTGTCTCGGATTTTCGAAATTTTGAAAATTTTGAAAATTTTATATAATAATATCCAAAATTTATATTTTTACATTTTTTTCAAAAAGTTTTTGACTTAAAAAAAAACCGGAATATATGTGATAGTACTCATTATTATGACTAACTCTAGCAAGTTTTAGCTAAATATCTTCAAAAATGGCCAAGTTTTAGGCATTATTGCAAAAAATTCACAATTATTAATTTTTAAAATCAATTTTTCAGCACGTATTTGACATCGTACGCCAATATAAATAGCACCATCATGTTCCTGAGCTCAAACTGCATCCAATAGACACCTTTTTTGTTAAAAAATTTTAACTTCAAAATTTGACCTTTTTTGACCTGAAAGTGACCTAACATAAGCTAAATTCGACTCAAAATGACCTCGAATAACACAGACGACATCAAATTCGAAATCTCTGACCTAAATGGACCATAAAATATGTGTCACGTGACCGACGCATGATATAATATTTTCGTGACCTGTGATGACCTGACCTTGACCTGAAAATCAAAGTACAAGTTTGGTACCCTCAGGGTACCTAGAACATCTGTTCCCGAGTGTGTGATCCAAAAATGAGCCTGATCTGACTGGTAAGACGGGGCCCAGAGGCCAAAACGTGATCAAGCCAAAATGCTAATAATTTTTACTTTGACCTGACCTGTGACGTCATCGGTGACCTCGAGGTCAATGAAATTAGGTTTCGCTCGACAGTTTTTCCAGGGCTATCAGACGCCGTTTGAATTTTGACGATCGGCCCAGTAGTTTCGGAGTTAGGAGGGGGGGCTATGAATAGCCCCCCCCCCCCCCCCCCAGTAGGGCGTGTTATACGCAGACCCCAGTGGGGCGCGGGATAACTACGCGTGGCTAGCGGTTTAGGTCGTTTTAAATCGGCTGCTCGTCTACTAACTCATCCCTGACCTGGCGCTGTAGATGATCTTGAGTCGGCCGCGGCCGCCAGCCGGCTCCATCAGGAACCCTCCGATGCCGAGACGGCGAAAGTCGCAGTGGCGCGGCCGGTGGTAGTGCATCGACGTGACGTCATCGGTGTCATCAGTCACAGACACCATCGCTGCAGAGGAAGCAGGGCCGATCGCCGGACGAGGTTTGGACGACGACGCGCGTCACACACAACATGTTTCTGAGCACAGTCTACTTCAAATCAAGCTTACTCGATTTACAGTTTTTTGTGACAAGGGCTGCATTTTGAAGTTTCGACAGCAATAAGTATCAGATTGTTTGTGCATCTAATGCCCATATGCTATTTTCTATGCTCATTAGGTGCTCAGCATAAAGGTCGAAACATTGTAAAGATTATTGTCAGCATAAAGTAGTTATATCAAATGCAATCTGTCCTTTTAATGACGCTATCGTAAAACGGCAGTTATAATTCATTTGCAGTGTTGACCGTAACATACCGCGTAGTATTTTATCTCGCGCCTGCAGGCTTTTGGGTGACGGCGGCTCCATGATGACTCTCTTGGCCTCCTCAGCGGTCACAGAGGCCGGCTCCGTCAGAGCGCTTCCCTCCCCTTCCGCCGGCTGCTGCTCCCGTCCGTCCCCCACCACGACGGACTCGGGCTCCAGCGGCACCAGCCTGCCTCCGTCCTGACGGGGACCGGTGCCCACAGCGTGTCCACGCCCCCGAGCCGTGCCCAGGAGCGTGTCGTACCCGCGGCTCAGCCGGGTGCTGAAGGACCCCAGCTTGCCGACCGAGCCGCTCGAGGACTGCATCGAGATGGAGGTGTGGATTGCGGTGCTCGAGATGGATACTGCGGGCTTCGGCAACAGGAGAGGCTGCCTGTGCAGGGACGTGCTTCTGTGAGACACAGATGGGGTGCAGGCGGTGCTCGCAAGTGGAACGCCTTGTAGAAGGATGGTGGGCGGATGAGGAGCTCTGGTGTGCTTCGATAGATCTCTCGGCCTGGTTGTCCCCAAGGAGAAGTGACGCTTTCGCTGTGACGATTCGTGACGGAAATCCAGAGATCTCTTCCTGTCTGAGCTTGTTGATGATCTGCTTCGGCTTCTCGGCTGTAAGACAGAATCCATAAGATTTTTCCAATGGGAATCGTTGTCATTCGACGAGGTGGCAGCAGCAGAGAATGCTCCATTACCTTCTCGAGTTTCGAGGCCACGTTTTTGCCTGTCGAGCCCCGTACCATCACGACCCTTGCCGAGGCGTCCCGGCTGGCTTACGCCCATCTCTTCCCGTTTGTCAGATCGAAGCATAGAGGACCGATACAGGTCCCGGGTTTGTCTACTCAGCAAATCCTTGGCCACTTGCGAGGCAAGCGAGATGTCCTGCTGGGACGGCATGCCGGGCAAGGACACCGGGTGACGAATCAGACCGGTCTCTGGCATGCGGCGTGACCCTGAGCAGCCACTCTTTCCGTCCGTCTCAGACCGCTTGACCAGCAGCTGGTTGTAGTGCTCCGGAGGCTGAGCGGCCAGCGTCATCCGTCCGTCGGCCAGCTGAGAGAGAAACTCCTCCCTGTCCATGGTTCTCGTCGAGGCGCGCTGGCCGGTCCCGTCTAGGAACGGTGTGCCGTCGGACATTTTGCGGATGATGAGGTGGCTGGTGGATGGCCGGGAGGCTCTGCAGCTGGTGGTGCTACGTTCCAGAGACGACAGCGAACGGCTGCGCTGCCACTCGGCAGCTTTCGGACAGCGCAGATTGTGCTGTGTCAGGCATTGGAGCAGGGATTCCACGGAAGACTCCATGTCCAGATCTTCGAGAAGGTCATCGCAGATGAACACATCAGTTTCACCGTCTTTGAGCACCTCACTCAGTTTCCTTTCGAGACGCTTCTTTTTCCGCAGTGGATCCCGCCCCCAGCGGATTCCCGGGTACACGGAGAACTTCACCTTGCCGAACTGGGTCTGGCACACAGAGTCGGCCACGGGCGCCTCCAGGTGCGGGTGGGCCACGTCCCGGTTGGAGCGCAGCAGGTCGGGGCCCTTCGGGTAGCAGAAGGCGTGCGGCAGGTCCGTCTGATCTGGCTCTGTGTCGCTCTCCAGCGATGTCACGCTGATCTCGTCGGCCACCTCTTCCAAGCTGAACTCAGGGCCCTCTGATTCAGCAATTACACCTCCCAAAAGGGGATCGGTAGATTTTTGGAGTGCTCGATGTCGCTTCAGTGTGGACGCGGAGTTCGCATTGTCTGTTTCATCCTGAAGCCTTTTCCTCTCCTCCCTTCCCCAGACCAGTTTTCGTTCCCACTGCGACATGTCTCCGCGGCAAGTGATGCGCAATATCTCCTTGAGGATCCGCTCGTGTCTGCCAAGCTTGTGTTCACTTTCTGTAATGATTCTCTCCAGCAGAAGGGTATCTATAGGCTGGACCTGCTCGATCTCGCGGCGCAGTTCCAGCATGCCTTTCACGGACATCACCTGGCCGTCAGCGGGTGGCGGCGTGATGCCCCGATCCCCAGACACCACCAACATGAACTGGTGCAGCTCAGTGGGAAACTCGCGGCAGAGTGTCTGCACCAGGTGCATGAACCGGGCCTCAGAGGACATCAGAATTACCTCCAGCGCAGGGAGCGGAAAGTATGGATCGTCCTGAGCCGCCGGGACGCACGGACTGCCGAAGCTCGGGCCCGGAAAGTCGGGGCTCGTGGATGAGACGCAGCTGTCGTCGGCCGAGTTCTCCGCGCCTGATGCAGAGTTAGCAGCGCTGTTCCCCACTGACGCCGAGGTAACTGTTGCCGTGACCAGAGACCTTTCCAATTTAATGTTTGCGGCTCCGAGAGAAGCCGGTGGGGCGGAGGGCCATTGGTCGACCCCAGGAGCGGCGAGCAGACTGGTGCTCGCTACCCCGGCTTCTGAGGACCTCCATTCGTCGGTCGCACATGTACTTGAAGGCTGCATTTGTGTCGTGCTTCGGTAATGTCGCGGAATCGGAGACATATCCGCGCTGCCGTCAAATAGGGACGGAAAACTTGACGAGAGCAGGGTTTGAGAAAGATCGTATTGATTCTCGTGGTAGGTTTCTGGAGTATCAGGCTCCATCCAGTGTTGAACGTCGTCTCTGGTCTCATTTGTGCGATACCCTGACATCATCACCATGTCGAGAAGGTCGTCCAATTCTGACGGCAGAACGGTTCTCGAGCTGACATTGGCATTGCAGGTGCTTCGTTCGGCTGTCTCCAGAGCTGGCTCGCTCTCGATTGGGTCAAAGTTTAGGTCGCACGGGATGCTGTCGTCATCAAGAAAAGAAGTCAGGTCACCAAGAAACGCCTCATCATCTTCCATAAACAGATCACTCTCGTCAGCATGAATGTCTCTTGAGGGTAGCGTATCGGCCATAGTATTGCAAACCTCCGAAGCTGGAAGAATGCTCGAGCCGGTTGAGGGGTGCAGCGCTTCCGAGAGGCGGTCGCTGTGCTCCTGTGAGCTAGTTTCAGTCGGCAGCTCAGGGCAGGCGCTCTCAGGAGCTGATGTGCTTCTGCCTTCCATTGTTTTCGAACAGCTTACTCTGGCTTTCCGCAGCAATTGTGAGGATTTGTCCGTATAACTGAAATAAACACAGCACAATTAACGAGAAAATTAACTCTGAGCCCCATTGGGGGATCAATATGGCCCCCCTGTGTTTTTTCCTGAATAACATAAAAACAGCGGCGCGCAGCGCCGCCAAATTTTCAGTACCTTCCCGGCATCAATTTGACACCTTCACACAAAATTTTAAGTCTTAGGTCACCTTAGGTCAGGAGTTATTGAAGTCAAACTGAGGTCATGTTCGAGCAAAAATGAGCAAAAAACATGAAATCTTGAAACGGTCACCAGCAGCATGACTAAACATATTTTTCATGGTTCGCCTAGAAAGGCATGCCTTCGTCGTTATATAGTGTGCCTAATGTTTTTAATCTAAGGAACTGAACGAACAGATTTTCGATCAGTATTTCTAAAAAGTAGAGCGCATAGTCAATAACATGAGGGATAAAAAGGGATGACTTTCCTAAAATGTTAACAACAAATAAATGAGAGAAAAGGCACACAAAATTAAATCAACACGGAGATTATTGACGGGATGTCAATAGAATTAAGTGCATTAGAATATTGGGCAGTTGACGCACGTTGTGACTGCGGCAGGCGTGTCAAACCGCGATTCAGAAAATAGAGACCGAAAGACAGCGACGCGAAAACAGCGACATACTCACAATAGCGACAGTGTCTATAGCGACTCCCAGAACAGCGACACGCGGACTTTAGTGATTCTTTAAAAAGGGCGACGGGCTATAGAGTGACGGGCGACGGCGTAAAGTAGCGCCTGTCGGTATATTTCTTTATAGCGAAACAGCGACCTGTTGCAAAGCGATCGCGGAAAATTTCGAATATCATTCAGGTTCAGGTATTCTTTTGGGAGGCATTCTGGACGCTTTGGCATGTTTTTAGCATCATGCAACAAAAATAATGAAGGTCGGGCTTGGGTCAGGCATCTTGGGTCATGCGACATTAAAATTATTTTTTTACCATTTACGTTTGGACGTCTTTCTCGTTTGTTAGGTAATTTATAAGTTAAAAATCAATAGTAATGGAAACTTCAGTTAGTATTAAGGGTAAAGACCAAAAGGAACAGGCGTTACAAGAGTTTAATTTGACACAAATCAGAGGAGATAGGGACATAACACGGCGCTTAAAAAATACCTTATACTTAACGTACTTAACAAGCGCTTAGCGCGGGTCATTCAAAATAGGCATGCATATAGAACATTGGATTATCTTAGCGCAATAGGAGGGAACTTAGAATTAAATATAAATTAGGAAGAGGACGTTGCATTACCCTTGCCGAGCTTCTAGCATGTTACCTTGTTCTTGCCTGGGTCTATAAATCGAACGTATCGAAACGAACGAAATCAATCGAATCCTGAACCGAACTATCGTAACATGGAAATCGAACGAATCGAAATGAACTGCACGATAAATACACATTCAACGCACTTATGACATTTCTCGCTATTTTACACTATAGTCGCTATATCACACGGTCGCCCTATAACCCGTCGCCCTTTTGAGGAATCGCTCAAATCCGTGTGTCGCTGTTCTGAGAGTCGCTATAGACACTGTCGCTATTAGCATGTCGCTGTTTTCCCGTCGCTGTTTTTCGGTCGCTGTTTTCTGCGTCGCGGTTTGACACGCACACGTGTGACTGCACGTCCGATCGTAACACGTCGAGGTGTGTATGTGCGTATGTGTGTGAGGGGGGAGGGCAGCGTTGGCATCATGGCCTCTTACTGGCCCCGGCGCTATATTCTCCGAGTGAGTCAGCCCCGTCCAGCGTTTAGCCTTTTATGGCCCGCTCAGGTCCGCGGCTGTTTTCGCCGCTCGCCCAGTCGAAATAAGTTAATAATCATGCGAAGCTTACTTAGGACCTCTGAATACACGGCTACGAAATTAATCGATTTCAAAAGCCCTTTTCTTCCTTTCATCTATATACAAACATTTGCAATGATTCGGGGCTATGCTGCTTTGGCTGGCCCTAAATTTTAAGCTTCGTTATACTTTGCATCTCGACTGGTGCGAGTGGCAAAAAACAACAGTGGCCCCGAGTGGGTCCTGAAACTTGAAAGGCTAAACACGCCGGGACCAGAAAGGAGCCTCAATTCCAACGCTGGCGGGAGGGGTTACGCCAACTTCAGTCCATAACTCAGCTTATGAGTCGTGTGGCAAAGAAAAAAAAAGACTTGAAAATTAGATTCTGTCAGGGTTATGACCTGACTGGAAACGGTAAGTTGGGTTTCAAACAGCTCGCGTTATTCAAACGAGCATATATAAGTCGTTTTCATCGCCTCAATATATGTCTGTTATGAGTTATTGTTGAAAAATTGTTGGTGACTTTTTTACCAACTAGCACGATCCAAAAGTAAAGGGTAGGGAAAGGGCCAAGGTGCGATTTCCCCAATTCCGTATTCAGTGTTCATCTGTAGAAAGACAACTATGAGCATTACGAAGGTTATTTTTCCGAAAGAACATTCAAAAATTTTAACCATTGACCTTCCATAAAGGCATTATAATTGACTTCAAGTTAGATAAAGGTCACTGATGTAAGAAGTCCTAGAAATTTGTCTTACGTAGCATGCAATCATTATCGATCACAGAAAGTGCTCACTGTTCAAGCAATCATTTAGGCTGTGTAAATGGGGCCGGTCTACTCGTCTTGAGGTGCCATTCACCTACCGGAATTTGGCGACCTTAGAGAACACTGATATGATACGGAGTCGTAATGTTCAACATTGCGGAGAGATCAATTCACACGGTGCGCTCTTTTGATATTCGCGAGAAAAGGAGATGAATGAGTTTTCCGAAAATTTGAAAGGATCAAACAATTTAACCCTCCCCCTTCAACACCATGGCGTGGGTAAAAACTTCTGCTTAGTTCGCTGCAGTTTGATCAGAGGTGCAATAAAAAGATTAAGATTAGGGATACAGGACACGCGTTTCGTTCAGTTATCTTATCCAAAAAGTTTATGCTCCTCTTTGTATTTATATTTTCCCACCTAGTTCTTGATTTGATATATCTTTGATATAGGACCAGGTCGACAAGAACGTTACCTCACTTTTTAAGAAGTTGGATTTTTAAAACTGTCGGTGGATGAAGTTAAGTTTTTAAGTTCTGAATCATCTAGCTGAGTAAATATCGACATCTGTCGCCTGATCACACACCAACACCTATCGCCACACCTGTCACAATGTCACCAACACAACGGCTACTTACCAACTTCCAGTGGGATTCACACGCAGCAGCACCGCACGACCCACCGGCCGCCGGCCGTCCAGGCGCGCTGCTGTGGAGTCGGTCGCCGTCGGCCGCCGAAGGGCGACCGGTCAAGGTCAGCTCAGCTGACGGCGGCACTGGCTGATTGGTCGTGCGGGCGGAGGGCGGCGTCTGCTGGGAATTGCTGTCACTCGACCCGCTTCTGCTGTCACCGCTAGAGCGTATACCGCACACTTCATGACAAGTCATTTTTTTGTAGACGTATATGCGTTCATAAGCGACAGATGAAACATTATTGAAAAACGAGAGACGAATGACGAACTCTAGAAACTATTTAATTATTTGAGTAGCGCGTATGATGTGTGTTTGGTTAGGTACCTACGCATGCGTGCAATGTGTAGCGTGCACTGTGCAATGCACCTACCTATCATATAAAAATTGAAAAGCGGACTGAAAAAGAAGGAAGAAGACCTGCCACTGAAACTTGCTAATGTGACTAAATATAGGTAAATCAGAAGGCTATTTGAAAAATATGGGCGGTCCATAAAAATGCAAAAAAAAAAACGCTTCAGGGGGAGCACATACCTACTACTCAAAAAGTTTTGTAAAAAAAAAGACACTTAGGTATGTGTCGCTTCCTTGTGTGATGTTAAGGCACTTAATCAAAAGAATCCTTTTTCCAATTAATTATCAAAGTTCCTTAGTTTTCCTTCCTAGCGACAAATACAACCAAGTTATATAATTTCAGAAGCTGAGGGAGGAACCATTACCGGTAGCAGTCACTGCTGTCACTCGAGTCATGATCTGGAAATTAAAACAACAAATACGTCGTAAATGTCTCACCAAAAGTAACACAAAATAAATATATTGTGACAATAGCACTCAGTGTGTCAAACGGTGTTCAAACAGTTAGCATCATTCTGAACGGTTGCAAGCCCCTCCACTGCGATTGACCCGCTGTTGACACCGACTGTTCTGAGGTTTCGGCGCCAGTTTCCGTTTTCCCCGTCGGCCGCTGCTCTGGATGCCCCTGGCCGCCGCCAGCTGCCGTCTCCTCTCCCTGGGGTCGCGTGCCCAGTGTACACCTGGGAACACGGTGAAGCGCACCTTGCCGAACCGGGTCACCTGACGCGAGTGGCCCAGCACCGGGGAGTCCATGTGAGGGTACGCCAGGTGACGGTTGGAGAACAATAGGTCGGGGCCGTCCAGGAAGGGCTTGCAGAAGGCCTGCGGCACGTCCAACTGGTCCATGTCTTCGTCACTGTCCGGTGAGAGATCACTGAGGTCGTCCGCGTCTGGATCGCCATCCTCAGCCGTGTTTGTCGGAGAAGAAAGATCGCGGGGCCTCTCAGCGGGGTCGCTGGGCTGGCGGCTCGGGTCACCGAGTGGGGCTCTCATCTGGCCAGGTGCTGGCCTGGAGACTAGGACGGCAGATGGCTGGCCAGTGGACAAGAGAGGGGATGTATCATGCAGCCCAGTAGCTGACTCGGACTGGACGGTGGTTGGTGAACAGAGCCCTGCTGGGCCCAGGAGTCGCACGCAGCCAGGATTGGAGGTCGCACCCGTGGGAGAGCTCTGCCTCGCGCTCTGCTGCGACCAAAACGTCCCCTCCAGCGCCAGTGGAGACACCGGAGTAGCCGTCTGTGCCCCAAACGATGGGCAGGGAGACCTCCACTCGGGTCGGCGACGGCCGGGACTGCGCCAGGTCGTCGACGACAGAGGACTGGCCACGACCAAGTGTCCGGCCGGCTCCAGCAGTGCCAGCGGCGACTGTACGATTTGAGGCGACGAGCGGAGGCCGAGCGCCTCGGCCGGTCCGCTCTGGGACGGCCGCAGCAGCGTCGAGCTCGCCACCGAGCTGGAGGACCGCTCCCGATAAGCCGCTCCGTCGTGTTCCGGTGTTCGCTCTGTCCAGTCGCGCAGCAGACAGCTCAGGTCCGGCGATCCGATCTCAGTAGAGCCGTAGAGTGCGCCTCTTGCCTCGTTTGGTGGACTGGCCGCTTTTGCTGGCGGCATCATCGTGCAGTCGATGGGCTCGAAGTCCGGGTGGCACGGTGTTCCCATGCGGCTGCTGGTTGGTGTTCCCAATCCGCACCTGCTCGGTGTGTTTGGAGTGCACATGCCAGAGTCACTCGGAGTTCGGACATTCTCGCCGTGGAATAAACTGCGCGGTGAGAAAATACTGGCGAGCAGCGTCTTGCCAGGAGAATCCAAAAACATGCATGCGTTGTTGGATGTGGCTACGTTCGTCTGACGAGAATCTTTTCCTTCAGCAAGAAAACCAGTACCGGATACGTCCATCTCCATCGTCATCTGCTCCTCTTCGCCAAGCTGTCTTCAGAGGGTGATAAGTATCTTGAAATCATACAAGTTCGTATAATGTTCCGTTATCACCCGTATAGGTACATCCAAAGATGCTTCATTCCCAAGATTCAAGGCAATTGTAAATGTTTGTTTCCAATCACTACCATTTTTAGTGTAAGGAACACGCTTGGAAAGGCAATCTTTCATAAATGAGAGTGAGACATAGCTCATTGCAAATGACTTCTTACACCCAGCATCCGTAGAAATGGCTTACTTGCCAGCCATCATCAGGACCTGTAACAGGAGTAAGAGTAGATTGTTGATCTTCGAATGTCACACGCACGGGGCTCGCTAGCCAACGCATACCTATTGTGAACTATGATTAAAGCGCAGTACTTATCATTCAGTCTACGATGGAATGAATATGGACACCCAAGAACAATAAAGAAAAGTAAATTCCCTCCTAGTTTCTCCTTTTAAAAGCACGGGGCAACATGAAAAAGATTTTATACCGGACCTCACCTCCGTCCGGCCCACCTCCGTCGGATCATGGGATAAGAAGCCTACCATACATGCTTCATATGCCACAGTACAGTGACTGAAGTTGCAGGTAGCGCTTCGCCAACCTACAGTTCATTGACCTCTTCAGGAACGTCAACCATAAATTAGGCGCTCAAACTATTCACGTGACAGCATGAATAATTTACTTCGCTTCGATTAAGAACAATAGGTAAGTGGCAGGGAACATATGAAAAACTACAAGAGACTCTGTTGTATGAGGGAAGACTGGCGACGAATTGAATTGCCTAACAAAAACAATACAAAAAATATGTCCAGTTCAGGTCCAGCCCAGATTCAGCACAGAGTCAGCGGACCTCGAATCGTCTTACAACTTACACACGTCACTGTCCTAAGGGGTTATGGCTGAAACCAAATACGTTGCCCAAACCATTCGTCAGTAGGCACTCCCAACCGTTTAATCTTGGGAGGCCAACAAGTCACGCGTGCCCTAAATTTGCACAGCAGTTTGTAGCCAAAGTGGAGCGAGAACGTTGAAAATGACTCCAAATGACTCGATCCGTCCTGAGGTACCTATGTACCCTTCCATTGTCAATTTTACTCTATGGGGTCATAGGATAACCTATTATAGGGTCATTTCCGGGTCATACAAAAATATTGCAATCGAATATTTCCTATCGAAAACGCATCATTCAACATCCCATAGACCGTACGCGAAAATTACCACTGGAAATCGTTCTATATCGTAAAACGCTGTGTCGTGCCGAGTGCCTACCTTGTTCACCGGGACGACACGGACCGGTCCGCTGAAGTCCTGTTAACAACTGACTGGGTGTGTCTGTGTGCTATTTTGCGCCTACCCGGTGTGGGAACACTTGGGTCAATATTGTCCCAACCGAAACCTGTTGATTTGTCTGATAAATCTACCTTCCGCCCGGATCCGCGCTACACCGCCGCTCGCCGCTCGCTCGTCGGTTAGGACAGCAGCAGGGCGGTATGATGCTACGATTGGCACGGAATACCAACGATTTCATGATACGTGGATATGGAGAGTCTCGTGTGCCCTTCAGCAACCCTCTGCATAGTTTTGCGATCCACAGCAAGGTCCACTGCTAAGCTAATGCTTACTTCTCAATGGTACAGCAGTGAGAAACCGTTTTAAATCGATCACATTCGCCATCCTATATCTATTTTTGTGTAGAACGTATGTACGAATCCGCATGATACGATTGATATTGCATTTTAAATACGATTCCTTCTGGAAATAAGGATAGTCCGTAATTGCTCTGTTCGTTAAAATCTATAGTACCTAGGTATGTACCCAGTTACGTAATGGTCAGAGTAACGTTACAGGTACTCTGATATAACATGGAAAGTGTCGTGCTTTGGTATAAAGTAAGAGGACACTGACGGTTAAATGTTCGGCTCCTGATGTGAAATTTTCGGGGGTAAGAACCCTTTTTGAGCTCGAAATTATGTCTTCATAAATCTACGAGCTTAAACATTCGAACTAGCATATCGACAAACGCCCAGTACCAAATTAAAACAGCGATAGTTGTTACATTTTCAATTGACTTCAAGCTTCTAAAATGTTAGACAGTTTTTCGAAACATTTAATAATCCACGCTAAGTACCTACTGTGGGATCCAATGGCGCATTTACTTGGCATCACAGCCTCCGGGTATTAGGTACGAGTCAATACTATGAAACACATGCTTCTCAGCGTGCATTAAATTTATCTCAGCACAAGCTCAATGCTAGGTCATTGAGATCTCACATGTCAGTGCATCCTATCTGCGGGCTTGTAACCCTGTTGAGGATACGTCACATGGACAGGCCCGGTAAAGTGCATCGCATGACCGTAGGAAGCCTAAGTGTGTCGTACTCGTTCACAATTTTTTGTCGTGCACGTTCAAAATGGTCGCGACTTTTGACATTACTAATGATAAATTTAGTAGCACATTTAAGATCATTATAAACTCAGGGGTTAAATGTTCCCCTATCTTACTCAATGATTACACAGTTAAATGCACATATGCTGAGGTATTATGTCGGATCTCTTTTCAGAAGTGTGGTCTAAAATGTTTAACATCTCTCGGCCTCGAACCCCATCCTTAAAAACACCGCCATTGTAACTCACCAACATGAAGGTTCGCCCAGTCCAGCAGCCCTATCGGTGTTTCGGATCCTCCATTCCCCACCGTACTCCACCATAACTGGCTCTCATGTATACTGATACGGTGTGCGCCGCGGCGCTCAGGTACAGAGGATGTGACGGTGGCCGGGCGGGCGGGGAGGTGCAGCCGCCCCGACCCAGCGCCGGGGCACCCGCACGGGGGACAATGGGGCGAGCTCGCATCGAGCAGCACCCGGCCCGCCGAGGACAACATCCGGTGTCAGAGACACCGCGCTGTGTCACATCCGTGTCATATGACACCGGTGGTGTCATCAGCGGCGTGTCACGAACCTTTTTATAGCTGATCGGCTTTCGAGATAAGCTTTAAAATGAAATAATCAAACCGTCGCTGTAGGACGCACTACAGCTGCCACCTGTCATAATAAAGCTTTCGACCCAAGTTGCGACCCGCAAACGAACCGATCGCGATGAGGTAGGATCTCCGTCTTTTTCTGCGCTTTGAGGTGCCGAAAGCAATGGTCGAATGTGTGTTATAATGCTTACGTTATCAACAATATTTCTTCAAAAAAGCCAGCAGCGAAATGGCATATTTCTGTGATATCTGATGACCTTCAGCATGAGCACAGGTGATGCGAATGCGTTGGTGTGTGCGTTGCGCTGGAATATGTTCCTCTCCTTCATATTTTATAATAAACATACGCTGAAGGAGACATTGGCAACTATTTACACATTCCCTGATTTCACACAGGTCCTGTAGTTATCTCAAAGTTGATCGTACTTCAAAATGACCAGCAAATATGGTACCTAGAGCTCTTTCTTACATTTTCTATTGCGGTACGCAGCCTTGTTCACGAGGTCTTTGGAATGGAGGGTAGTCCCCTTCTCGCTCTGAAGATGCCCGGACCCCAGCTCAGTCATATCTAATGGACCCAACCGGAATTAAGCGAGATGGCCAACTTCACTTCAATCGTTCACCGCATTGAATTGAAATTTGAATACCATCAGCCGACGGAACCGGTAAACAGACAACTACCTGTACAATACAATATACAATATTCAATATAATTCAATATACAACAATACAATTCGATTCGGTTTATTTTCGCGATGTTTATCAGCACAAAAGACGTATCGCGCTGACCGCGTATTTGTCCCATACGGGCAAAGCGGGCTTATCCGACAGACATCACAGGGCCACCCTACAGCGGCAAAGAAATCCGAAATACAACTACTGTCCCGACAGGAGCTTCCATAGCTCTCCGGCCCCGTTCGTGACGTGAATTCACGTACAGCCTGATGTAAGACCTGATGGCATGGAACACATCTAGCACACCTGTACACACACGCATGACGCACACGCATACATACAAAAAACAGATCGACACGTCTTTCGATCTAAATGGCCTCTGAGCAGGGCAGAGCTGACCGTATTCAAAATGGTTACGCCTCAAAATGTACAAACCGTCTCACTCACACGCACCTCCCAGACAGGGCCAGAAGCGATCATACGTATGCAGATGACCATGGCAAGGTTACTCTAAACGGTCCGGCCGGCTACCGTCACGGATCATACACACCTCCACAGAACGAGACCCAGCCTGTGGCAAGCCGACGCTTACCGAGCCTTAGCAGCGTCCTCGGCCTGACTTTTACCAGGTCCGACCGTCCACACAAAGCACACACCTCACTGACAGAACGGCAGTCAGCGCGGGGAGCAGAGGGCGAAAATCGTCCGGAACTGCCCCGCCACTTCACCTGGAGTCCCGTGAGCTGGAGCGGCTGCGACTGCGGCTGCTGCCACTGCTGCTGCTACTGCTGCTGCTGCTGCCGCTGCTGCTGCTACTGCTGCTGCCGCTGCTGCTCGAGCTACTGGAGCGGGAGCGCCGGCGGCTCGGCCGGCCCGAGCGGTCCCCGGCGCCGCCGTCCCGGCGCGAGCCCTTGTCGTTGGCGGCGCGCCGGTCACGGTCCCGCCGGCCGGCCGAGTCCCTCTCCCCGCCGCCCGAGCCCCGGCGCGACCGACCCGACTCGTCGCGGCGGCTCTCCGACTCCTTTCCGTCCTTGTCGTTTCGCCGGCTGCTCTCAGCGGCGCCGGAAGAGTCCTGGTCCTTACGGCGGCTGGCGCCGTCGTCCCGTTTACCATCCCCCTTTTTGTCACGCCGTTTGTCATCCTTTTTGTCATCCCTGCCGGTATTCTGAGTCTCCTTAGCACACGCAGTGGTTGTCTTCTCCGCCGCGTCTCGGGAGCTGCGCCGCTCGTTCCTCTCGGCATCGTCTTTCGAGCCGCGCCGGTCGTTAGGCTTATCTCCGTCCTTCTCCTTCCGTCGGCTCCCCTCAGCATCCTTGTCCTTCTTCCTTTCGCTTTCCTTTCTATTTTCTTTCTCCTTCCTGCTATCGCGCTCCCTCTCGCTTTCGTTTTTCTTCTTTTCCTGCTCCTTACTTCCCTTGTCTTTACCGCTCTCCATTTCCTTTTCTTTTCGGCTTTCTTTTTCTTTCCTGCTTTCTCTTTCTTTTATGTTTTCCTTCTCTTTCCCGCTGTCTTCCTTCCTACTATCCTTTTCTTTCCCGTCGTTCCTCTCACTCTTGCTGTCCTTCTCCTTCCTCCTGTCCTTCTCCTTCCTGCTGTCCTTCTCCTTCCTGCTTTCATCCTTCCTGCCATCTTTTTCTTTTTTGCTGTCCTTTTCTCGTCGGCTTTCTTTGTCGGAGCTCTTATCTTTCTCTCTCCTTTCAGCGCGCGGCGGCGTCCGCTCCTTGCCGGCCGGCGGTGTGGGCTCGGTCCGCTTGTCGCCGTCGTTCCCCGGTGCCGACGGTCGTCCCCCGTCGGCTCCATCTGGGGACGCCGGAGAGGCAGCGGGCACCGCCTCGTCGGCAGCGGCAGGAGGAGGCGGCGGCGGCAGGGCCGGCCCCTCCTCCATCGGCTCATCGGCAGCGGCGGCGCTGGGGGAGGCCGGCCGGTCGGCGGCCGCTGGTGACGGCGACTTGGGCGCATCAGCCGGCGGGCTGGCAGCCGCCGCAGGTTCGCCCTCTCCCTCCACTGCCATCGGCTGCTGGTCCGGCGAGGCGGGCCGCTCGGGCCGCTCGGCCGGCGCCGGCGCTGTCTCCATCGGCTGGTCGTCGTCGTCGTCACACTCGCCCTCCTCGCGCTCGGGCCGCGAGGCGTCCCCGGCGGCCGGCGAGCGTCGCTCGGGTCGCGCGCCGCCTGGCACCACCACCGAGGAGGTAATACCGGGCGGCATCTCCTCGTCATCGTCCTCTTCGTCGTCCTCGTCCGCATGCTCGTGATCTGGGAAGTGAAGAAGAGGACAGTGAGTTCGGGCACGACAGATCATGACCATTGAAAAGACATGACAATGACAGCTGTCCGACCCACGGAAGACAGGGGCTAGTTGGAAAGTATTCTTGGCGCTGCCCATGAATTTGAAAGGAATCTCGGATTGCACTTTTTTTTGCTTTTTCTGCTTCAGAATCTTCAGAAAGCGACTTGGTTAAACAGTGAACCGATTGCCATTGAATAGCGGGCGTTCAGCCCCTTATTGTATTGTATTGTATTGAACAATCATGAGCGATCCACATTCTGAAAGTGCGTGGCGATTACTGCTCAGAATCCGTGATACTCGTGCCAGCGATGGTATTTTGCGTGTTTTGCTTTCGTAGGGTTTGTACTATACCAGCAAGGTTAAGCCAATTTAAATTCAGGTTGTGCGCAACAGCTGTGTAGTTTACAGCATAGGTAATAAGTAAAGTTATAACTCCTAAAACGGCGGTGGACTACTGTTCCTACCACTTTTTATGATAGGAAACAATAATATAAAGGTATATTGACGACCAGCGCACGGCACCACGCAGTAAGTGAAAATCGGCCATTTTAGCAGCTGCCCCATTCAATGTCCTGCCTTGCTGCTGTGCGTAGCCAGGCAAAGAGCTCCAGGACGTCGTTCACCCGCAATATGACCGGCGGACGTGCATTGATAAGCACTGTACGGGGACCCGCAGTTGCTACTGTACAGCGACCCTGAGTAAATTGTCCCAGCACCCTCACAGGGAACAACGAAAAGCTGTCAGAGGGCACGCACAGAAAACCTCAGCTGCTCTTGTACACGGACCGACAGTCGATATCAATGTTATCGGTCGTTACTGGACAGGACAGACGGCTAGAGTTAGGGTTCGTGTACAGTAGCAACTGCGGGTCCCCGTACCATAAGATGTTGTCAGTGCGTTAGTGACGAGGTTTCCATTGTCAACACGGTCAATAGTGACTGCATGGGTCGTCACACGGAACGTATCATCTGCCTGGCAAAGGCAGCGAAACAGCAATGAAAAAAATCAAATTGATATTGAAGTCAAATACTATCCGCGCACTGCAAAGGAAGGTGGATACCAGCTACTCTGCAGAATAGCCTTTACATTACCTCATCGACCCAATCTGAGCAAGACTACAGACGCGGAAATCAATGATGCCATCAAAGGATTTTTGGAGAAATGCACTGTTGATAGTGACTTGTCTCTCTTCACTGGGTGATTTTTAAACCGAAATGTTAGAAATGAACAGTGTTGTGACCAGCTGAAAAGAATTGGTTCCCACGCCCTTCTGCAGAAAGGGGCTTTGAATATTCACACATCTTTTTCAGCTCCCAGTCCACTGCCCGAATTAGACGTCGTTCACTCAGGTACCTCAAAAACAAAGGTCCACGGACTCTCATTAGCAGAGTTATATCAACAGAGTATTCCAAGGCAGTAGGCACAACCCCAGACAAATCAGTAAATACGCTGCTCCGTGCCGCCCAGCGCAGTCTCCATAGCAGGACTTATACCGTGCATTGTTCGAAAACATGCGATATTTCGCCGTCCGACAATCCTGGCTGCCCTGGCAACTGACGCACTCCTAGCTGACGCACCTTGCGCTACACGGATATCTGACGTAACTGAATCGCTAAGGTTCGGTTTGGTGAGAGCTATAAAGGTAGCGAACGGGTCGCTCCTCATGGATGGCTTCTGTGACATTTATGCGGCTACCTCTGAACGGCTGGGACACCAGCGACTCCCAGAAGCCGAGCGAACGCGGCACACCATGTCTCTGATTGAACCTGACTTGATTGGACTCAATGCAGGAGCAGTAGGTCTTTTACAGTCGGCACTTAAACGATCGAGCCACGCATTAGTATAAAGATTATAGAAGCCTGTTGGTCTGGGTTGGTTACACCGACAACCAATCTTGGGTATTTGCCGTACCAATCGTTACAAAGTAAAACGTGCAGGCCAGAGCGCGCATACAGTACGCACATCCTAGAGATCTCTACCAGGTTCAATCAAGACCTTCTTGCCTTGGCAACACCAAAGGTAAGTAGACTAGCCTCTTTACCCGGGCGTCTCGGATGTGTCCCCAAAGCTGACTCATTCCTGCAAACCCTCCCTCTGCCAGCCCAACCAATCCATCCCTCCCCTAGACTCGTTCGTTGGCCGGGTCGCAAATGAACCCCCATCGGTGGCCGGCACTGAACTGACCCCTATCCGCTCTGTCTTCCCCCTGACTTACCCGAGTGCTGGCCGGCCGAGTCGCGGCGCTGCTCCACCAGCGGCCCCCTGACCGCCACCCGCCCTGTGTAACTTTGGCTCAGAGTCGCGAGGGACTCCTACCGGACAGTCCTGACCCGGCTACCCCCTCTGTGTTCTCCTGGGCTTACCCGAGTGCTGGCCGGCCGAGTCGCGACGCTCCACTGGGTTCTGAAGCCGCTCTAGTCGGGCGTCAAACGAGGCCAGGTCGTCCCGCAGTCGCTGCCGGCGCTCCTCGATAGACTCTGTCGGACGGCACACGGCGGTCAGAACGGCACACGGCGGTCTCGGGCCCCAAGACAGGGGTCCGAGACAGGGATTCAAGGGGATCGCTGAGACAAGGCGGTCAAGGGATCGCCGGAGCACGGTAAGAATAAAAAGCACGGTTTCGGAAAAAATATCAAATATCCGGCACGAGCGCATGTGATGTCGCAGTTGACCAGCGGACCGCGATATGCATTGATATTCCATTTACGTCAGCACTGCGAGTGTCACAGCGTACGCCATTACCAATAATGTGCTAAGGGTAAAGCCTTGAAGCATCCATCCTTAACCATGTAATGGCCCATGCCGCCATAAACACGTCTTAATCGCTGACAATTACGACTACATAAATGGCCAATTAGCGAAGCCTCATTATCAGTCATTATTAAGATTGAATTTTTAGATACTGCCTTTGAAAGCAAAATCACCATTGGACGGCATGGGGCGCCAGCTGCACTGATTAAGTTGTTCTTATGAAGATGACAATTATAGCAAAACTGCTAAGAAGACTGTTTATGAAAAGCGCAGTATGTGGTAGTATACGTTTAGCAGAATGTGCGGCAGTAACTCGCCGGAAACGTGACAAAGCCTGATCGTTGCGTGACATTCATCCTACCATTACCGACCTCCGTCTCTTTACAAAAACCCCAGAACGTCCAGAAATGGGCTGCTAATGCGTCTGGGCACGGCTTGATTCCATCGCTAACTTCCAGCGCTGCCATCTCTTCTACGTCTCAGCGCGGGTGCATAATGCATATAGCATAAACAGGAAACAGTCTGACCTATGCACACATGCTGAGCAATCACTGCCGATTGGGGCGGCACTGATTAAGCGACTGCCATCGGGCAATTGAAGCTCCAGCATTCAGACGTCTGTCAGAGCCAGGGTTGGGGCTGGCAAGGAGACCAGGGAGGGAGCAGACCTCCCGGTACCAAAGAGGCGGGTTAGGCGACAAGAGGGTACAGGGTGGACGGTGAGAGGGTACAGGGTGAGCGGTGAGAGGGTACAGGGTGAGCGGTGAGAGGGTACAGGGTGGGCGGTGAGAGGGTACAGGGTGGGCGGTGAGAGGGTACAGGGTGAGCGGTGAGAGGGTACAGGGTGGGCGGTGAGAGGGTACAGGGTGAGCGGTGAGAGGGTACAGGGTGGGCGGTGAGAGGGTACAGGGTGGGCGGTGAGAGGGTACAGGGTGAGCGGTGAGAGGGTACAGGGTGAGCGGTGAGAGGGTACAGGGTGAGCGGTGAGAGGGTACAGGGTGAGCGCGGAGTGAGGGGCCGTGACTCACTGGTGAGCTGCTCACGACTCCGCTCCAGTAGGGCGTCCGAGTTGGGGTGCGCCACCTTGGGCAGGAAGTAGATGCACGGCTTGCCCGAGGTGCGGATAAAGTTCATCAGGTGCTTCTGGTGCGCCTCCCAGGCCTCCTCCTGAAAATCAGAAGTTGTGGTCAGTGGCGTGGAACATGAGCGGCGATAAGAATAGCTCAGAATAAAGCAACCACCGTAGGGAGAATGATTGTGCTAATTTATAGCTAAGTAATATATCAGGCAAAATCATATTAGAGCCCAAAACTGTTATGCATATCAGACTGATGTTAGTACAGTAAATTGGTAGGCCTGAATGAATAATCAGCACATACACGCCTCTTACTTCATGAAATCGACGCTGCTAAGTGAATTATCTATAATCGATCATCGGCTAGCGGCATCTTGCATCAGTGTATCACGAGCCAACATCAAACATGACTGCGAAGGGTTTATGAGCACGGCGTGTCCCAGCATTCACCCGAGTTCGTACCTCTTTGACGCGCGCCATCTTCATTTCGATGAGGCGCACCTCCTGCTGTTTGCGTTTGCGCTGGGCGAACATGTCTGACCGCTGCTGGCGGAGCTCGGCCTTCTCGCGGCGAGCTGCGTCCTCCAGTCGGCGCTCAATCTCCGCGCGCTTCTCCACCTGAGGGTGAGATGGGACCGAGAAAGGTGAGCGCAAGGGGACCAGATGCGAGGGTTCTGCACTGTGTGAGCGAGCGGTGTTTGAACGCAGCGCAGCAGGCAGCGCCAAGTCGCGGTCGCCATGACAGCAGCCAGATCAGACAGCAGCAGGGCTGACTAGCAGGCTGCTCGAGAGACCGACTGTCACATCATTGAAATAGTGCATCCGAAACGCTAGGCCATAATTCATGCTGATGGCAGCGGGTGCTATAAGTGCACAACTGCACACACTCTGGAGACAGTTCGTGACGTACCTTTTCCTTCTGTTTGACCTCATCCGTACGGAACCGCTGCAGTGTCCCCAGCAGAGCGCCGAACATCCGGCGGCTCCTGCGGCAGTGGATACGAAATTGTCACCGAGTCACTTAAATGCTCCGCAAAGCCGATAGGTCTGGGTCTAGTTATTACAACTATATATAATGTGCCCAAGAGGTGACTGTACATATTATGAAGGAACGATTATAAACATTCGAGGGAAGAACTTCGACTGAAAAAGACTCAAATACCATTCACATTTCGTAATGAATACAGAATCCCAGGTGTTCACTTTAATGAAAAACAATATCAAATTCTTATCTGTATTCAATGTAAACGCGCTTCGATTATTTCTTTATCAATACATTGATACAATACAGATTATGAACACACACGATTCAATGTCTGTATCAATGTATTGATAAAGAAATAATCGAAACGCGTTTACATTGAATACAGACAAGAATTTGATATTGTTTTTTCATTAAAGTGAACATTTGTCAAAATGAACAATATACAAGAATCCCAGGTGTCCACTCCAAGATCCACAAAGCCAGTGTTCAACGGACTTTTGAACACACTTAGGGTGGCTGGCGGCCGGCTAACAGTCCGTTTTAGATGACAGTTAAATGTATCATAGTACGTAAGCGTAGTCTAAATCATGGCAGCAAAGTCATAACGCCCTCCTAATCGTCGTGATAATATTGTATCCACAACACAGCATCGACACTATAACACGATCATTGAAAAGTCATTCAGGAACACACTCGGAGGCATCATCTGTCCGTTCCGCCCCACCCCTCAGCCCCTCATCACCCGCGCACCTGTTGATGTTCTCCTTATCTCCCTTACGCTCCTGGAGGGCCGTCTGTCGGGAGCGACCATCATCAGGTGGCTCCAGGTCCGCGGCGCGTGAGCCCGGACCGGGGATCACGTGAGAGGCCACCGACGGCTACCGGGACGACGGGTAGGGCGTGTTAGAGGGCCACTGGGGGAGAGGGAGTGTCAGCGGCACACTGGGGGGGGGGATGGGGAGGGAGGGACGACATCACCGGATCCGCCGAGATCGGTATCGTACTGCGCAGCACAGCAGGTGCATTAGCCATCTGACAGTGTAAAATACTGGGGGAATACTCCTATACGCCGAGATGTGACAAATCCGCAAATCCGCAGCCCACATGCCATACACCAATTTTCAGCCCAAAGGATTAGGTTATATAAGGCACTGTGGCAATGACAAGAAAGACACACAAGAAATGATTTGGATACAAATACAAGCTGGGTGCGTCAATCATTCCTCAAAGCGGCTTCGCCGAGCAGTTGCTAAGGCCTATCACCACCCGCCACATCCCGGGACAGGGGAACGGCATTAACCATCTCAGGCGATAACTCCTGAGCTTTGGGCCGTTACCTTGGGCTCCGGTTCTTCGTCGCTGGCACTGGCCCTACGCAGACGGGGACCGATGACCACCACACCCAGCCTGCCGGCACGCGCAGAGTGGGCCAAGTCACGGGAGGCGTAAACCGTATCCAAGGGACTGACAATAGCACAAAGCCTGACCTCAAATCCAGTAGTAACGAATCATGAATTTTATGTAACTTATCAGTTTGAAAGAAAATGGATACAAAGCACTCACAGATTTCAAAGCAATGGGTTCGTAGATCTATTGAAAAAAATCTCAAGATAGCCACGAACGAGCAAAGGCACGCCGATATGGCATCCCACCATGCCGACCGCTGCCGAGGCCCGATACCAGCGCCACCGCTGCAACTGAGGGCTCCTGTAGCTGCTCCAGATGGCTCGCCTCACGCAGATAAGACAGATCGACTCTCCTCCTCCCAGCGGGTTCAAATAGTTCCAATATCGCTCCTCTAGTTCCCCCGGGCGGCTCCGACAGTCTACCTCCTTCTCACAGCGACTCCGACGGCTCCCCATGCTCTTCACAGTTCTCTCGGTCTCTCACAGGAGCGCTCACCTGCCGTTGGAGCCGTGTGTGATGCGCCGCTTGGCCGCCGGCCCGCCGTCCTCGTCCCGTAGCTCGGCGTCATGTCGCTCCCTCCGCCGGCTGCCGGGCGTCGCACAGTGTGTTCAGCACGGCACGGCACAGGCAGGCGAGGCAATTGGCGCATCGAAGGGCGTGATTAGTGTTGATAACAAGCACTCGATGTAAAATAGAAAGACAGGAACAGTCTTTGGAAACTGATGGGATAAGTAATTTTCTACCTATCAGTTAATCTTACACTACACTTGGTCACAGCCTCACCGAATATTTTCAACATATTGTGCGCAGCTACAAACCAGGACGTCTTCCATTGCCTTTCTTTATCCTAGCCTTATAACCTTATAGATATTCAGAGCTATTCCATTATTCACCCACACTCACCCTCTGGCGTCGTAGAAGCCGCGTCCGTCGGGCTCTGGCCGCCTGTCGCCCCCAAACTCTGCCCTGGCTGTTCCGTAGGGGGGCCGACCGCGGCCCGCGAAGTCGCCCCTCCCGTCGGGGTATGGCCGGCCGAAGTCGCCGCGTATCTCCACGTGTCGGCCGCCGAAATCGTCTGCCGGCCGGCCGCCCGGGCCAGAGATGCGCCGCCGGACCGGTCTGCGGGGCGAGCCGCTCGTCACGGTGGAGAAGAATGATGCAATAGGGATCATTATAGACCAGGAATAAGGGAAATGGTGATAAAGATGCAAATACCTATAGCATTATCTTAGCATTGTAAAATACAATACTATGAAACAGTTCTTTGTCCAAACTAAGAGTAGTTGCTAGTCTGTAATGAAGTTATAAGCCTCTAAGCACCAGCCATATTTGGGTTGCTGAAATAGATACATTATGAAGTATGAAATCTTCAAATGGTGAGAAGTGCTGCAGTTATGGTGAATTAAAATGAGGGTACACCAATTCTTTAATAAATGCTAAAAAGGTACATTGGCTCTATTCCTGAGGCTGTCATTGCCAACAAGAAAATCATGGACCAGTTTGAGGATGATCATCAAAAAGGGCACAAGATTTGGTGCAGATTACAATATGCATAGTGCATACTGTGGATTGCTGCCAAATTCATGAACTTGACAGAGGTTCACTTCCTTGACACCCAGGCTTAGGTTCAGATAAGCCAGCATGACCTGTTTCCTATTCATGTTATCAAACACTACATTACTCATGCATTGTTCAGTGGTAGAGACAAATTACACTTGGCTGATCAGTGATGCACCCAACACCCAGCTTCACTAGCTAACATCTTACCTTGGATCATTGGGATCTCTGCCCAAAAATCTTTGCAAGCTCTCATCAACTCCTTTTAAAGTTGACTTAGCCTTCTCCAACTCCTCTTGCAGAGCTGAGCCCAAGTCCTCAGTGGAAGTCATACTTGAAGTACCTGTGTTGCAAATTTTCCAGGAATTGTCTCCCTGCAATAGCTAACACAAGCTTTTATGGATGATTTCATAACTGTCAGACATTTATGGACAAATCAATAAGTGAGAAAGAATACTGACACCTGCCTGAGGCTCAAAGCATTCAAACAATGACATAGTAGATATGAATATATATACATGAATCTTTTTGTGCTTTAACTTATGGAATATGGAAGTAAGATCATGAAGGACATCAAATCAAATGTTCCTTAAAACGTAACTGCAAAATACAATCCATTTGAACTTCAATGCTTATGCAAATATAAATGAGACTGAGCATTATATATCATAATGTAAAGACATTGAACAACAACCATAAAACAAATATATGCTGCCTGCTGATGCAGTCAGACATCACAATTACAGTCAGGTACCTACTACGAGAGTAGCAAACCCATGTGCGATAAGCATCACTCAGGAGTCAGGAACCAAACATGAGCATCTGAATCTTTGAATAGAAAGATAAAATGGCCTCCCTAGAATGTATTGGAACATAAAATAAAATGTAAATATCGGCAGGAGGGAACCAATGGAACCACGCAAGCACAAGCATGCCATGGATCACGTCACATAAGCATAAGCCAAAGCGCTCTCATGCAAATCATTGCGCGATCAAATGGGAGATTTTTGGGTTTTATTCAATGCAAAATCAAATAAAAGACGCCGTGGCATAAAATACCGGAAAAACTCACATTCACCCAAGGCCGTATACATTCACCACCCCTTCCACTGAAAACACGCGGACGCCCAAGGCCATATCGGACGCCTCAAGGCGGCGTTATTTTTTCCATAGTTCAATAACGGCGCAGTGCGCCACTTTAGAGAATTTGGTAGCGCAGAAACTACATGAAGGTTTTACGAAATTCATGTTCCGGAGCTCATAATCCTTCACGGCTCGTATCTTCTTCCGAGACATCGCGGGGCCCTGCGACAGTGCACGTAACTCTGAAAATGGTCGAATAACAAATAGGTCCCTGGCTCTACAAAGTGACTCGCGTAAAACAAATCGCTAAAGCGAACATCAACGCAGAATCTGGAGCCTAAAACGACTGATAAACATCAAATGAATCTGCAACTGATGTCTCGAGACGTCAAAACGGTAACATTAGGCGCCTTCATTCGCTGCAAGCTGCTGTGGGCGAAGTTTCAATGCAGAGTAAAATTGCCATTTCACTATTTGCTTACATGGCTTACAACGGGTAACCACTGCTTACTGCTTAGCCATTCGTTCGTATAGAGGATACCATGGGACTCATGGTTAACGGCAGGCGGTGAAAATGGCTAAACATTTTTTCCAAAATATATTGACAAGTGGATACAAAGTGACAAACAACTTTACAATTGACAATGAGGTCCGAGGTACTTTAGCTTATGGAAGCCCGTTGAAAATGGAAATGTGTTCCACGGGTTTCAATCGCCGAGGCACGCGCGCCATTGCTGGCCAAAGGGACACGGAAGTCGATACAACTGTCACGCAGTGCACTTTCTTCCGCGGCTCCGCCCGCCCCCCCCATAGAGCATTCGGCACCAATCAAAAATAACGGCCTGCTAGCTCACACCCGGCCCTCACACATTGAGCGCAGTTTTCTGTGACACACAATGCACGAGCATTGCAGTCGTAAATGTGACACAATGTCTCCGCGATGGCATACCACACGCCCACACCAAACCGAAGCCGCTTGGAGAGGACGCTGCCGCGCGGTGGGGCGCCTCCTTCCAGCAAAAGGCACGAGCAGCACAGCGCTTGATTACGGAATGCACAGTGACATTGATCAGGCACTCGTCATGCGGCAGAGGGCTCGTGGAGCACTTCCCGTACAGCGGAGCCCGCACTGCCCGCGGCACAGCACCGGACGCCCGACGGGCAGACGGAACGGCACGGGCCGAACCCAGCCTCAGCCTCGGGATTGTATCCGATACAACTATCAAAACTCACAGCGGCCCGTAGGAAATGTGACAGCCATGTGTCAATGATTCGCGCCGAGTCACACACTGCTGCTATACAATGAAATGCATGATTACAAAACTATAAAATATACAATCGGAAGACGCTCCATACAACTAAAAGGAAAGTTTGTTACACTGCAAGGAAATGCACTGCATAGCCACATTGAGCCCATGGTAACACTCAAGTTCGTGTTTTAAAGGTTCATCACATCGTACACCTTACAATGGCAGATGGAGTCTGCATCATGCCCATTGTGCATCATATGGCCAGCCAGCCTGAGAAGCGCCAACACTTCAGTAATTTGGCACACATTGCGATATAACGCATCTTGGCCAAAAATTCAGTCGCCTATGAAGCATCAACCAACGCGTCGATTCGAGGGGTCTGAAGGGTGGCTTTGTGGTCCGACGCAGGCGAGCCAGAACGCCTAAAAAGAATGATGATCAAAAGAGAACTGCAAGACTCTTCATGAAGAACACGATACTCTCACACACAATGGCTACGCGAAATCACCGCATACTGGCTACATGATTTGATACTCGTCTAATCTCTCCAGACCGTCAAGCTCTACGACCCTCAAAATGTAAACGTTTCCCGTTCCGTCTCCAACTTCAGCTCAGCTTTCTCGACGGGGATTGTCTTTGCCCCCCGACAGTACCACGCGCAGCTGATGTAGTCTATCAGACATGGACGCTTCCTAGGTGGGGGTGCCTCCCACCCCGCACGGCGCTGTCGCCCACTCACTTTTGGACGACACGCACATTGCTGGACACATTGCCCGACGAGTAGAACACGTTGTACTTGCCAAGAGAGCTGGTCAGATTGACTCGCGGCCTTTGCATGCGATCATTGGCGACCGAGGGTGCGCCAGGAGTGAACTTATCCAGCGGGGTCAGCTCTCTCTCCCAGTCCTGCAGCGGCGGCAGGATCTCCAGCGGCGGCAGCGGGTCCAGCAGCTGCTCTGCCAGCGTCGGCTTCTCCCCCGGTCCGTCAGCCACCGTGGCGTCCACCACCTGCTGCAGCACGTCACGGCCCGGCGGCGGCACGATGCTCTCCACGTTACACATGTATTCCACACGGCCCGTCGACTGACGCACCACGACGTCCACGTACGAGAAGCCCATCTTGCTCGGACTGGACGGCGCCTGATAGTCGTCCGAACGAGGCCGGGCCCTGCAGGCGGACGGACAGCGCGGCGTCAGGTCACCGGTACAGGCACAAACAGAAATGCTGAGTCGGAACTGGCATAAGGCAAGGCGGCGGCGAACACGAGCTCAACGTGGTAAACGGCAAAAAAACAAAACAAGGATGATGGTGATTCGCTAAGGCTAAACGCAACGAAAATCGAAGGCATGTGGCAAGGTGCAGCAAACACATCAGCAAATAAGCATCGGATTGTTAGCACATCATTTATTTGCTGCGTTGATATAGGAAAAGTGCAAAAAAAAAAAACTTTTGGATGTCCCGGCATCGGGCATGCTCACTTAACCCACGAGCCGCCGGGGGGGGGGGGGGGGCATAAAGTTGCCACTCCCCTTTACGTTTTGTGAAATATCTCCGAAACCTGATGAGCTACGAACGTGAAACTTGGCATAGCTTCAAATGAATACCTAGGCAATGTTTGAGGAAAGTTTGGTGGTTGTAGCACCTAAGATGACGTCACAGTGACGTCATAAAGTTTTGTCGTTTTCCGATATGGACCGTTTCTGATGACGCTGAGCATAGAACTCAACTGTAAATGAACTAGACAGCACCTACTGTCATCCTAAAACATCTAACTACACTTCCATCTAGTTTCTGACCAATAATCGACCCTTTATATTCGGTCCCATATATCTAATGTATCGTGAGGAATATGAGAGTCGCAAATCTATAATTTCACTGATGACGTCACTGTGACGTCAAATCAAATGGGATCGACACCAAATTTGGACACAACCTCGGCTGGGTATTCAGAATGATGTGTGCAAAGTTTCGCTTCTCTATCTCTTCGCGTTGCGACGATATCGTCGCAGAAGTAAAGGGGGGGGGGCAACTATATGCCCCCCCCCCAGCGGCCGGCGGGTGGCGCGGAGGCCCAGCGGCCGCCGGGTTAAAAGCCACCACTTTCAACCACACCGTCTTCTTCGAGCACAGCCTCTTTCTATAAAGGTAAAGCACGGGCCGGTCTGCCGGACCTACCTCGGCCTCCTGGATCGGTCCTCCTGGTGGGAGCGCTCCAGCAGCCGGCGGTGCTCGTCATCGGACAGGATGACGATGTTGCCGCTGTTGGTCAGACGCTGGCCGTGCTTCGACTCCAGGTGGCGACGGTACGAGTTCTTCGCCTTAAAACTGTCACACAAAAGAGAGTCAGCTCGCACAGTTATTGTTCTTGATATTGTGGTAAGACTTCGTTCATTCGGGTAGATAGCTGGTGAAACATCGCCGAATCAAAACAAAATTCATGTAATGACAAAAATTAAATGGATATAGGCGTATCATCATAGTGTCTCCCCGGCCCCCACAGTCCGTCTACCCACCCCTACCCACCGCTGTCTGTCCGTCTAACCACCCCTACCCACCGCTGTCTGTCCGTCTAACCACCCCTACCCACCGCTGTCTGTCCGTCTAACCACCCCTACCCACCGCTGTCTGTCCGTCTAACCACCCCTACCCACCGCTGTCTGTCCGTCTAACCACCCCTACCCACCGCTGTCTGTCCGTCTAACCACCCCTACCCACCGCCGTCTGTATGTCTCCTCACCCCTGGCTGCAGACGGAGCACATGTAAGGCGTCTCGCCAGTGTGTCGACGCAGGTGCTCGGTGTAGTGCGACTTGTGTCGGAACTCGTGGCCACAAGTGCTGCAGCGGAACCGCGTCTTGTGCTCGTGGATCAGCATGTGGTAGTCGAGCGACATCTTTCGAGTGAAAGACTTGTGGCACAGCTTGCAGGAGAAGTCCTTGATGCCTGAAAAAATGCGAGGGTCATATGAGTTATGGCTATTAATTATTAAGGAATGCAACTGCAGTCGGATAACGACCACAGACATGACGCAAAACAAAGCCATGACTCGAATATAATAGATATCAGGATATATGATGAGGATGATCAGGATAAAGATGCTCAAATCTAAAGTTTAAAAACTAACCCATAAAAGTACGAAGGAATTAATAAAGTATAAACTTATGGTACCCAATGCATTACGTACCCAGGTGGCTCTTGTAGTGCGACTGTAGCGAGGACAGGGCCGTGAAGCGCTGCGGCGGGAAGCACACGCGACACACGTAGTTGTTGCACATGCTGGGCCGGAGGCGCATCTCGATCAGCGCCTGTCGCGCCTTCTCCTTGTCCTCCTCCGACTGGCTGATGAACTTGGCCAGCCCCTTGGGCTTACGGTGCTGCTTATACTCGTCGCGCTCCACCACGCGGGTGTAGCGGCGCAGGCCGCTGACGGTCGCCGAGCCGCCCTCCATGATGACCGGCAGGTCCGCGGAGCGCATCACGCCGCCGCGGATCACCTGTTCGGCGCCCACCAGCGGCACGCCGTCGCTGCTCTCGGCACCGTCACCGCCGCCGAGGCCGTCGTCCGAGCCCGGTCCAATCACTTCCCGCTCCATGAGACCAAGCAGGGCTAGGTCAGACTCAAACGGGATCGCCGAGTTAGCGGCTGTGCCAGCACCCGTGGGCGCCTCGCTCTCAGCTGGGTTGACGGACGGCTCCGGCGGTGTCGGCGTGGAGTCCGCCGAGGGGCCAGCGGAGGACTCCAGTGCGGAGTCCCGCGCGTAGTCGTGCTCGCGGAGCTGCTCTCGCGGCGGAGACGGCGGCGCCGGAGGAGGGGGCGCCGGGGACACGGCCGGAGGCTGGACCGGCGCCGGCGGCGGCGGCGGTTCGGTGGTGCGCCTCCGGCGGGACTGGGACCGCTCCGGAGGACTGACCAGTGCCGGCGGCGGCGACTCCACCGGGCGCTTCCTGGGCCTTGTCGGAGTTCGTTTCGACGGCCTCTCCGACGGCGACGATCGTTGAGCATATGCCCGTTCTGGGCTAGCAGCATGATTGTCGGGGGCTTCAGGTGCTTGGGGAACAAGCTCGTGAGCAATGTAAGACCGCTTTTCACGAGAGGCCTTGCCCGGTGATTTTTTGCCTTGGCGCGACTCGATAACCCTCCGTGGTATAGGCACAGTAGTTTCAGCCGTGAATTTTATACGGCCCGCTGCAAAACCAGCAAAATACTGTCAGCACCCAACCTGAGCTACGCAAGGGATATATTAAACTGTTTTTCATATTATTAATGCAGCGTTAGTTGTTGAAACAAAATATTATGTTAAAAACAAACTTTTTTATTCAGACTTTCGCTTACCTAATGCCATTTCAAAGTCACAGCTGAAGATGGTGACAAAACCAAACTCAACCCAGCACATATTCATCACTTGGAGAGTGTGATCCGATGGGAGTTGGTCCGATATTCAAGACAGGATCGTCCGGTTTGCCGCCGGTCGGACCTCAGGGCTCAAACTGGAAGCGGATCCAGCCCATGGATGAAGGAGGCTGGATCGGAAAACGTTGATCAAGTCAGTGTGGGCGAGGCAAAAAGGAAGCTGGTTACCCAAAGCATAGCATCATACATGTAAGCATGTAAGGCGCAAAACACAATTATAGCCCGAGAAGTTCATCGGCCGGACACTCGCACCCACACATTCATTCATTTACCTAAGAACTATTCAAAATTGACTATAACGACAGCTGGGGCATTCCACGATAGATCGTACCACTTTTTTCCAATTTGACACCCTCATCTCTCGGAATTTGACGAGAATTGGTCTCAGGAGTAATCAGGGGCTCTGAATCCACCTGTAACAATTTCAGGCTTATCAGATAAGTATTTTTTGAGTTATGGTGTATAACATTTTTGGATCTTGCTTTGCAGCGCTAAGTTTGGCGGGATGTAACTCTAAGACGGATTATTCAAATGCCAAATGTTATATAACATTGAACTTGCAATGAAACAGAGATTAATATGTATTTTTGAAATTTCGAAAAATACGCTATTTTTGATATATGACATATCGAGTTTTCTTTCATTTGTATTTTTTTGGACTTTGGGACCATTTTTTTTGAATTTTCATTTCTTTAAAAAAATATTTGGCTCATTGTTAAGAAGTAGGCAAAAAATTAGGAAGGTGTTCTTTCTATAAATGTATTTATTTTACGTCACGATAACGGTTTCGAATGGTGATTTCGGGAGGGGAGCTTACAAATGGCGTGGTAAAGCTGCCTAGTGACATCACGGGTTACTGAAATTTCAATTCAAGTCTGAGTCATCTGAAAAAAGTGAAAAGAGGGTTCATTCAACCCTCTTTCCTATAAGCGCGAGGATGAAAAAGGCTGTTTGGTTCTGACATTGTTTTGGACGCCAATGACCATAGCTGTCCGAGATGAAAAGTTACAGGACGCATACATGGTGTCCTCCAGAGGTCTCACAACTTGTATATCTGGGAATTTTTCAAGGTTACATGAGGTCAGGTCGGTCACGTGACATCACTGTTATAAATCAATGGGGAAATATAAAAACTGTTATTTTGGCGCCGAGAATGATCTAAAACTATCCCACGTACATGGTATCGTGATTTCATGCACTCTTTGCAAAGTGCAATGCTTTACTTTTGCATTGTTAACCTTGCGTGACGTCATTTATGACGTCACTAGGGTCGTACGAGTTTTTCGTCAATAACTCCCGATCAAATGGAGCTAGAGAGTCGGGAAAGCCACCAATGGACTCGGGAAGACCTTCCGAATCGAATGATATGCCATATGATACCCTTTGCCCAGCTTCGTGACCTGAGGGGCTCTGACCTGACCTTGACCCGAGGTCAACTACTTAAGTTGACCTCACCCTAGCAAACAGTATACCATTCGATGCACCTGAGCTAGGCGAACACAATGATGCCAAAATCGCGGCTCTGCGGCCATTTTTTGCGAAGTTATTTACTAAAAACCGAACCCGTAACTTCAGTCACGTGACCTGACCTCAGACGCTACTGGTTAACCTGAGACCTTAAAATCGGGTACCAATCGCTGCGACTTGTAACGGCACACACGCTCCTTTTTTCCGCGAGGCTCTATTAGAAGCGAAACGGCGTGCTGGGGTCGTATCAATCCCTTCGAAACCCATTTTGTTTGCGGGAAAATGAGGAACTTATAGAAAGAACACCTTTCTAATTTTTTGCATGTCGATTTGCAATGACATGTAGATTATTTTGAAAAAATAAAAATGTAAAAAATTTTGGTCCTAAAAGTCATTAGAGGCAAATGAAAAAAGATTAAGGTTTTTGCTCAACAATGAAATTTTTTCTTTGGAATTTTTAAATAGTAATATTAATTTTTGATTCATCGCAAGCTTAATGTTGTTTACTTTTTGTTGGTTGCTTAACCCGTTCTTGAGTTATAGGCCATCAAACTCACCGTTACATACCGAAGTTAAAAAAATGTAATTCAATATAACTCAAAAAGTTTTGATCTGAGAAGTCTGATATTTTGCCAGGCGTCTTTGGGGCCTATGATTACCCCTAGGACCGATTTTCATTAAAATCTGAGAGATGAGGGTGACGGGCCTGGTACGATCTATCGTGGAATGCCCCAGCTGACATGCTGGAGGCCGAAATTCGGCGGTCACTTACTGCTCTCTGTCTTGAGTTGTTCCAGGTGCTCCTGCAGATGCCGTTTGATCTCACGCAGCGACTTGTCCTCGCTGCCGAAGCTGGTGGTCTCGTACTGGCACTCGGACGGCACCAGACGACACGTGTGCTTGAACGTCCGCTTCAGCTCGTTGGACTCAAAGTGGGTGAAGTGTTTCACTAACTGTTTGGGCGTGAGCTGGAGAATCTCGTCCAGGTCCAGTACGCCATTACCGGAACGCTTGGCCGCCTGCGAGTCCGACAAGGAAGTGCATCATGTCCATCAGTGTTTAAAACTACCAGGGTCGTAATAAGTATCGATCAAAGGCAAAAAAGCACATTCGGACTTCAAACCTGCAGCACGCGCCTTAACCCTCGCCCGTATTGGTGTTTTGCCAGCCGCGAACGTATAAGAGGGGGGGGGGGGCTTTGGACCGGCCCCCTTGCCTTTTGGCCCCCTGATCAAGCTAGAGCTTCACGAAAAAACGAGCGTGTTGCCCGTGACCAGAGGAAGCCGATGATACCAAATTTTAAGTTCTTGGGTCACTGGTTGACCTTCCAGGTCAGGTCAATGACCCAAAAGTCGGGAAAATCGGGACCTGTTAGAACGTCGTGAACCGAGGCTGCTGTGGGATTTTCGGGGTGCTGATCACGAATATCATGCTAGTGTTGATCACAGATGTCTTCATGCATTTAGGCCAGGTCGGTTCAGTTCAAGTCCGGTCAACTAGTAGGGGTCCTGCCGGGTATCCGTAGTAGGTGTCAACCGCCTCTGACAGCTTCGTAACATGTTACGAAAGCACCAAAACTACTTCATAAACGTTCCAATGGTTACTAAATTCGAATTCAGCTAACAAACTAGCCTAGAAACATGTAAAACTCGAAAAGTGAACCAGGGTCATCAAAGGTCAATGATCTGACCTGACCTTCAGCCTTCAGGTGGACACCCACCCTAATGCATGGGACCAGCATCATATCACATTTTGGACGCTTGAAACCACGAAAAAACTGCAAACGCACGGCTAATGTGCGCCGACATACGCCGAATCGCGATTCCGGCCAAACATGGTCTCGCAAAATAGGTCGCATGTCAAAGATCATTTGGGTCAGGGTCATGGAATTTTCAGGGTAGGTGTAAAATTGATGAACGCGAGGGCAATGAAGGTTTCGTCGCGACCGGCCGCTTTTTATGCGAGCTATTTGCGAAAAACCGAGGGGATCCGTTCGATCCCCCCCCCCCCCTTATACGGGCGAGGGTTCAAACAAATGTCTGAAGAATGCAGCCCATGTTGACTCTCCATCGATAAAAAAGGCAGTGTTGACGACTCCTTTGTCGAAAAACAAAGCAAAACGCATGGAAGGATCAAACTACAACTTCGTACACTTTCAAATCTTCTCCAAAAACTGATAGAAAGACGCAGTAGAGCACCAAGTTCTTACAACGAGATAAGGATTTCAGTATTTTTTTTTCCGATACTGAGGTCACTGGGCGTCATCGGAGGTTCAATTTTCCCGATTTCAACAGTTTTGGACGATTTTTTGCACAACTCGTAAGCTTACACACCTACGGCGCCACTGAAAGAGGTAAGCGAATAATTATTTCAAACTCTTTCGCTATCATTCCCTAATATTTAAACAAATGTCAATGGTTCGGCATAGAAAAGGCGACAGAGGAAGAAAGTTCTACTGCAATCACTTCAACTGCAAAACTTGTGACGTCCATTTTATTGGCATCGTATTTCCAGAATGTCGAGTAGACTAATTTTGAACCGGAAAGGTCACCGTACGTCCCAGTCAATCCGAAATTTTGAGCTTAACACGTCAAAGTGTTTAGTACATACATACATTGTACATGCATTGGACATGGACACTACAGCGTACAATGTATATTCCGCTTTTTAAAACTTTTGAAAATGTTTGGTATATTTAGGGTATTATTACATCAAAAATATTTTTTGATTTTTGGGGATCAAATTTCAAACTTTTTTTTAAAATAAAAAACGGTTTTTACCCTCTTAAATCTATTACTTTTCTGATTAGACATTCTCTATCTTCAAAACTGTTTGCGTGACAGCTCTTCAAAAAAAAAAACTTTCGGGTCGAAAATCGCAGAAGATGACGTCAGAGTGACGTCATTTGTGGCCGGCCTATCGTAGCTAATGGACAAAATTGGTCACACGGTATAAAATTAATGCCCGGAAGGCTCCTGAAAGTTAAGAGACGATATTTGCAGTACTTTAGGAAATATCGACGGAAAGAGGGGGGGGAGGGGAGCTCCCCCTACGGGACGCGGGTAAATATCCGATATCGAACCATTCATTCATGCTGTGTGAAATTGTGCGTTTATCCCCGTTTTACGCAACGGCCCGGTTACGGTAAAATTCCGTGACCCAAGCATGCCTTTCATTAGATATTTGACATAGGTTTTATTAGCGCCTTATCTACTAAGTTAACTTTGACCCGTTTTAACTTTGACTTCAACTTTGACCCTCGGCTGACCTGACGCCAATGAAAATAAATGCCTCTAGGTTCATCGCTAGGTTCCGTTTGCCCTTTTTCTCCATTTCAACGTTCAATTCCGTATCCATTCGCGGATCTGACACGCAGCTGTTTCAAGTTTTGCATGATCGTGATTTTCTAATCATTTAACCCGCGCCGTGCTGGGGGGGGGGCGTTTTTACGCCCCCCCCCTCAGGTTTTTCGCGAATATCTCAAAAACGGCGGCGCGCAGCGCCGCCGTTTTTGGTACACGTGTTCCTACATCATTTCCGCACATGTTGTGAAAATTTCAGACCTAGGCCGTTCAAGGTCAGGTCACCAGGTCACGTCAAGTGACCTTACCTCAGAAAAAGTTCAAAGGCTCGCTATAGCTACACCGACTGAACGATCACTTTGAAACTTTCAGCGATTGATATGAGTAACAGTATGTATAAAATGTATATCTCGGATTTTTGATATCTGTGACCTAAGGTCAGGTCAATTTTGCGACCTCTCCATTATAAGTCAATGGGAGAAAATTGAAATGCGCCTCTTTTGGACGAATATCGTTCAAAACGCTCTCAAACATCGGTTCATAGGTAAACATGACACACTGAATAGGAAAAATGCACCTGTGACCCCTCTGTGTGCCCCTGAGGTCATCTCAGGTCATGAACGGTCGCCAGCAGTTTTTTGGCTATAACTTTTGATAGAGACGTGCTAGAGCGGTGAAAACACGTTAGATGTGTTCAGCTCGACGATACGGATCGACTGATATGCAACATGACCCTTTTCGGTCAGGTCATGACCTTGACCTGAGGTCAAATTTTCAAAATGACCTTTCAAGGTCAACAAATAGTTCATTCGACGCGTCTCGACGAGAGGAACACGATGCTGGCAAAAGTAATGTCATGGCGCTTATGAGTCAAAAGTTATTGACGAAAAAACGTTTTTCGTAAAAACGGCTATTTTTGGAGTTTTTGCCCTCTGAAGGCTAAACCGTTGACCTGAGGTCAAATCTGAGAACATTATTCAGAAAGGTCTGTAAAAGGGCTATCGAATGCGCTTTTCCGCGGCGCTGTAGCTCTATCGGTTCCCGAGATAGCCGTGGGCAGTTTCCAAAATGTTGAAATAGTCAACATTTTACCTTTGGTGACCTCTGGTGACCTGACCTTTGACCTGACCCAAAAAATGACCGAAGTGTTTTCGTCCTTATTTTTGACGCTCTTTCGATTGCCGCTTACCGCGTGTCGCTACGTGGCCCAGGAGCCGAGTTAGACGGGGGGGGGGCGTGAAAACGCCCTCCCCCCAGCACTCGGCGGAAAGTTCAGGCCACCAGCACGGCGCGGGTTAATGTGAAATTGGGAATAGCGGCGCCATGGTAACACCATTAATTAATTCATGCATACAGGGTGGAAAGTAATTACGCGAACATACTTTTTCGTCTTATAGCAATGGAAAAAGCGGCGGGTGACATGAAAATTTCATCCTTTCATATATTCCTATTTATGTGCGATACACTGACAAAGGCGTTCAGGCATAATTGACATGAGCATGTCAAGCACTGTTGGCAAAAGCTTAGTCCACGCCTCCTGGAGCTGTCTGGTGAGGCAATCGATGTTGGTGGCTACTAGCAGCTCTTAGACGCTCTCCTGAAGAGTCGCCTGGATATTTTTGATCAAATTGAGGTCTGGGCTATTCCCAGATTGACCATTATATGCCCAGAAGAAGAACAGGTTCTCAAAGCACCAGTCTTGCGTCTTTTTGGCCGTGAGAGGAAGGACTGTATCAATCATGAAGAAGAGTTTCTTTGCGTCGGGCACAAAAGTGCGCTCAATCATTTTGCCCCTTTTGGTGCATTGGTGGATTAGATAAAGAGACTCGTCTGGAAGGATATTCCACTAGTTGTATACTTTATTTTTGGTGGCCTTGTTGGTCACTACATGCAATTCTGACACCATCCGGGCGCTCATATCACGCTGATGTATGTTCCTTTGCCGGATGTTTGAAGGTTGGGACGGGCGGGACGTCGGACGCATCAGCAGCCCCCAACGCGTTGTTCTGCAGGTTTGACGGATGAAATAGCTTCGAAGATGTCTCACCCAACCACAAAGCCAGCTGCCTGTCCTCCTCTGTTCAGGTTTGCCGGTCTTTAGAAAACTTAAATTGAAAATCCTGCTGTTAATTCATGAATTTTGGCCATCTCGATTGTTTGTACGGCTTGATTTTCGAATTTTAACGGATTTATGTATGAATCGTGATATCTTAGATCGGGTACCCGGCCATAGTAAACCATTTCGCCTGTTTTCGGATCGACTGTTGTCGTTTGGTCGCGGAAATGGTGACCACCCATTCGGCGCCTGAATTCGCCGAGGTTTTACTGCCGCCAACGGCTTTGCTTTTTAAGTCCTCTTAAGTTTTATTATGCTTCAACCAAACGTGTAATAGAGTAATGCTGGTGCCGAGACCGTTCCGAGTCCCTTCCGCACCAATCCAGCCAAAATAATCACAAACGCTTTCCCTGGCAACACCAAATTGCGATCTTTGCACATTGTGGTCTTGTGCAGCGTATGGCGTCTGCACCATTCGAAGTCGAGACGTGTTGTAGACCTTCCAAGTCATTTTTTCAAAGTAAGGCCACTTTTGGTAGATGAGGCGACAACAAACACGACCAATCATGTTCCATGACAGCCCGCGCTCATACAAAATCTCCACTGACGGGCGAAATTGTAAGAAAATACATGTTCGCGTAATTACTTTCCACCCTGTATATATCATGTATCTTCCATCCATGATAACGCGATAAGCCACGCGTCAATCAGAGAAACCATGCACCCCTGCGAAATACGTGCAAACAAACAACAACAAATAGCTAAATATGTCTCCCAATAAGCACCGCTATAACCAGCAGGGCCACGCAGTGCTTGCAGCACCAGCACCAACTCACCTTTTCCTTTTCAATCCTGAGGTCATTGGCCACAAGTTCGGAGACTATTGCGTCTCCAGGCGCCAGCGCAACCTCACACAACAGGTCTAACGACGATTTCTGAGCGAGCCTTTGGACCATCACTGCCACCAAAACTGAAAACACAAACACTGACAGAAACGCAACGAAAATGGAAAAGTGCAACTATCCTACACAGACAGCAGGTGACATTTAAACAGAATGGAAAATGAAGTGTAATTCAAGAAGAAAAACATTTCAATGTGTGAATTGAACGTCCAACTTGTGTAAATTCATTAGCATAAAACAGCACAAAACTAACGAAAAAAAAACAAGTGAGAGGATAAAAAGCAGAGCAGAAACATGCTTGGCCTAAAGAAAATTTGTTGATATGAGGGGTAGGGAACTATTTTACATTTGCTAAGATAATTTTTTTCCCCATCACTTTTATTACACATTTTCTTTACAACACAACTACCACATTTTCCAACGCACATACATGATGCTCACTACATTAGCATGTTTGGTTACAGCACAGTACCATATTGATATCTCGTACTCTAATTTCCCTTTCATTCTTGTCATGGTCGTACATAAATTCAGCTTGTGTCAGAATTTTCATTTTTTGTAACAAGTTCACAAACCTTGGCTTTTCTTTTCTAACCTTACAACTATATATGTACCATTTTCCTATCAAAATGAGTCGCTGGATCGCTGTTGCGGTTTCCCTAGGGCATTCGTACAAAGCTGGATCAAAACCCAATATGATTTCCTGAGGGTTCAATTCCAGCGTAATCTTCAATCGGTCACGTATCATATCTTTCACCGAATGCCACATCGCACCCACTTCTTCGCAAGCTACCATTAGGTGTTGCATCGTCTCTCTTTCCCTACCACAAAAGGTGCATAAGTCGCTGACGTCCATGAATTTCGAGGCAAAGGTATTTGTTGTCAAAATTCGGTGAACAATTCTGTCCTGGAACCATATCAAAGTTGTATTCTTTGAACACCTTTTGTATGGATAATATATATGCCCCCAAAATATGTTAGAACTCAAAATACAGTTCCATTTAATTTGACTAGGTAATGGTGAATCTGTTTTCTTATATCTCACATTCAGTAAGGCATCATAATATTGTCTGCAATCGGCGTTCAATATTTGCAGTAGAGCCGGGTGGATGAACGGTCCTATTGGCTTTTTCCCTCCGAATTCACTTGGTATGGAAATTCTCTGTACCAAGCATCGCAATGTCTCAAAAGTCAAAGCGTTCAAACACCCAGGATAAGTTCTCCTAAATTCCTCAAAAGACATAAGTTCTCCTTGAGAATTGTAAATATCATTTATTGACCTATATCCAGCGTCGAAAAGTTAACGTTTCCAAAAGAGCTTCCGTCCTATCACTATTTCGGAAGATAAAAAGATGGGAATCTGCCAAACATGGCTTGCTTCAACTACGAGCTCGTGCTTGAATTCATCATATGCAGAAAATACATCACTCCAAAAAGGATTCATATTCGAGCCAAACTTGTTCATATAACGGTCACCGCTACTTAGTAGCCTATCCAATTTCACTTGCGGTCCCACAATATTTTTTACGGTCAAAAAGCGTCGCACCCAAGCAAGTTTCATAGCTTTACCATACGTTCCCACGCAGGGTATGCCATAATGCGTTATCAAATGGGACCGACGTATTTTGTCTGGCTTGTTGTCCCACAAAAATCGGAAAAACTGCTTCTGCAGTGCATCAGTCATCGCAGTTGGAGGATTAGGCAGTACCGTCAAGACGTACGTCAGCTTGGACAAAGCAAGTGACTTTAAAACCGTCCGCTTCCCGTATAAAAATAATCGCCGTCGGAGCCAGCCCTTGAGCATGTTTGTTATTGACTCGACTTTTCTTTTACAGTTGACTGCTACCATTTCATGCATGTCCTTGGTGAAAATGATTCCCAAGTAACGAAAACTGTCCTGCACACACGAGAACTCTGACTGTGTGATAAAGGATGGCGGCTCACCCGGACCTGAATATAAAAGCTCCGACTTCTGTGGATTTAGGGACAGCCCTGAAGCCGCTCCAAATTCAGCAATTGTTTTCAAGCAAGCCCTGAAACTACTCTGGCTCCCATCAAGCATGAATGTGCTGTCATCAGCATACTGTTCCAGTTTAATCTCTTGATGATTAAAGATATATCCTTTTATGAGACGATTATTTCGCACCAATATACCCAAAATCTCTGCACAGAGAATGAATAACAAGGGCGAGCAGCAGTCCCCTTGTCTGCAGCCCCTCTCAATTTCAAAGAAGCCGGTAGATATCTGATTCTGTGATATGCACGATGAAGCATCCCGGAGCATTGTGGCAATCCACCGCTGCATATCCGCCCCAAAGTTAAAGAACTGCAAAGTCTCCATGATAAATTCGTGGCTCAGGGAATCAAAAGCCTTTCGATAATCAGCAAATAAAAAGAGAACGTTTTTGTTTTTTTCCTTTCTCTTTCTTTCCCACAGAATATCATATACAGATCTGATACAATATCCAATATATCTATTTTTCATGAAATCCTTCTGAGCCATGTTAATTAATCTTCCCATGACTTTTTTAACCTGCCAGCAATAACTGTCGACAATATCTTCTGAGACATGTTTAGTAATGAAATTGGCCTCCAACTGTCCATACATGTCTTTGGTTTTCCTGGTTTGCTAAGATAAAGAATTATGTCAAAGCAATTCACTATAAATTTCCTATAAATTCACTATATATTTTGAAGTTTACCACAGACATTATAAATGGGATAATAGGTACACATGATGCATAATGAACCTGTGATATTCCTTCTTGGTAGATGGAACCAATGCACCTTATACATAGAAAAATTACATGAATATCTAGGTCCAAGTTACTCACTAGGGACAAGGAACATGGTAAAATATCTGCCCCAGCTTGTAATTTTGGTAAAAGGAGTACACACATTCCAAAGGGAGCACATAAGTGATAAGATAACATATAACTTTCTAAAAAAACATGTTTTATCATATATGAATAAAGAGCACATGGACAATGATATGATGTCTTCAACAAATCAACCTTAGGCAGGTAAGGTTATTTCAATTAAACCAAGGCAGAGACAACTACATATTTATGAAAATTGTCAGATAAGATAGCCAGGGTAAATAATTTAGGCCTTTGACTTTTAGCTTATAATGAATTAATGAAAACCACTTCCAAACATATCTGGCTATTCATACCTATCTGAATTCAGATGAAATGGAGCCTGGAGGGCTGGAAAGGAGATACAGAGAGCTCACCTGGGCCCTGGCTCTATAAAATTGAGAAAGATATATTGCCCTTATCAGATGTTGCAGGCTGTGTGCATAAAAGTACTCACCTGATCACTAAAAGAATTCCTTAAAATGGCAGCAACAAGTCCTAATTCCACTTATTCCTGAAAAAATATGGATAATGTTCAGAATCCATGAAAGCAGTACCTACCCCTAACAAAACAACATTTGGATATTGTCATTGGATGTTGAAAGCTGACAGGGGGTTGAAATGAGTTCCATTAGTCAGTTCTTTAACCCGCGCACCGACGGGGGGGGGCGGATATCCGCCCCCCCCCCCCCTGAGGTTTTTCGCGAATAGCGGGAAAACCGCGGCGCGTAGCGCCGCGAAATTTGGTATGACTATTCCCTCATCAATTTTACACATGGTGTGCAAGTTTGAACCTCCTACCTTTCAAGGTCAGGTCACCAGGTCACTTTGAATGACCCAGCCTCAAGTCACTTTTTTGCAACTTTGTCACCGTGCCAGAGCTACAGTAGATGTCGGAGGCCTTTGAAAGTCGCAGGATGTTATTAGGTCATTAGTAGCTACAATTTGTATATCTCGGAATTTTGATATCGGCGACCTAAGGTCAGGTCAATTTCGCGACCTCCCCATTATAAGTCAATGGGGGAAAAATCAACTCCCTGTTTTTACCACTAAAACGGGTCGGAATGGCCCCATATACCATACATGACTTCATATACGATCAACCTTCACTACCTTGAGGTCTGTTTTGCTGTTGGGCAGCTGTGAGGTCATGTGACGTCATCAAAGGTCACCAAAGGTTTTTGGCCAATAACTCCGTACAGGAACAAGATACAGACGCGTGGATGGTCTCATTGTGTTCAGCTCGTCAAGACGCATCGAATGATATACATGATGACCTCGAGGTCACGTGACCTGAGGTCAACCTTTGACCTTGACCTTTTGAGGTCAACATATATATCATTTGATGCGGATTGACGAGAGGATGACGATGCTGCCCTTAGTTTGTTCCTATCTTGACTAATTCGAAAGTTATTTGAGAAAAACTCTCCATATCCAGCGCCGCCATTTTGACTTTTTCGACCCCTGTGACGTCATCTTTGACCTGACCTGAAAATGACCTTAGTAAAAATTGTAAATCTTGACCGTGCGTAACCAATGCCATTTACCGCTTGTCGCTATCTTGCTTCGTTCTTGAGATCTCGGGGGGGGGGGGGGGCGGTCATCCGCCCCCCCCCCGTCGGTGCGAAGGTGGCGCAGACCCCCGTCGGTGCGCGGGTTAACAGCATGCTGCTGGTTTCCTAATACATGGGAATTGCCAGTACTGATTGCTGCAGCCTCTTGTTGCTGAAACACTCGCACATGCATTGCACCAATGAGAAGTCTGGAAACACCAGTATGCTGCTAAAAATTACCAAAGAGCACAAAGATGTGTTTGTGTTTAATTAACAATGTCAAGTTGTTGAATGCATTTTGCATAGTGCTGTCCAGGTAATCCTGCTGTTCTCCTTTTCACTAATCCAAAAAAAATCCTTAATCATTATCAACTTGATCATTAACAATCATTAACAACTTAATCAAACGCAGGTGGTAATGACCTCGAAGTTCCCATACCCCTCATGTGCAGTATGCAGAAAGACCAAGCTTTGCATGCAATAAGAAAAAGCTGGTAGTTAAGCTTTTAACTGTTAAATGCTAATAATTCAATAACACTTAAGCTAATTATATTACACATTTATTTGCATATCAGGAACAACACAAAACACAACACGTGACAAAGGCAGTCAGCAATATGTAACAAGCAGCCACTTCCTAGGTTGAATGAAAATTTACCTAGGAACCTAACAATAAAATTAAACAGTAACACAATAAAAAAAATACCTGACTGAGCTTAATTCGAACTTCTCGCCCATACTGATGCATCATTTTCTTACAACCAAATCCGGCGTGATATGGCACCATGCTTTCATCCACCTATTGAATGTCACAAAGCACATGATACAAATTCATTTCACAATATCAGGTCATTAATTCGGCCAATTGTACTTACCTGAAAATAATTGAGCCAAAAATATCAAAGGAAATTAAGCATAAAATAGGAAAAATTGTAGAAAATAGCGCCAATGAACCCCGCCGTTTTTTCTGCTGTTTCGGTTGTTGACAGGAAACTAGCAGAAGGGAGGGGAAGATAGAGAATGTATCTTATCAAAAGAAAGCTACAAAGCTAAGTAAAATGGAACAAATGTGTGAAATTATTTAATTTTTAAGTTTTGACCATCGAAAATAGTCTATATGCTAAAAAATTCTGTTTGTATTGAAAAGATTTAACACCGATAATTTCTTACCGATGATGCCTGCCACAATTTCTTCATCTCTAAATTTGTGGCGCATGTGATTCAAAATGAAGCTTAAAGCGCTGCAAGATTATTGAGCACTACTTTACTGCTTTGCACGACCCGCCACAATCATTTCACAAATCAGTCCCAGTTGTTACCTACCAAATTTCGAGCAATTCCAAAACACGGTGTGTCAAAAGTGGAAATAGCCGCCCGGCTTTAGTTCGCCAGCCTTGTCAATAGATGGCAGTATCACAATATGGGCAGCGGACCGTGCAATTGACGTCAAATTTTCGTTATCTGCTAAGGATTGAATGGCAGATCTTTTCATGCAAGAATCAAGTAAATTGGTCCACAACTTTTCTAGCAACAGAGATATGAAGTCAAACGCCCTGCCAGAGCGGCGGCGTGGCGGCCGGCGGCGCTGAACGGTTCCGACTTGGCACTGCACTAAAACCTGTTAACTGCTTGGAATAGTTATTATAGCAAAATTTTCATTCAAGTGAGGAATAACCAAGGGCAGGAAGTATGTATGCTTGTGTGCGTACTGTGTAAGCCAAGAAACTGCATTTGCAGATACTCGCTAATATTAGATCCAGCCAAGTCCAAACGCATTCCAGGGGCTGTGTTTCTGATGGGTCAACAATATTTATCGTTCGAGGGCGGATACAGTTTTAACAATACAAAAAATATTTTTGCACAGCTCTATTCCTTGAATAATTCTCTTCAACGCCTTATTCCTAGTTAAGCGAATTAGCCCACCCTGGTTGAATAAATAAGGCGATTTCGCCACAAGGTCGCGGAAAACCGACCGAAAACGGCCGCGCTCAATGTTAATTTGGGCATGCAGACTCTTAAAAACTCGCATTGGGCGGGTAGGGTTTCCCAGGTATTGGCTCCAAAACACCGTATTCGGCTCCCGAATACGTCCAAGTGACCCGCCTCGTTCCTAGTTAAGCTCTAATTAGATCAAGTGACTCATAAGGAGCGAAAAAGCGAAAAAAAACATGAATTTCCCTATGGCGGCGGGCTGCCGGGTTACCAGACGGCGCACCGGCTATTTCCACTTTTGACACACCATGATTGCCTATGCGTCTTGTAACAGTATTGGAACGTCTCTTCAAATCAAACATCTCAGCAAAATAAACTTTTATCAGTCTGAAATGCATCCTACATGAGCCTCAACTATTCTGATCTGATCTGATGAATTTTGATGAATGATGATTTTTGATGGCCGCAAATCATATTATATTGTATCATATTACAGACGTTTTGTACACGCCCGGCATTACAGTCCGAGCCATGATCCTTACGTGTGCGTCTTGATTCCTTGATGTTCCGTCATAGTCACTGGGCTTCTGCTCAGTTCCAGCTTGTTGATGGCTACGGCATCCTTCAGCTCAAACTCGTTTCCTGTTTCGACGCTGCTGACGAGAAGGTCGAGTTTTCCAACTTCGTGCTCTGTGACGCCGGTCATCGTCCTAATTCTCATCTTGTCCGGCTTCGTGTCAAGTCCCAGTTCTTCTGCCAAATCACTCTCGATTAGTGTCAGAGCCAACAAGCCAACAAGCCTGTGAATATCACGATTACTGAGGCTCCTAAGTTAGATGTACTGTGTTTTGACGGTGATGTGGCACACTACCCACTGTTCAAACGGCAAGTCAACGAGGCACTGGAAAGCGGCCTATTTTCCGAAGCCAAGATCGTGTCTCACCTCAAAGAGAGGCTGAAAGGGGAGGCATTTAATGCCGTGCACGGTGCCCTCCTGGCTGGAGTCTCTCTGACGCGCATTCTACACGTCTTAGATTCCAGATTCGGAAACAAACTGCGCGTAACTCAAGCTGTAACGAGAAAACTCCTAGAACGATCAAAAATGAGTGTCATGGATGTCGAAGAACTCGCTCGCTTCAGCACAGAGGTATACAACGCGATAGCAGTCCTCGAATCGATGGGAAGCGAAAACGAAATGAACAACTTTCGAACGATCAGCCTGCTCGTAGAGAAGCTGCCTCTGGACAGTCAGCATGCATGGGGCTCATACGGAAGACAGCATGCGGACGAACACGGTGACGTCACCTGCCGCACCTTCTGTGACTTTCTGGAGGAGCACGCTCAAGACCGGCAATTCAGCGCCGTTCGCGCTGAGCTCGGCAAAGCCACGCCCACTACCCAGAAAAGTAAGGCAGAGTTACGCGATGGACAGCGCTGCTGAAGTGGGTCGTGTGGCCGCGACAGACGCAACCAGTCCCAGTGGGCAAGGAACACGGAGTCGAGTGCAGGTCTCGTGCTACTTTTGTAAGCAGCCCCATTGGATTTCGCGCTGCAAAGCTTTCCAAGAGCTGACCGGTGACCGGAGATGGAAGTGGACCGAGTCAAACAGCGTCTGTGTGCGGTGTTTGAGTACGTCACATCGCACGCAGCAGTGTCATAGACAACTGCCATGTGGCGTCGACGGCTGCAAAGAAAAACATCACGCTCTGCTACACACCAAGCCGCAGACGACAGCGGTAGTGGGCACGGTGAACGCCGATCGTAAAGTTATGCTGATGAAGACGGTGGTGGTACGTGTTCACGGACCGAGCGTCACAAGACAGTGCGTGGCTTGCGTGATGAAGCTTTCGACGACATCGAGACTGATGAGCAAACACTCATGGCCCCGGCTTCATTGATGCTCTCCCGTTCGTCGTCTTCGAAACCATAACGAACTGGAGCGCGTCTCACTCTGTCTCCTCTTCTCGGAGTGGGAACCGGTGTACGACTCATGGTTGTTCAGCAACAAGTTTAAGCAATATTTAAAGTCATCGTTTACTTTAATTAATGCTATGCTGCGATTACAACGTGACGTGAGGAACGATAAGTCGATGTTACGTTACTCAGAATAATAGGAATTGTAACGATTCGAAGTGTAAATCTACATTTACGTAACCGTAACGACATAAAAATATTTTCATGAAATGTTGCGAACTGCAACATGAGACGCCTTCTTCATTTTCACAATATATTGAAATAAAAACGAGCATTCATGCTTGTGCAATGAAAATATTTTTGACGTCTGACCTACAATCGACGGCAAAGGTCATTAGCCAAAAAATTAAGGTCGCGAGACAATTATAGAGACATTTGAAATGTTGAACGTTCATTGTCAGACATTTGAAAATTAAAAGGTCTCCTAGGACGGAGAAAAACTAATAAGACCTCCATTGCTCTTTGCATAAAATAAGACGATGACATCTGCAGAAATAATATAGAGCGAATTGAAGCGAATGAATGAATGAAGGTGAGCATAAATAAGTGAATGAATGAATTGATGAACGAATCAGTGAATGAATCGGCAACACACCTAACAATGGCAGATGGAGTCTGCATCATGCCCATGTGCATCATATGGCCAGCCAGCCTGAAAAGCGCCACCGGCCCAACACTCCAGTAATTTGGCACACATTGCGATATAACGCATCTTGGCCAAAAATTCAGTGGCCTATGAAGCATCAACCAGCGCGTCGATTCGAGGGGTCTGAAGGGTGGCTTTGTGGTCGACGCAGGCGAGCCAGAACGCCTAAAACGAATGATTATCAAAAGAGAACTGCAAGACTCTTCATGAAGAACACGATACTCTCACACACAATGGCTACGCGAAATCACCGCATACTGGCTACATGATTTGATACTCGTCTAATCTCTCCATCAAGCTCTACGACCCTCAAAATGTACACGTTTCCCGTTTCGTCTCCAACTTCAACTCAGCTTTCTCGACGGGGATTGTCTTTGCCCCCGACAGTACCACGCGCAGCTGATGTAGTCTATCAGACATGGACGCTTCCTAGGTGGGGGTGCCTCCCACCCCGCACGGCGCTGTCGCCCACTCACTTTTGGACGACACGCACATTGTTGGACACATTGCCCGACGAGTAGAACACGTTGTACTTGCCAAGAGAGCTGGTCAGATTGATTCGCGGCCTTTGCACCCGATCATTGGCGACCGAGGGTGCGCCAGGGGTGAACTTATCCAGGGGGGTGAGCTCTCTCTCCCAGTCCTGCAGCGGCGGCAGGATCTCCAGCGGCGGCAGCGGGTCCAGAAGCTGCTCTGCCAGCGTCGGCTTCTCCCCCGGTCCGTCAGCCACCGTGGCGTCCACCACCTGCTCCAGCACGTCACGGCCCGGCGGCGGCACGATGCTCTCCACGTTAGACATGTACTCCACACGGCCCGTCGACTGACGCACCACGACGTCCACGTACGAGAAGCCCATCTTGCTCGGACTGGGCGGCGCTTGAGAGTCGTCCGAACGAGGCCGGGCCCTGCAGGCGGACGGACAGCGCGGCGTCAGGTCACCGGTACAGGCACAAACAGAAATGCTGAGTCAGAACTGGCATAAGGCAAGGCGGCGGCGAACACGAGCTCAATGTGGTAAACGACAAAAAAAAAACAAGGATGATGGTGATTCGCTAAGACTAAACGCAACGAAAATCGAAGGCATGTGGCAATGTGCGGCAAACACATCAGCAAAATGCGATTGTTAACTCATCATTTTATGCTACGTTGATATAGGAAAAGTGCAAAAAAAAAACTTTTGGATATCGGCATCGGGCATGTTCACTTAAAGGCCACCACTTTCAACCACACCGTCTTCTTCCGAGCACAGCCTCTTTCTATGGGCCGGTCTGCCGGACCTACCTCGGCCTCCTGGATCGGTTCTCCTGGTGGGAGCGCTCCAGCAGCCGGCGGTGCTCGTCATCGGACAGGATGACGATGTTGCCGCTGTTGGTCAGACGCTGGCCGTGCTTCGACTCCAGGTGGCGACGGTACGAGTTCTTCGCCTTGAAACTGTCACACAAAAGAGAGTCAGCTCGCACCGTTATTGTTCTTGATATTGTGGTAAAACTTCGTTCATTCGGGTAGATAGCTGGTGAAACGTCGCAAATCAAAGCAAAATTCATGTAATGACAAAATTAACTGATATAGGCGTATCATCATAGTGTGGCTCCGTGACCCACACAAGTCGGGTCGGCTACCCAGCCCTGCCCGTGACCGTTCGTCTGTCCGTCTCCTCACCCCTACCCACCGCCGCACACTGGTCGGAAACGCCCTCACGAGAGGCCACGGGCGATTCCGGAGTTTCGGATTATTTTTTATATAGATCGATTTGAAATTGATCAAATTATTATACTTAGGCCAAAAAAACTAATCCAGGTGACCAAAAATAGTTGTAATCAGTCCCCGAAGATGGGGTATCCCAGAACTCGGAAACTGACGCGGAGCAAGAGGTTTCTTGAGCCGGATATTCAGAGTCTTATCCCGCGCCCCAGTGGCGGTCTCAGCCAACTTCGCCCTAGTGAGGGGGGCATATGTTACCACCCACCTCTAACTCAAAAACTAAGAGGGCTAGAAAGACGCGGTAAAAAGCAGTCAATAGCTCTCAATGCGTACGTTTGAAAGTATTTCGGTCATTTTTCACCTTAGAGCAATATTGGGGTCACCAGAGGTCATCAAAGGTCAAAATTTGCCAATTGTCATTATATTTTTCAGAAAACATGCCGTTCTCTCAGGAACTATGGTAGCTAGAAAAACGCATGAAACAGCAAACGATAGCTTTTGAACTCTTCTTTTGAAAAGGTCATTATCAATATTGACCTCAGGTCAACAGTTTAGCCTCCAGAGGGCAAAAACTCCAAAAATAGCTGTTTTTACGAAAAGTGTTTTTCGACAATAACTTTCGACTACAAAAAGCCACGACATTTCTATTGCCAGAATCGTGTTCCCCTCGCCGAGACGCGTCGAATGAACTATAATTTGACATTGAAAGGTCAACTTGAAACTTTGACCTCAGGTCAAGGTCATGACCTGACCGGAAAAGGTCATGTTGCATATCAGTCGATGCGTCTCAACAAGACAAACACAATGAGACCATCCCCAGCGTTCTATCTCTTTCCAATCGCGAGTTATTGGCAAAAAACTGTTTGTAGCCTCAAGTGACCTCGGATGACCTGTCTAGAGGCTATCAGCAAAAATGACACCTTGGTCATCACGAGTGGACTACATCATTGTGATTCTGAAATATTTAGACTGTTCCGATGCGTACACACGGATCTAGAGGCATTTTCATTTTTCTCCATTGACTTGTAATGGAAAGGTCACGCCACTGACCTGACCTTAGGTCACGGATATAAAAAATCCGAGATATACAAATTGTAGGCGCCTATAACAGCATGCAATCCACCAAGTTTCAAACCTTTTTGACAAACACTGCAGGCTGGACATGATTGCAAACTTTTTTTTAGGCTTGGTCAGTTAACTTGACCTGGTGAACTGACCTGACATGACCTGGGGTCAAAAATTTCACACATTGTCCAAAATTGATGCACAAAAAGCTATGCCAAGCGGCGCGGCGCTACGCGCCGCGGTTTTTTATTTATACGCAAAAAACGCGACAGGGTGGTAACATATGCCCCCCCCCCACTGGGGCGAAGGTTATTGCTGATAGACACCAAATTGAAATCCCACATATTATGCATCAAAATGTTCGTTATGAAGTTGCCGACTGGTCAGTGCAAAATTTTTGTTATACTTTTTCCCTAACTAAGATGTATTATAGCTTTTTTTATGAAGGCTCTCCTACAGTGATTCTGGAATATAACTGCAAAGTTTAGGTAAGGAAACAACAGGTAGTCCCATCTAGTTCCACTCATTTTTTGTGAGATGAAGTAGGATTTAAATTTACACCAGGGCAACATAAAAGCTAACTGCGCATATTTGCGCAAAATTTGCAGGAGCCGCTCTTCCTACCCAACTACCGCCCGCCCCGCCCCAGTTTCGGCTCGGCCGCCGCGCCCGGCTTACGCTGACCTGTGTGGCCTGCACGCATCCATGCGTAGTTGACTGGTCACTAAAAACAGATGCGCTTGAGTTTATGAATTTTGTGAAAAGCGCGTTTTATGTATGCATTTATGGATGTATTGACATCAAAAGCCTTCCACATATTGCGTGGCGATTACGGCTTGCATTTAGAGAGCCTTGCTATTGACAACCATCACTCGGCTGAAGAAAGTGGAAATTGAAACCTTCGTGAATATAAGACGCTGCAAATATAGGACACCTGTCACTGACGTCGGGTTGCCTTGGGCCGTCGTTTTACATTAGATCACAATTCTGGTATTTAACCCTGGCCGGACCGATTGGTTTTCTACATTGACCGGGGAGGGTTGGTACAACTCCCTCGCCGTTTCGGTTTCGCCTCTAATTGAGCTAGAGCCTCGCGGGAAAAAAAACAAACTTGTGTGCCGTTATAAGACGCAAAAATTAGGTACTACCCGATTTTAAGGTCTTAGGTCAGCCAGTGACCTCTTAGGTCAGGTAAGTGCCACAAGGCACGGGCTCGGTTTTAGGTTAATTACTTTGCCAAAAATGGTCGCACTGCCGCGATTTTGGCATAATCGTGTTTCTCTAGCTCAGGCGCGTTGAATGCTATACTTGGTGTTCGGGTGAAGTCAACTTAACCCTCGCCGGCACAGGCCATTTTGCGTACTTCGACGGCACAAGGGGGCACGACGAAGGTGGTACGACCCCCCCTCGCGTTTGGCCCCTGATCGAGCTAGAGCCTCGCGGAAAAAACGAGCGTGTTGCCCGTCACGAGAGGAAGCCGATGATACCGAATTTTAATGTCCTAGGTCATCGGGTGACCTTCCAGGTCAGGTCAATGACCCGAAAACCGGGAAAATCGTGACCTGTTAGAAAGTCGTAAATTGTGGCTGCTATGTGGTTTTCCGGGGTGCTGATCACGAATATCGTATTAACTTTGATCAGAGATGATGTCTTTAAGCATTTAGACCAGGTCGGATCAGGTCAGGTCAGGTCAACCGGTAGGGGTTGTGACGGGCATTCGTAATACGTGTCAACCGCCTCTGACAGCTTCGTAACATGTTACGAAGGCGTCAAAACTACTTCGTAATTGTTCAAATGGTTGCTAAATTAGAATTCAGCTCCAAAAACTAGCCTAGAAACATGTAAAACTCGAAAAAGTGAACCGAGGTCACCCGAGGTCACCAAAGGTCAATGACCTGACCTGACATTCAGGTGACCTTGACACCCATCCTAATGAATGGGAGCAACATCAATCACATTTTGAACGTTTGAAACCACGAAAAGCTTGCAAACGCTCGGCTAATGCGAGCCGACATACGCCGAATCGCGATTTCGGCCAAACATGGTCACGGAAAAGAGGTCACAGGTCAAAGGTCATTGGGGTCAGGGTCATGAAATTTCCAGGGTAGGTGTAAAATTGATCAATGCGAGGGTACTGAAAGTTTCGTCGCGATCGGCAGCTTTTTACGCGAGTTATTCGCGAAAAACCTTAGGGGGTGCATCAACCCCCCCCCCCTGTGCTGGCGAGGGTTAAGGTGTTAACCCACGCCCGGCTGGGGGTCCTGGATTTCCACGCCCTGCTGGGGGGGGGGGTGTTTGAACACCCCCCCCCCTTCTAACTCGGCTCCTGGGCCACGTAGCGATACGCGGAAGGCGGCGTTCGGAAGAGCGTCAAAAATAATGAGGAAATCACTTCGGTCAATTTTTTGGTCAGGTCAAAGGTCAGGTCACCAGAGGTCATTGAAGGCAAAATTTCGCCGATTTCCAGGTCGAATGTCGAAAATTTCCAAGAAGCCAACACATAACTCGGGAACCAATAGAGCTACAGCGCCGCGGAAAAGCGCATTCGATAGCCCTATTAACGCCCTTTCTGAGTAATTTTCTCAGATTTGACCCAACGTCAACGGTTTTGCCTGCAGGGGGCAAAAACTGCAAAAATAGCCGATTTTTTCGGAAACAGTTTTTCTGCAATAATTTTTGACCCAAGCCTTGTACGAGCTTACTTTTACCGGCATCGTTTTCCTCTCGTCAAGATGCATCGAATGAACTATAACTTGAACTTGAAAGGTCAACTTGAAAATTTGACCTCAGGTCAAGGTCATGACCTGACCGGAAGGGGTCATGTTGCATATCAGTCGATCCGTATCGTCGAGCTGAACACATCTAAGGCGTTTTCATCGCTCTAGCATGCCTCTATCAAAAGTTATTTGCGAAAAACTGTTAGATACCATTCGTGACCTTAGATGACCTCAGGGCATAAACAGGGGTCACGGACACCATTTCCATGTTCAGTGTGTCTAAACCACTTGTAATTCAGTGTTTGGGAGTGTTTATAATGTCTTTCGTCCAAAAGAGGCGCATTTCAATTTTCTCCCATTGACTTATAATGTCGCAAAATTGACCTGACCTTAGGTCATCGATATCAAAGTTCTGAGATATACATTTTGTACATGCTATTGCTCTTAGCAATCGCTGAAAGTTTCAAAGCGATCGGTCACTCGGTGTAGCTATGACAGACATTGAAACTTTTTATAAGGTGAGGTCACTTCAAGTGACCTGGTGACCTGACCTTGAATGACCTTGGTCTGAAATTTTCACAACATGTGTAGAATTGATGTATGATAAGCTGTACCAAAAACGGCAGCGCTCCGCGCCGCCGTTTTTGAGATATTCGCGAAAAACCACAAGGGGGGTGTTCAAACACCCCCCCCCAGCAGGGCGCGGGTTAACCTCGGGTCAAGGTCAGGTCGGAGCCCCTCAGGTCACGAAAATGGGTGAAGGAGGTCATATTGCATATCATTCGATTCGGCAGGTCTTCCTGAGTCCAATGGTGGCTTTCTCGATTATCTAGCTCCATCTGATCAGGAGTTATTGACGAAAAACTTACATGGCCTTAGTGACGTCATAAATGACGTCACGCAAAGTCAACAATGCTAAAGTCAAGCACTGGACCTTGCAAGGAGTGCATGAAACCATTCCCGGTGCCCGAATAGCAGTTCCCAATTTCCCTTGTTGACTTAAAGTGGTGCTAGATCCTGTATTATACTCAATTATGACGTCATAACTTAACAGATTCACGTCATATATTTAGTGCTTGACATCCAATGATAGCTTACATATGACAGAGAAGGTATGCAAAGTTTTATGAAGTTTGCTTCACTAGTTGTGGAATAACAAGCAAAAAACTTTTGCGGAAAGGCCGCTGGCCTCTCGCTGGAGCGTTTCCGACCAGTGTGCGCCGTCTGTCTCCTCACCCCCGGCCGCAGACGGAGCACATGTAGGGCGTCTCGCCGGTGTGTCGACGCAGGTGCTCGGTGTAGTGCGACTTTTGTCGGAACTCGTGGCCACAAGTGCTGCAGCGGAACCGCGTCTTGTGCTCGTGGATCAGCATGTGGCAGTCGAGCGACGTCTTTCGAGTGAAAGACTTGTGGCACAGCTTGCAGGAGAAGTCCTTGATGCCTGAAAAAAATGCGAGGGTCATATGACTATTAATTAATTAGGAATGCAACTGCAGTCGGATAACGACCACAGACATGACGAAAAACAAAGCCATAACTCGAATATAATAGATATCATGTTACCTATGATCAGGATAAAGATGCTCAAATCTTAAGTTTGCAAACTAGCCCATAAAAAGTTAGTTTGTAGAGCTGACTTAAAAAATTTGTTTGTAAAAAGTTAGTTTGTAAAACCCATAAAAAGGAATTAAGTAGAAACTTATGGTACCCAATGCATTACGTACCTAGGTGGCATTTGTAGTGCGACTGTAGCGAGGACAGGGCCGTGAAGCGCTGCGGCGGGAAGCACACGCGGCACACGTAGTTCACGTAGTTGTTGCACATGCTGGGCCGGAGGCGCATCTCGATCAGCGCCTGTCGCGCCTTCTCCTTGTCCTCCTCCGACTGGCTGATGAACTTGGCCAGCCCCTTGGGCTTCCGGTGCTGCTTATACTCGTCGCGCTCCACCACGCGGGTGTAGCGGCGCAGGCCGCTGACGGTCGCCGAGCCGCCCTCCATGATGACCGGCAGGTCCGCGGAGCGCATCACGCCGCCGCGGATCACCTGTTCGGCGCCCACCAGCGGCACGCCGTCGCTGCTCTCGGCACTGTCACCGCCGCCGAGGCCGTCGTCGGAGCCCGGTCCAATCACTTCCCGCTCCATGAGACCAAGCAGAGCTAGGTCAGACTCAAACGGGACCGCCGAGTGATTCTGACTGGCTGTGCCAGCACCCGTGGGCGCCTCGCTCTCAGCTGGGTTGACGGACGGCTCCGGCGGTGTCGGCGCAGAGTCCGCCGAGGGGCCAGCGGAGGACTCCAGTGCGGAGTCCCGCGCGTAGTCGTGCTCGCGGAGCTGCTCTCGCGGCGGAGACGGCGGCGCCGGAGGAGGAGGCGCCGGGGACACGGCCGGAGGCTGGACCGCCGCCGGCGGCGGCGGCGGTTCGATGGTGCGTCTCCGGCGGGACTGGGACCGCTCCGGAGGACTGACCAGTGCCGGCGGCGGCGACTCCACCGGGCGCTTCTTGGGCCTTGTCGGAGTTCGTTTCGACGGCCTCTCCGACGGCGACGATCGTTGAGCATATGCCCGTTCTGGGCTAGCAGCATGATTGTCGGGGGCTTCAGGTGCTTGGGGAACAAGCTCGTGAGCAATGTAAGACCGCTTTTCACGAGAGGCCTCGACCGGTGATTTTTTGCCTTGGCGCGACTCGATAACCCTCCGTGGTATAGGCACAGTAGTTTCAGCCGTGAATATTATACGGCCCGCTGCAAAACCAGCAAAATACTGTCAGCACCCAACCTGAGCTACGCAAGGGATATATTAACCCGCGCGGGGCTGGGGTCTCCAGCCGAACGCGCGGGGCTGGGGGGGGGGGGTAAATTTTACCCCCCCTGTTATCTCCCGAACTAATGGTCCGATTTGGAAAATTCAAACGCCAATCGAAAGCTCTCATCACGAACTACTAAAAACATGTACTTAATTTAAAGTTTGAGGTCAAGGTCAAGGTCAGGTCAAGGGTACAAATTGCAAGTTTCTACAGTATCGGCCTTGCACCGTAGTTGCCGAAGAATGGAGTCATGGACTGAGACTGATCGCCCAAAACGTGTTCTTAGGCTACCAAGACAATATTAGTTGCATACAATATCATTCAGAGGTCAAGGTCAAGGTCAGGTCAGGTCAGGTCACCAAAAAACAAAATATAGAAAAGGGCATGTGCGACACATGTTTTATGGGTCATTTTACTCATAGAATTCAATAGGCACACTCAATAAGTGATATGGACCACCTCTGGATGAACTTCAGGTCGAGGTCAGGTCAAGGTCAGGTCAAGTGAGGTCAAATTTTGAAGTTGGTTGTTAAGGCCTAAAAAGGTGTCTATCTGATGCAGTTTTTCACGGCGAATCGAATGGTGCTATTTTTGTTTCCGTACGAGGTCTAGAACTTCCAAAAAAGTCATTTTTCAAAAATTTTGTGTGTCGTGACGTCATAAAAATTTTTGAATAACTCCCACATTTTTGAACCGATTCTTCTAAAATTTGGTATGTAGGTGCACATAGACCACTTCTCTGACATATATTCCGGTTTTTTCGATAGACTCAAAATTTTGGATTTTATAATGATTTTCCCAAAAAAATCTGTTTTTTGAAAAAAATTAGGTCAAAATCCAAAATTTTCAAAAAACCGAGATAGCTATTTGATAAACAAAGTAAAATTACGTATAACCTTTTTTGTTACGTCTTGATTCCTTTAAAAATGAAGATGTTAGCGGCGTTTGAACTTTTGCCGTTTTTGAGGCGAAAATGGCGAACATGACGTCACTAAAACGTCAATTTCTCAAAAATTTTCCGACGGATTTCGCTCAAATTTTCAGGGAAGGTGTCAAATTGATGTAAGAAAAGGTACTGAAAGTTTGGCGGCGCTGCGTGCCGCCGTTTTTGAGATATCGCAAAAATTCGCGAGGGGGGGTAAAATTTACCCCCCCCCCAGCCCCGCGCGGGTTAAACTGTTTTTCATATTATTAAAGCAGCGTTAGTTGTTGAAACAAAATATTATGTTAAAAACAGACTTTTTTATTCGGACTTTCGGTTACCTAATGCCATTTCAAACTCACAGCTGAAGATGGTGACAAAACCAAACTCAACCCAGCACATATTCATCACTTGGAAAGTGTGATCCGATGGGAGTTGGTCCGATATTCAAGACAGGATCGGCCGGTTTGCCGCCGGTCGGACCTCAGGGCTCAAACTGGAGGCGGATCCAGCCCATGGATGAAGGAGGCTGGATCGGAAAACGTTGATCAAGTCAGTGTGGGCGAGGCCAAAAGGAAGCTGGTTACCAAAAGCTTTCATAAGGCGCACAATACAATTATAGCCCAAGAAGTTCATAGTGATCTACGGCCGGACACTCGCACCCACACACTCATTCATTTACCTAAGCAACTATTCAAAATTGACTATAACGACAGCTGACATGCTGGAGGCCGAAATTTAGCGGGCACTTACTGCTCTCTGTCTTGAGTTGTTCCAGGTGCTCCTGCAGATGCCGTTTGATCTCACGCAGCGACTTGTCCTCGCTGCCGAAGCTGGTGGTCTCGTACTGGCACTCGGACGGCACCAGACGACACGTGTGCTTGAACGTCCGCTTCAGCTCGTTGGACTCAAAGTGGGTGAAGTGTTTCACTAACTGTTTGGGCGTGAGCTGGAGAATCTCGTCCAGGTCCAGTACGCCATTACCGGAACGCTTGGCCGCCTGCGAGTCCGACAAGGAAGTGCATCATGTCCATCAGTGTTTAAAACTACCAGGGTCGTAATAAGTATCGATCAAAGGCAAAAAAGCACATTCGGACTTCAAACCTGCAGCACGCGCCTTAACCTTCCAGGCGGTGGGGCATTTTTTGCCCCCCCCCCCTTTACTTTTTTCCATATATTTCGAGAACCGCTGCGCCGATCGTCACCAAACTTTAGTACCCTCCCGGGAGTAGCTAGCGCACATGGTGACCAAAAATTTTTTCCAAAGGCTATGATAGGTTGGCCGCTAATGACGTCAGAGTGACGTCATTTTTGCCATTTTCGACAAAAAAAAAGGTTTCGCGGGAAGAGCTGTCAGGCCTACAGCTTTAGAGATACAGAAAAATGTTCTTGACATAAAAGGTGTGAAATCAAGAGGGCTACAAAACTGCTATTTCGGTTTTTTCGATTTTTTTTTATTTTGACCCCCCAAAATTAAAAAAAATGAAAAATAATAGCCGAAAAATCCAAAAAGTTTTTTGAATTTCGAAAAAAAACGGAATATATGTGATAGTCCCTACCGCCTTCTCTTTTTTGGCCAAGTTATAGCGAAAAAACTGTTCAAAATTGATGACGTCAAATTTTCAAACTCAATTTTTAGCGACTCTAGATCTCGTAGCGAAAATTAAAGACCACCATTAGACTCCCGGTGACGAGCTGCATCGAATCAATACCCATTTTATGCAAAATATCAACTTTGAAATTTGACCTTTTTTGACCTGACCTCCACCAGAAAGTGACCTAAACCGTACCTGATGGTCTTATAACCAATACCATTGAGTTGGAAATGAAAAACTGGATATAAAACATGCATCGCACAACCTTAGTAAAGTTGGGTTCATGCGGTGACCCTTGGTGATCTTTGGTGACCTGACCCGTGACCTGACCTGGTATGACCAGTGACCTCTAATAGCAACATATGTACTAGACAACTGACGCCTTATCGCTGATTTTCGACAAAATGCGTTTTATTCGGTGTTATAGCGCTTTCCCTAGAAGCCCCGTGAACGGTGAAATATTTTATCTTTGACCTGACCTGTGACGTCATCGGTGACCCACCCCTGAAAAAATTGTGGAAAAAACAAAGAGCTGAGTATGTCTCCCAATAAGCACCGCTATGATTGTAGCAGGGCCAGGCAGTGCTTGCAGCACCAGCACCAACTCACCTTTTCCTTTTCAATCCTGAGGTCATTGGCCAAAAGTTCGGAGACTATTGCGTCTCCAGGCGCCAGCGCAACCTCACACAACAGGTCTAACGCCGATTTCTGAGCGAGCCTTTGGACCATCACTGCCACCAAAACTGAAAACACAAACACTGACAGAAACGCAGCGAAAATGGAAAAATGCAACTATCCTACACAGACAGCAGGTGACATTTAAACAGAATGGAAAATGAAGTATAATTCAAGAAGAAAAACATTTCAATGTGTGAATTGAACGTCCAACTTGTGTAAGTGTAAATTCATTAGCATAAAACAGCACAAAACTAACGAAAAAACAAGTGAGAGGATAAAAAGCAGAGCAGAAACATGCTTGGCCTAAAGAAAATTTGTTGATAACCGCAGGTTGTTTGAAAAGACAAACACTATTCGTTAGAATTGTGTTTTTAACCGCAGGTTGTTTGAAAAGACAAACACTATTCGTTAGAATTGTGTTTTTCTATTGAAAAACAACCGGAGCGGTCGTTGTCCGGGGTATGTTTTGCAAGTCTGGCCGCGAATCAGTACAACTTGACGGGGGCCTAGACGAAATGTACAATCTTCGTAAAAAGTTCAGGGTATGGGCTCCCGCAGGCGATCTACCTGATGGCACCGGTCGCTACTCGCTAAGAAGTCTTTTGCGCGTGGCACGTGCGATTCCATTTTCCCCATGTTAAGTGAACGGGGTTTTGGACACTTTTTGCGCGATCGCCAATGGCGGGAAAACGAGCCAAGGAAGAGGTGGTTTTCTTCCCAGCATTTTATGGCAAACACGTTTGGGTACACGCCAGTGTGCGCTGTATACCCCTCAGAATCTCGGAACGTGTCTTTGCACGAGGTCAAATTTGGAATTTTGCTGTGTCCCATGTTAAGTCAATGGACGGCGATGTCGAGACTTTGCGGAGACATTTTCATTCGATCTTTGTACAAAATTTTAGAGATAGATTTCGCCCAAACTCATACATCTTGTAGAAGAAAGACCATAGTACATGCCGTTATGCTTCGTTAAGCTGGGAGAACTCATTTTTTCTTATAAAGTTCATTTGAAAATTAAAATTTTTAACATGGAAAGTCAATGGGAGCGTCTTTGTTGCCTAATAACTTTTTACGTTGCAGATATACCAAAGTGAAAAGTTAATAAAATATACAACTTTCGATGCTCTTTCCAACAATGTATGGAACGTCACTGCACGATGTGCCGTTTTTAAGAAAAGCTGTAAAAAATCAGGGCTCGACTGTGACTTGAACCCAACCACATTAGAGGATACGAACAGGTGACGGGGATACCTCCCGTGTGCGGATGTGACACTGATTATTGCTAAATATTAGCAGTAGGCCGCCTGTGGGGTGCCTTTACAAACCTTATATCTCTGCAACCACTGGACCGATTCACTCGCGGTCTTTTGTGTGGGATAGCTTCTTCCTTTCTTACACGTAGTGTGCTGTTCTCGATGCGTATGGGTGACCCCTAATGCACGTGCCACGTGCAAAACGAAGAGGTGTCAGTTCGGTAACAAGTCTAATAACTCTGTAGTTAGTTTGGCGATTGCGCTGATACTTGGCATGGTTGTAGGCACCCGACGCGCAATGCATTTCCATGTGTCACGGTTGGGGTGCCGCTGCACGTGCACACGTGCAGGGTGACGCTTCCAGATCTCGAGAACGGCTGGGCCGATTGTGATCAAAGTTGGCACACCGTTAGGGATCGGCGAGTAGGGTGCCGTGCACAAATCAGATGGGACTCATTTTGCACGTGCGCACGTGCAGGACGACGCTTCCAGATCTCGAGAACGGCCGGGCCGACTGTGCTCAAATTTGGCATGCCACTAGAGACTGGTTAGTAGGGTGCCGTGCACAAGTCAGTTAGTGTGTATTTCCATTTGCCAAGGTTGGGGTGCAGCTGCACGTGCGCACGTGTAGGGGTCGTTTCCAGATCTTGGAAACGGCTGGGCCGATTCAGATTAAATTCGGTACACCGCTAGAAACCGGCGAATAGAGTGCCGTGCAAAAGTCAATTGGGGCCCAGACTGCACGTGCGCACGTGCAGGGTGTCGCTTCCAGATCTCGTAAACGGCCGGGTCGATTGCACTCAAATTTGGCACACCGCCAAAGACTGCGTAGTAGGGTGCCTTGCACAGATCAGTTGGGTCCCAGGTTGCACGTGCGCACGTGCAGGGTGACGCTTCCAGATCTCAGGAACGGCCGGGCCGATTGCATTCAAATTTGGCACACCTTTAGAGACCGATCAGTAGGGTGCCGTGCGCATGTCAGTTAGTATGTATTTTCATGTGTCACGGATGGGGTGTAGCTGCACGTGCGCACGTGCAGGGTGACACTTTCAGATCTCGAGAACGGCCGGGCCGATTGAGCTTAAATTTGGTACACCTCTAGAGACCGGCCAATAGGGTGCCGTATTACGAATACCCGTCACGACCCCTAGCGGTTGACCTGACTTGACCTGACTCAAATTTGGCACACCGCTATAGATCGGCGAATAGGGTGCCGTGCACGTCAGTTTGTAGCACACCCACCCCGGTCTGCATGTGCAATGCTCGTAGCACACCGACTGCGGTCTGCACGTGCAAGGCTCATTCTCTCGTTTGGTGGCGGGCGTTTTTGCTGCGTTTACAAAGGTGCTTGCTCAAACAACCTGCGGTCCCGCGATGCGGAGCCCGGCATCGCAGATGCCGGTATAGGAGATAGTGAGGTTGTTGATGGTAGGTATCTGAAGAGTGTTGTTACCCAACTCAGAATGATTGTAACCGCAGGTTGTTTGAAAAGACAAACACTATTCGTTAGAATTGTGTTTTTCTATTGAAAAACAACCGGAGCGGTCGTTCTCCGGGCTATGTTTTGCAAGTCTGGCCGCGAATTGGGGCAACTTGAGCGGGGCCTAGACGAAATGTACAATCTTCGTAAAAAGTTCAGTGTATGGGCTCCCGTAACCGCAGGTTGTTTGAAAAGACAAACACTATTCGTTAGAATTGTGTTTTTCTATTGAAAAACAACCGGAGCGGTCGTTCTCCGGGCTATGTTTTGCAAGTCTGGCCGCGAATTGGGGCAACTTGAGCGGGGCCTAGACGAAATGTACAATCTTCGTAAAAAGTTCAGTGTATGGGCTCCCGTAGGCGATCTACCTGATGGCACCGGTCGCTACTCGCTAAGAAGTCTTTTGCGCGTGGCACGTGCGATTCCATTTTCGCCCATGTTAAGTCAATGGGGTTTTGGACACTTTTTGCGCGATCGCTAATAGCGGGAAAACGAGCCAAGAAGGAGGTGGTTTTCTTCCCAGCATTTTATGGCAAACACGTTCAGGTACACGCTCGTGTGCGCCGTATACCCGCCAGAATCTCGTGGCACGTGGCACGTGCGAATTCTTTTCCCCATGTTAAGTCAACGGGGTTTTGGACACTTTTTGCGCGATCGCCAATGGCGGGAAAACGAGCCAAGGAAGAGGTGGGTTTCTTCCCAGCATTTTATGGCAAACACGTTCCGGTACACGCCCGTGTGCGCCGTATACCCGCCAGAATCTCGCAACACCTCTATGCACAAGGTCAAAGTTGGAATTTTGCTGTGTCCCATGTTAAGTCAATGGACGGCGATGCCGAGACTTTGCAGAAACATTTTCATTCGTTCATTGTACAAAATTTTAGAGATAGAATTTGCCCAAACTCTTATAGCTTGTACAGGAAAGAGCGTAGTACATGCTGGTATGCTTCGTTAAGCTGGCAGAAATCGTTTTTTTCTAATAAAGTTCGTTGGAAAATGAAAATTTTTAACATGGAAAGTCAATGGGAGCGTTTTTATTCCTCTATAACTTTTATCTTTAGTAAGACATATAGGTGAAAAGTTAATATAATATACAACTTCTGATGCTCTTTCCACTGGTGCATAGAACGTCACTGCACGATGTGCCGTTTTTAAGAAAAGCTGTAAAAAATCAGGGCTCGACTGTGACTTGAACCCAACCACATTAGAGTATACGAACAGGTGAAGGGGACACCTCCCATGTGCGGACGCGACGCTGAATATTGCTAATTATTAGCAGTCGGCCGCACTGGGGGCGCCTTTGCAAAGCTTATATCTCCACAACCACTTGACCGATTCACTTGCGGTCTTTTGTGTGGGATAGCTTCTTCCTTTCTCACACGTAGTGTGCTACCCTCGATACGTATGGGTGACCCCTAATGCACGTGCCACGTGCAAAACGAAGAGGTGTCAGTTCGGTAACAAGTCTAATAACTCTGTAGTTAGTTTGCCGATTGCACTGATATTTGGCATGGATGTAGGCACCCGCCGTGCAATGCATTTCCATGTGTCACGGTTGGGGTGCCGCTGCACGTGCGCACGGGCAGGGTGACGCTTCCAGATCTCGAGAACGGCTGGGCCAATTGTGATCAAACTTGGCACACCGTTAGGGATCGGCGAGTAGGGTGCCGTGCACAAGTCAGATGGGACCCAGTTTGCACGTGCGCACGTGCAGGCTGACGCTTCCATATCTCAAGAACGGCTGGACCGACTGTGCTCAAATTTGGCATACCACTAGAGACTGGTTAGTAGGGTGCCGTGCACAAGTCAGTAAGTATGGATTTTCATGTGCCACGGTTGGGGTACAACTGCACGTGCGCACGTGTAGGGGTCGTTTCCAGATCTTGGAAACGGCTGGGCCGAATGCGATTAAATTTGGTACACCGCTAGAGACCGGCGAATAGAGTGCCGTGCACAAGTCAGTTGGGACCCAGCCTGCACGTGCGCACGTGCAGGGTGCCGCTTCAAGATCTCGAAAACGGCCGGGCCGATTGCACCCAAATTTTTCACACCGCTCTAGACGGGCGAATAGGGTGCCGTGCACGTCAGTTTTTAGCACACCCACTCCGGTCTGCACGTGCAAGGCTCATATCCTCTCGTTTGGCGGGTGGCGTTTTTGCGGCGTTACAGAGGTGCTTGCTCAAACAACCTGCGGTCCCGCGATGCGGAGCCCAGCATCGCAGATGCTGGTAACCGCAGGTTGTTTGAAAAGACAAACACTATTCGTTAGAATTGTGTTTTTCTATTGAAAAACAACCGGAGCGGTCGTTCTCCGGGCTATGTTTTGCAAGTC